ACGCCGACCAAAATAGCAAAAATAATTTATAGCTGAGGCCAGCTATTTCCTTACAATCTGTCGCTTGGGTATCTGCCCGCCTAGCTGACCTTTCATCCCATCCAGTAGGTTCCGCGCCGATTGTTTATACAAATGCCACACTAAAGGTATACTGATTGAAAACCCAGTCGCGGTACCCCGCCGGATCGCTAGCAACATGTTAACGTGTTAACAACGACAAGCTAATTTCAATGTCGGCCAGCAAGAGGACTATTCGGAATTTACGGAAAGAGAGGAGCACACAGAATCTATCAAAATACACCCGCAAAAATGCAAGACCTTGCGATCGTAAATAGCAAAAGCTTATTTTCTTCTTTATTCGCGCACCACCAAAAAAAAACACAAACAACGGTGAAACTGTAACAAATCCACTGGTCAGGGAAATACAACAAGACAGTGTCACCGAAGCGGGAAAAGGAAACTCCAAGACCACGAAGACTATCACAAAAACAGCAAAATCGGAAAAATTCATTATTTTTTGACAATCTGCACGACGTCCTCGTGGTCCAGGAGGTGCTTGATGCCGACCCGTTGTGGCGAAAATTTCGGTGACGTGCCCCAGACGATTGCGTACCTAGAAAAAATGGTAAAAGGATAGTTATAATTCCAATCAACAGAAATTTAAGAAGATTTAGAATTCATACGCAAGAAAATTTTTGACTGTTTTTTGAGAGTTTTCGAAGCATATAATTACAAAAACTCCCGTATAACATCTTCGAAATCCGGCCTTTTTGATCATTTTGCAAAAAATAGCGAAACGTCAGTGGTTTTTGAGGTTTCTACCTCTTTATCCCAAGTGGGGTTAAATATAGAAAGCTCGTCAATGCTAGATACATGGCCAAAATAAAACTACATCGCCGCCAAAATCCTTTAAAAAATGTCTTGCTTCTCCGCCAACACGAAAATACCCGAAAAAAAGAACAAGGCAGGCTCACCTAAATTGCGCGGCGAGTGTTCGATGGAGTGCGTGGCAACAGTGCTCGATCGTCGCGCCCCTTCGCAAAATGATGCCGTCCTCGGGGCCTAAAAACTGTTATAATCGCTTACATTATATTTATACCAAGATCAGGGCTGATTGCCGGGTTTCTTCTTGTGACTGCGCCCGAGCGCCAGGTAGTCCCAGATGACGTCCACCAAATAGTCGAGGTTCAGGTTCATCTCGCACGAAATTACGACGTGGTGGGGGAGTCTGGAAAGAAGAAAATCATCAATATTTTTCTATTATTTTCATACTACGAAGTCTTAACTTCAAAATTTACCTGGCCAACCGATCCACCTCCTCGATGCAAATACAGTCGACCTTGTTGTACACGTAGAGACACGGGATGTAGACGCGATTGCCCTGGAGCACGTCGATGAACTCATCAATACTAAAAAAATAGTGGATGAATCTAAGCAATAGCATTACGTCGCATCTTCTCGGAAAACGACGTCGGCGTTGAAAAGCTTGTATTCGTGGAGCACGTGCATGATGAGCTTCTCGTTGACGTGGGTCAGCGGGACGGTATGCGTAAATCGAACGCCGCCTCCCTAAAAAATATGTATTCCGAAAGAGTTGTTTTTGCGATGTGAAAAAGACGAGATTCGATAGAACTTGAAATTCTGAACAAGTCCATATTTCAAAAACTGCTTAATGGTAGTGGTGTTCACAAAATTATTCAGAAACATCTTTACTTTTTTAATTTTTGCACCGTGCTTACATAATGCGAACGTTTCCTGCAGCTTTTGAAATATGGGGCTTGCTTAGAACTTTCAGTATCGAACAAGTTATATCTCGTCGCAAAACAATATTTTCACGGAAAAACGACTCTCTAGTAAGAAATGTACCTTCTTAATTTGCACGTAGATTTGCGGCTTCTTCTTGTTTAAACGGATGCCGACGGAATCGAGCTCCCGCTCAAGTAGTGCTCGCTGTTGGTCACTCTTCCCGGCGTCGAGCATCATCAGCACCAAGTCGGCAGTTTTTGCCACAGCAATGACTTGCCGACCACGACCTAGGTTTCAAGAAATTAATCGAAAAAGCTTCATTACCTTTTCCTTGTGCGGCACCTTCAATAATTCCGGGCAAATCGAGGAGTTGGATTTTCGCGCCTTCATGTTCAATGACTCCTAAAAACCGTAAATCAAACATTTTACAGCAATTTATACCCGGGATACAAGTCAGCGTCGTGAATTCATAGCCGGCCGCCTCAGAGTGGGTCTTCGTAAGCGAAGAAAGAAGAGTAGATTTTCCGACTGACGGGAAACCCACCTAAAAATATACATAATTCAATAAAATTATATTATTACCATGGCCACTCGAGCATCACCACTCTTCATTACATCAAAGCCCTCTCCTTTCGCTCCGCCTTTCCCTGTTGGTTCGAGTAGTTGCTGTCGAAGTTTGGCCAATTTAGCCTAAAACCAACAAATTAAAAATTACCGTAAAAGGCTTACTTTTAACAACCCAATGTGATATTCGGTGGCCTTGTTCTTCTGGGTGCGCGCCATCTCGCGCTCGATCTCCTGGATCTTCTCCACGACACCCATTTTGCCTGAAAAATTGATAGTAAAGCGGTTGTAAATATCGGAAAAGCACTAGAAGCGAGAGAAATGGATAATTCTGCTACATTAGGAAAAGCTTTAGAGCTAACGAGGAAATTCGCTGGCTGAGTTGACACATGGCGCCAATGCCAGCAGTAAAAGGACGTAGCGGCCCCATACCCAGCATAAGCGGTTGTAGAGATCGACGATGCTACAGGTAACAACTCCTGTAGCGAAACCGAAAAGCGCGTCAACCGGAAATTGCCTGTCCAAAAGCCCGGTCCCCTACAAGCATTTCAAAAATTTCTCGTATTTTCAATCGAGTGTCATACTTTCCAAAGTTGTAAGAGTGACAATTTATCGCATTAAGATACCGTGTTCCTAGTCAACAGTAAAAGCAACTTAAAAAATCAAAAGGCAACGGGAACAGGTATAAATAAATCAAGGCAGTTTAGGGTCGAGCTGCTGCTGCTGGAGGTGGTTGGCGAGGACGACGGACTGGGCGTCGATTATCAGCTGCTCCGAGCAGCCGTGTTCCTTCAGCATCTGCGGGTCGACCACCGGGCGCTCGGCCAGCTCGCTGTAGACGAGGTGCATCGGGCGCTGTACCTAAAAAGAAGGATTCATTTTCTAAAAAAAGTATAATTTACCTTTGCCCAATGGACCGGGTCGAAAACTGTGTACGTGCCGCGCTCCGACGAGCCCGTCTGGTCGAGAAAGTTTGCAAACTTGTTCCGCGTCAACCAGATGCATTCCACCTTGTGATAGCGCCAGTTTTGCGCGTAACTAAAAAAATAAATAAAATACAGTTTTCTCTTGACGCAATTCTTTCCCATAGAAAAAGAGGAACTTTTTGCAAACTTAGTCGTATAGGACTCAAAGGATGAAAAAGATAAAAAAGAAATTTTGACCAAAAGTTCATGCTTCAAAACATTGTTCAACTTCAACAAGTGTTAGAAAGATCTTTACAAAGCTTTAACTAGTGATTCAACTAAACTTGAGTGAAAAAAATACGTAAAAATCCTTTTCTAATCCTAAATGAAAAGCGTAAAGCCTCCGTAAAGCCGAAAAAAATCATAAAAAGAATAATAGAAACGTACAGTTCGGCCGCAGCAGCCAGCTGGTATGCCTCGCCGGTCATGTTGTAGAAGAGGTAGAAGAGGACGTCTTCGTGCTGCTTGTTCAGCTGCGGGCCGGCGAGCCGGTGGAGGAGGTTGGTGGAGAATCGGTAGGCGGGCGGCGTCTCGACGTCGATCTCGAAAGGTCGGGCCGGGAAGTTGGCGAACGGGCCGCCAAAGCGGCGCAGCAACAGCGTGTTCTTCTGACTAAAAAAAGAGAATCAACCGAAAATCAAGGAAAATTACGGTGCCGGTGATGTCAATTCCATGCCGAGCGACGCCAGGTTCATCCCGAGGGCTAACATCGTGGTGGGCGACTCGCGAGGTAGGCGCAGGTAGGAGGCGATTGCCATCAGCCCGTATTGGTCCTTCAGCATTCCGTCGGGATCGCTATTTCATCTGAAAAAAAAGACTAAGTCAATAAAACTCCGGATAGCTTATTGCACGTTCAAAATAGCGCTTTTTTTAGTAAAAGCCGCGCTGAAAAACGTAAAATAAACACACCGCCAGGTAAATTCGTCTCCGATTGCGTTGGCATTGCTTTCGGCGCCTGGCTGTCGCTTATCGTGTCTTCGAAAGTACTTTGTAACTAAAGCAAAGTAGATTCAGACTTCAGATAAAAAAGTACCGATTGGTTGGCGGATGTGGGCTCTTGGTAGCTACTGAGGAGCGCCTCCGAGCAGCTCGCCTCGTCGTCGCGCACTCGCTTGTCGTTGGAAGAGGAGCCGGGTAGAGCCGGGAAGTCCTCGAAGCTGAACGCCGAATCGTTCTTTCCGCCGGGCATTTTTCTGAAAAACGAGATTTAGAAAAATATGGAAAAGAAGAAGAAATCGGAAATGATTGGAGTTTTCGGCGCGACTTTGGACAAGTAAATGGATATGGCAAAAATAAAACGCGCAAATCATAAACGCCCTGGGAAAACAAGTTTAAGATTGAAGAATGCAGGAAAAGCCAGTCTTTTACCAATATAAAAAAGTCGCAATTAGCAAAATTTTGTTGAAAAGTGGAAATGATGACGCGTTTTATTGCTCCCCAACTCGTGGCGACTACTGTAGAATTGTTGCAGTCTAGTGACACGTTATAGTATCGGTGCGTACTTTTTCTTTTTATATGTTTTTTTACATTTTTTAAAACAAAATAAATTCGTCACGAGCTATAAGGTAAAAACTTTATTAGCAGGCAAATATTAATAGAAAGAGAAAGCCTTGAAATATTTTTTGAAGATCGTTTTTCCGAGGATTTAGAGGTTTTTTCATTAACAGGCTTCTAGTGGTAGTAAAGTTTTAGTTTTATTCCAACCCAAGAAAAAAATCTTGCCCTTTCTTTTCAGACCCTCCTCGGGGATTGTCGTTGCAGATTTGGCCGACAGCTAAGCGGAAAACCAATTTGTGGAGTTTGCAAGTAAGAAACTACCTGAAATGGAATAAAAATAAGCTTTAAAAACTATTTCGAACAAGCTTTTGCTTCTACAACCTTTAACCCAGATGATAAGTATCCTCGCTGGGTGCATTGTTGTTCAGTTGATGTTTATAGAAATCTGATCTCACTGCCACACCTGGCCCGGCTACGACAGTCTGATGGTCCAACTCGCCAGCCTAAAATGCCCATAGCTAATGAATAATTTTGGCGTTTATAGCGTTATTATGCTTTAATTTTCTTCGAATATGTTGTTGCAGGTCTCTACAATCTCGACTTGTGGCAATTTTTCCACAATGCGCCGACTGCCTATCATCCGTCGGCTTCACTGCGAGGACTACTGCCCTCGCTAAACAACGATACCTACACTGTTTTTCAAATTCGTAGGTTCAATAGAAGAAAACAAAAAAAATGCTATTTTAGGTGAATATCAAACAGCTCAACTGGCCAACATCCATGACTCAAATTTGATCCTGACGTAGTGGAATCGAATTGTCGCCTGAAGAACTTATCAGCGAAGCACAAGAGAACCCGGACATCCTCGAGAAACAACGCAGCTCTAAGTTGTAGGTTCCTCGCAAATTCCTCAACATGTTCTTTCATTTATCCAGTGCTTTTAAACCGAGGCAAAAGCATAATATCTCGGATCAGTTGGCCCTAATTTAACAAAATTACCCCGGTGCTATCCGATTTCGAAAAAAAAAACGTAGAAAGGCGAACAAAAGAAGACGGAGTCCAGAATACCGCCCCTCGAAGGCACAAGGTAAATATGCATTTTAGGAGGAAGATATCGCAGCCCTGGGCTCTACATCCACCAGAACAACAATGGATGCCAATTTACTTCACAAACAACCACCCCATACGATCTACCTGCCGGTAAACTCGGTAAAGACATGACACCTACGGTCACGTATCCATGTTTTGCCCCGAGCGCAATTTAAAATCAATTGTCCATTAATCCAAATTTTTGAAAAATCTTTTTCCCCAGATCCTCTGCGCGCCATCCCTGTTTTTCGATTTTTCCTCCCAATTTATGGGGCTGCTTCAACTTGCCTATAATGCGTTCCCATTCACCCCGCTTCAATAATTTGCCTCAAAACCCACACACTCTAGAGAATCCGGTCTTCCGGGTATAACATTAAATTTTTTTTGCTGCCTTGGGAGTGTCGAAACTACCCTCTAATGATTAGAAATGGATAAAGCTTAGAAAGGACTGGCCAATTTCCCAGTCTTTGGGGAACTTGTCTCTCCCATTGAATTCGGCTTACCTTCCCTGAAATTTTACAAGTTTGATGCGTCTTCACGCCTCGTGGTATTAAAGGCGAACCTTATATGATCGCCATACCACGGGATTATAGTTAAAAGGCCACGGCTCGCACCCAAAAATTCCTTGGGAAAACCATCAACGCGGCACCTTTGATTTTTTTTTTCTAACGGAAAAACAGGCGCAGTCCGTACATACGTATCTGAAGACGAAATTCCATTGCTGTTAACGATCTAAAGCAAGTGTGTTGCTCTCTGATCGGGCACCCAAACTACATACCATGCCGTGGAGACCCACTTTCCACCACTGTGTCAAATCAGGACATCCGCGCTTGATTTGGCCGGATGATGTCGATCCTCTCTAAATTTACATGGGCCCCGAGTTCCTTATCCCCTCTCCTTATCTAACCCCAGGCAAGGCTATTAAAGGCGAGGCTGCACCAAAAATGTTAGCTGGAAGATTGAACTCGTACCGATATTGCAAACCACTGGGTGATGCTTAGAATCCTTTCCACAAAAAAAAAATAAAAAAATCTACAATAGACTCAACTGTCACATGTGCGTAAGACGGGGCCGTATATCGGTAAGATGATTGTCGGAACTGAGATCCGACCATTATTCAGAAATGGAATGCGTAGGTTAACTAGGAGCAGCGGGGCCCTATTTCGAAAGCCCGTCAGGGGTTTCGAAAATAAGCGCTGGGCGGAGCCCGTATGGGCCCACTATAAAAAAGCCTGCCCGGCCCCCACTAGCTCACTCTCTGAACAAACTTCACAGCCATCGTGCTCCCCCCGCTGTCGTGGCCCAGACTAGGCTGCGACCTTTGCGCGATCTGTGAACATTCAGAAGATTTACAATTTATTATAAAATTCCATTCCTGGATAGCCACCTCCCGTAAATCTAGATTATTGTAATAATTGCATCCTCTACTTCTCGTACAATAAAAATATACCCCAGTGACGCCCAGACCTCTACTAAGAACACCGACTGTAAGCTCCTTGGGCGCCACAATGATTATCATCTCGATTGGTCAGATTCCGCTCTTAATTTGGCTCCCAAAGCGCGAATTCAAATAATTTTGAACACCAGCTGCAGATGAATTTTTTTCACAAACGCTGTCACGTCAAGTCAGCCCCTGTCGAAACGACCCCATCAAGGGAAAGCGAGAGCTAGAGCATAAACAAAGAGCCAACGCAGACCCAACGGTAATCCCCAATCATTCGGAAATTCATTCCGAAATTCCATGTGGAATTCCGGAATTCGGCTTCATAGGGACCGCGAGAGCATCTCGAAACTATCCAGCCACGCCCAAAAAAAGGGCTTCTATAAAAGAGCCTCGAGGAGCTCCTCTAGCGCTCCGCTGAACCGCTCACGCTCGCTTAAATCAGCTCACTGTAACCAAGTTACAGTAGGGCTGCAAGCGAAGAGTGACAGCAAATATACGAACAGCTTTCCGAAACCTTTCCCTTTTCGAAACTATCCAGCTCCGCCCGGAGAAGGGCTAGTATAAAAGGGCCCCAGCCGCTCTTTTGGGCACTCTCTGAAAACACTCATGTCGGAACTGAGATCCGACCATTATTCAGAAATGGAATGCGTAGGTTAACTAGGAGCAGCGGGGCCCTATTTCGAAAGCCTATCAGGGTTTCGAAAATAAGCGCTGGGCGGAGCCCGTATGGGCCCACTATAAAAGAGCCTGCCCGGCCCCCACTGACTCACTCTCTGAAAAAACTTCACAGCCATCGTGCTCCCCTGCGGTCGTGGCCCAGACTAGGCTGCGACCTTTGCGTGATCTGTGAACATTCAGATGTATTGCAATTTATTATCCGTTAAATTCCATTCCTGGATAACCACCCCCCGTGAGATATAGACTATTGTAATAATTGAATCATCTACCTTCTCGTACAATAAAATATACCCCAGTGACGCCCAGACCTCTACTAAGAACACCGACATAGAGCTCCGTGGGCGCCACAACCACGTCACGGAGCCTTTCGGAGCTCCCTGCTTCCGTGGCCCAGACTAGGCTACAGTACTGCGCGATTTGTGAGTGAAGATCGCATTTTACCAGCATTTTACCAGGTCCATCCCTGGATAATAACATTCCCCCATGAAATATAGACTATTGTAATAATTAAGCCATTAACTTTCTCCTATAATAAAATATACCCCAGTGAGGCCCAAACATCAATTAAGAACACCGACATAGAGCTTTGTGGGTGCCACACCCCCTGTCGGAACGGACGCTTTTCAGGGTAAAGCGAGAGCTGTGACGTAGTCACCTGGGGCGAAACCTTTCGATCACACATTGGTTAATATGAACAAATGGCAAGCCCGAGCCAACCGTAGCCCTCGGCAATTTCTAAATGAATTCCGGAAATTCCTGGTGGAATTCTGGAATTCGGCTTGATAGGGCCTCGCGAGCGCTGGTTCGAAACTATCCAGCTCCGCCCGTAAAAGGGCTAGTATAAAAGTACCCCAGGCGCTCTTTTGGGCACTGTCGGAACGACTCCATCATGGGGAAAAAGCGAGAACTAAGAGTATAAACAAACCCCCACGGTAGTCCCGGTTTTCCGAAATTCATTCCGGAACTCGACAGGGAATTCCGGAATTCAAGCCTCATAGGGAGCATTTTCGAAATCATCTAACCACGCCCTAATGGGGCGGCTATAAAAGAACCTCGAAGTGCGCCTCACTTCTCTTCGCTAAAATCACTCACCGATCGCGTCAAACAGCTCACTGTAACCAACTTACAGTAGGGCCGCAAGCGAAGTGGCAGCGAATATACAAACATCTTTCCGAAATCAAAGGCTCCTTCTTTCCGAAATCAATACCCTTTCCGAAATTCAAAGCTCTCATTTCCGGAATTAAAACTCATTCCGAATTTGAAAGGGAATCCCGAAAAAACATTCGTACATTCCGAAAGTCTTCATATTTCCGAAAATCTCGCTCTCGTTCAATTTCCGAAAACTCCCCATTTACTTTAACATCAATTTATATTATGCTTTGAATTATCGCTTGCAACTGTTAAATAAATATACCCGTGACGCCCGATCTAGAACACCGACACATTTCGGCCGTTAGGGCGCCACAGGCACTCTCTGAAAATACTCACGCTCAAAGCCGAGCTCCCTGCTTCCGTGGCCCAGACTAGGCTACGGTACGGAGCGATTTGTGAGTGAAGAGAAATCGCATTTTACCAGTTGGAAAATCTATTCCTGGATAATAACACTCCCCCTCGTGAATTATTCATTGTTATATTCATTAAGCCTTTAATCTTATTGTCTAATAAACTATATTCCAGTGACGCCCAACGCCTATTTAAGAAGATTGACAAATTGCATTTTGGGGCTTCACAGGTACATTTATACAACTGTCATGGGAATCCCATTACTGCTGACCATTCAGAACAGGTGTAATTTATAATGTAATACTAGAAATAATCTAAAAGCTAACTAAAGTTTCGAAGGTGCCATCGGCGTTGTGGACCCCTCGGCCTACGGTAAATCACATACACTCAAATCGGATATAAGATTACCGTTACCCAACCGCGGCCACGTGTGAACCTTTCCGATGCCCTTTTCCGAAAGACCATTCCGAGATAGGCTACTGTCGGAACCGACCCCATCATGGGGAAAGCGAGAAAAATCGATAAACCAAGGGTGAAGGCCCACGACCGTAGTCTGCCAATTACGAAATTAATTCCGAGATGGAATTCCGAAATTAGACGCCTTTTCGAGAAGAATAAGTTCCGCCCACAGGGTTAGTATAAAAGGCTCAGGAAACGACCCTCAGGCTCTTCGCGCCAACTCCCTCAAAAATCGCCTGCTCGACCTCACTGTATCACGCGCATACGGCAGGGCTTACAGGCGAAGAGAAAGCGAATTACATGTAATAACATTTCCGAAAATCCCTTTCCGAAATGCCTTTCCGAAATCCCATTCCGGAAACCAGCCTTCGAAATTCCCGAAAGCACCCTGATTTTTGGACGTGCCCAAATTCAGATATCCCACGAGTCCTCTTTCGTACAGTAAGTAAATCTCTCCAACTTGGTCGATTTCCGAATTCCCTTTCGAAACTTTGCTATCATGTTGTGTTGGTTCTTGAATTCCGGTTCGAATTGTTAATAAATATACCAGTCACGTCCAATCTTTAAAAAAACAGGCATTTAATAGCCTTTACGGCGTCATACCCTTGCCAAAAGCCGGTTAGACTGCCATTTTTGTCTGTTATCGGTGACTTTCGACAGCCGCAATTGTTATCGGCAAAAACGGGTGCCACGTTGCTAGCCTTAAAGCTGATGTCGGCTGCGGAATTTTTTTGTTAAGGAAAGGCGTGGTGGAAATGTCGCTGAAAAACAAAACTAATAATTTTTTTGGAAAGTCCCAGAATCCCGACAACCCAAAGGCCAACAGCCAAAATCCCGACAGCCCGAACCGCGACCTGCAAAGCCACTGTTTAAAAAAAGAGCGCGTTCAAACTGGCGTCCAGAACATGCGTGCGGAATTTCGGCTGTCGGGATTTTGGCTGCCGACATTTTGGCCTATCGGGATTTTCGTTGTCGGCACTTTGGCTGTCGACTTTTTGGACTGTCGTCATTTTCATTGTCGGGATTTTCATTGTCGGGCCTTTAGAATGTCGGCATTTTTATTGTCGAGATTCTCGTGGTCATGAATTTAGCTTCCAGAATCTTGGCAGTCGGCATTTTGTCGCCGTCGGCATTTTGGCTGTAGACATTTTTGTCTGTCGTGATTAAGGCTGTCGATATTTTTGCTATCGGATTTATGGCTCTTGTCGAAATAAAGGGCACGTTCAGGGGCGTTGTTGTTTGGAAAAACAAGATTTTGCCGCGGCCGGGGTCGAACCGGCCCTCCTCACGGAGGGGGAGGATGCCAGTCACCACAGCACCTGGCGAGGGGAGGCGCCCAGGCCGCAAAGGGGAATTGCCTGCCACGCCACGGGCGGCGCACTCGGTCCCAACGTCCAAGGGGTACGTTGGGGCGAGTCACGGCCCCTCCCTGAACGTGCGCAAGTAGATATGGTGTTTCGCATTTTTTGCCTTATTTATAGGCTAGTTGCTGCGGTTGTAGCTTAGCAGGGGTGAGAAAAATATCTCTTTATCATTCAAAACAATTTCATAATAATCGCACCAATAAGACCCGTCAAAAAATAGTAGTTTGAGGCGGATTTTTTCTTTTGAGTGGGCAGCCCGAGTCGGTTGTTTCCGAAATCGTGGATGTGACAGAATTGGCGGATGAACGGGTCGCCGAGGATCCATTTTGGGGCGTCTAAATTGTTTTATAAATTATTGAAACCATCATATATTGGTAATTATATTGTTTATAGTTTTCTCAGCATGTTTGCCGTTTAAAAAATCTTAGAAAAGCAAAAAAAGCCGCTTTGCTTAAAAGCTTACTTGGACTGTCACTCTGAAAGGCAAAAAAGGCGGCCGCGCAGGTCGTGCCATCAAAATCGTTTAGCAGATAGTTTTTCTAAAATAGTGTAAGTTAAATTAATTAATTAAATAAAATTGATAACAATTATTTATTAATAAATTTGATTATTTTGATCATAGCACGGATCCTTAACCTACCGGCGTCACGCTGTACACCTTGCCACCAATCGTCAGTTCTAAATCCGGAAAATCGCCGCTACAGCTGGTCATATACATATCATATTGGTCGTCATACTTAAATGAAGCCGAAGCATCCTGTTCGTTTTAAAGCCACTTACATTAGCCCCGAGGGCTTTTACAATAGCGGTAATGGCATCGACGGGACCGCCGATGAACGAGGTGCCCGTATCGGTGATGACCTCGTAGGGACCGCCGCTGAACGAACCGAAACTGGCTTTCGACACCTAGAAGGGAGGGGTTACTTGCAAAATGCCGACATACATATAGTCGAAATTTAAAACTAACCGTAAATTGCCAGTAAGCAGCACGACTCAGTGGGACCCAGGAAAAGTTGGAAGTGCACGACTCAGTGTCGATGGCCCCGTAGGTGATCTGCCCGGCAGGGCCCGCGTCGTTGTTACGGTGTCCAAGAACCACCGTGAATACCGGGTCGTCGAGGAGCCCTGAAAATTGAAAATTAAATCGGAAGAAGCGTTATCGTATAACGGTACTGGTCTGCTAGCAGGGGGGGGGGTTAGGTGGGGAAAACCCCTAATTTTTACCTGGAATCCTGTGCGGCCCTATGACAAAATATAAACAATTGTTATACGATTTTACACAGTTTTTCGACGCAAAAAGTGCGGCTGGTGTAGACGGGAAAAACAAAGCTAGTTTGGACCCTGACCTTCGACCTTACCTTGAGCGTGCGCGTTCATCAGTGGCGGTTGAATATTATTAACAGCAAGTGATTGGAAGCCAAGCCCGAGGATACCGTCAAAGTTCTAAACTCAAAACTACAAATACGTTGAATTTAGGTACCGCTTGACTTGTCATGTCAGCAGAGAGATACGTGGCCATCCCGAACGTCGTGTTCGGTACTCGCAGTTCTAAAATATGTAATTAAAGTATAGCGATAATAGTAAGGAACTCGGAAATATAAGCCAAAAAAAAAAAACAAAGGTAAATAAACTAAAATGACCTACCATCCTTTCCGGTGCCGAAAGCCATGGTATCGCGTGCCTGGATACCACTGCATTTCCCTTTGCCGTACTCGATTTCCCAGGCTTTCGGATCGGCTACATAGGACGATGAGGCATTGGAATTGTAGGTATTTGGAATTCGGCCGCTCCTGAAATGGAAATTAGATTAATGCTTAACTATAGGTATCTTTACGCCTGACCTCTCTCTCTCCCACCCTCTCTCTCTATCTCTCTCTCGTTCTCTCTGTAGCTCTCTTTCAGACGTTCTCTCTATCTCCCTCTCCCTCTCTCTCTCGTATCTATCACTTACGGAGCAATATTGGACGTAACCCAGAAATTGGCCGATCCTGTGTCAAGAACAACATTAAACGTCTGAGGTGGCGTCCCTATCGTGACTTCACCAATATATTCCAGATCGTAGTAGTCCATTAACTGGAAGGTAATGGAAATGACGGTTATTAAGAATTTGGAGAAGTCAGCGACGTCAAAATCAACGCTTTTTTGACTAGTTTTTGCATAAATCTCCATCTCTCCCTCTCGCTACCTCACTCTCAAACTTACGCCCTGATGGTGCGATGCAAAAACTCTCGGTGCTGCAAGGTTGAGCTTCCGGCTTTCGGAGAAGCTTTTCCACTGGCCGGATCTAAAAAAAGGATATTCAAATATTTTAACGTAATCAACAACTTACTTTGCCATTTTCATGCGTTCTGACTGGCGCCATTTAATTTTATGCTGAATGACTGCAGCTTCAACAATTGTGGCAAGGATTAAAAGCACCAAACAAAATTCCCGCATACTGGACGAACCTAAATTTTACATATTTATTTTAAGAAAAAGAATTGAAGAGACTGCAACCTTTTTAGCCTAAATTTTGCGTAAAAAAAGGTTGGCCCTTTATAAAGCTTCAAATACAAATCAAACAAAGCGTAAAAATCTATCAGAGTTGCTAAAAATGGCAAATTACCCGATTTTTCAAAAATGGTGTTTAAAATACAAATTTAACAACAAAATGAGATTGAGAGATTATGGATTTGTAGGCGAATTTGATACAGAGACCACATGAAAGTCGGATCCTTAAATATACTAGTATCGCCGAAAACACAAGTCCCTGTTTGGGTACCGCGACACTTCCGCGGACACTTGGGCGCGACACTGCTGCGACACTTGCGGCGACACTTGCGCCCGACACTTGCGGCGCGACATTTGCGGCGCGACATTTGCGGCGCGACACTTGCGGCGCGACCTTGCGGTTATTTAGTATAAGCTATATAAAAATAGTTTCAGGTGTTATTTGATAATCTGCATCCGAATTTGGCATTAAAAAATTATAAAAAGTAGGGTTTGCGATCGAAGTCACTCAATTTGGAGGGAAAGTGGCCGCTACTCCTCCGCTCTGCGACAGAAAAGGCTCGTGCCACCCGGGGCCAGTCGCTTCGGATGGGTGCGAGCTCTACAGGGCTAAATCGGGGGCCCGAGGGCGCGAAGCGCCCAGGCGCCCCGATTTAGAAAGAGTGGAGCGCAGCCCATCCGGCGACGGCCCACCTGCCTGACGCCCTCAGGGCGTTCCGACTCGGATCGGTTAAATTGTAATTTTGAACACAATCCAACAATTACAAACAAAATCCGGAAGAAATGCTAAATTTACAACATTTAAAAAATAAACTGCGCCGCAAGTCGGCGGTGCCGCCGCAAGTGCCGCGCCGAAGGCGGGAGCCCTGTTTGGCAAGAAATGCTGACACTTTCCTTCCAAGTTCAAGCAGGCGAGTCACCGCCCCAGTTCAGATAACAAAACGTCCATGTCACCTTCTGCCGTCTTCTCCACCCCCGATGGAATATTTGTGCAGCCCGTGGTGGCCGTAAAACTTAACGGTCGGCACGTCCTTTTCGGGACTTCCACATCTCCCTGACGCACCTGAAATTATCAAAGGGGTTGGGACACGCAATGGAAGGGAGGGAGAAGCTGGGATAGGATGAGTCGCTCCGATGGGTGGATGACATATCGAAATCTGGGGTTTCGAAAACTAAGGTGTCTCATCGGAGTCTTAGACGTTTCAGCTAGTTTGCCCTCGAGGGCTCAGCCGAAACCTGAAGTTTCGAACGCAAATAGGTTTCACTGGCGTGTTTTGAAGATTCTGCGGCTTGCGAGCGAGGAATCTACTCAATCAGACATTTCAACTGGAAAAATGATGCATCAACAACCAGGTATTTTCAATCGCCTTTCCTGAAGGGTCTCTGCTAGTTTGCCCGGAGAAATCCTGCTTCATCTAACGAAAAAGCGACAAAGAAAGCTAAATCTGGATTCGAACACGACAGATCGCAACTTCGCAATGATGTCCTTTCCCGTATGTCCGTTTTCGAGCCCAGTCGAATACAGAAAAATTCCCAAAAAATCTCTGCTGGCCTGCCCACGTCATAATATTTTTTTTGCCGGATCCCAATGGATATTTGCGTTATTCTTAAAATATCTGCTTGTTAAACTCTTGAAAATCGCTAGGTTGCAGGCCTGCCTGTTCCAATAATCTGTTTCTAATCATCCGCCCCTAAAATTAATCAATTATCGTGTTCAGCTTCCTGAAGCACCTCTGCTAGCTTGCCCGTATTTTCCTATCTTGTTGGAATGTGCCCTTTTCGGAATTTTGTATGTAAATAGCTTCTTGGCGTTTTTATTTTCAGAGGACCTCGCTGACTCGGAAAGACAAAATACTACTGTTTTTGCTTTTATAGTCAGGGGAAGTGCAAATTCTTCAAGGGCAGTGTTTCTCTCTCTCTCTCTCTCTCTCTCTCTCTCTCTCTCTTTCGCTTCCAACCCTAATCAACCCACCTCCAATTTAATGAAAATACACGACCAAAGATTGCCACTGAAAAGCAGCCTTTCACCATGTCGCAACATTCATCTTTCATCAAAAAAACTGGTGGTCCTTTCACCTCCCATTGGGACCACCTGAAAAGCCACCCCATAGCCAGCGGCTGCATAATAAATTTGCTGTTGGTGGTTCTTTTTAGCCGGTGGCCCCGGCTAAAAAGGGAAGCGGTGAGGGAAGCTGGAAAAAGGATATATTCATTACATACACAACGCGCTCCTATCGGTTGCGCTGGTCCAGGAATTGCATATTTTACATAATGTTTTGCAAGGTTAGCTCAATGCAGCGTCAATGGGGTTGATTTGTGCTTTGCTCCGACTGTCGGGGCTTCTAAACGTTTATCTTGGTATGTTATTATGAAGTGTTTGCAGAAAAATTACACGTGCCCCAAAACTATCGACAAATTGTTGCCTTTTCAAAGGTATCATACCAGTTCCCCTAAGAATTGTCTCAAAAGCAATTAAAATGCTCTTTAATGCTCGTAAGGCAACTCTCAAGATTGGGAATTGGCAGGACACCGTATTGCCAATTTAACGTTTATCTTCTTCATCCTTCACTCGCCCGCCCACTCTCACCCTCTCTCACTCTCTCTCGCTCTCGCTCTCGCTCCCACTCTTTCTCCCGCTCTCTGTCGCTCTCCATCGCGCTCTCATTTTCCATCTCTCTCCCGCTCTCTCATGCTTTCTCTATCCTTTCATTCGCTCCGTCTCTATAATCGTCGCACTCGCACTCTCATTCTCGCGCTCGCTTTCTCTCCTGCTCGCTGTCGCTCTCATTCTCTCTCCTTCCCTCGCGCTCTATATATCTCCTGCTCTCGCTAGCTCATTCTCTCTCGCTCTCTCATTCTCGCTCTCGCTTTCTCGCTCCATGTCTATTTCGAGGTAGTTTTGATCGCTGTTCCTGATCTTCGACCTGTTAGACACGCTGACAAGGCTTGTGCCGGAGTTAGAGCCGGAGTTGACCGCGACGCGACACGTAGCGTGAACGAATATTTTTCTCTGGTTATCGCAAAAGTTATCCAGTGTCGATGCAACTTCCGTTGCCTTGCCGGACCCTTTATATGATTTTTTGAGCAAAAACTAGGTGTTCGAACATCACTCTCCATCCATTTCGACGGCATTTGTCCACCCTTGTAATGATTCCCAAGAGGGACACGCCGCCGCCATCGAAAATTCCGCAACAATACCCGGACAAACGGTGGTGTGTAGTGTCCACTTCCGTCGTTCGTTGCATGTGGTGCGTGTTCCTCCGGGCGACATTCCAAGGGCACGTGTGTGTCCCTTTTGTCGGTATATGGGCCCCTCGAGGGATCTAGCCAGTCAGGGGGAAGGCGAAAATAGCGGGTGCTGTATAACCGCCACCGGGCTACATTTTCTCATGACGCGCAACTGCCCATTTCTTTACATGGTATTTTCGGGGAATTTGGTTATGAAATGGGACGGAAGTGGCGTTGGCAAGAGATTGTGGCACGGTTTACACGGTAAAGCAGCTTTCTTCAAAAATTACTGCTAGCTTGCCCATTGCCGTTTTCCGTCCCGAACGCTTCTGTCACTGTCCCTTTATATAGCCCCCCCCCCGAAATCGCGGGCCCGAAAATTTCATAGGGGGACCCTATATTTTTATTTTCTATTTTGTCCTGCGGCGCTATTTTTACACTTTTACGGCAATTTGTAACCTTTTTTAAAAATTTTTGCCTGGCTGTTTTTCGGCCATGTTTTGAGTTTTGAAACATTTTTCGGGCCCCGAATTTTTCGGCTCCCCTGGTCCCTTTAGACTGCGACGTCCAGATTTCCTTCCTAAAAAATCTCTGCTAGCCTGTTCAGCGCAGCATTTATTTTATCTTGGTTTTCAGGGCCGAACACTTCTGTCACCGTCCCTTTAAAATATAAATTTTCGACTTTTGGACTTTAGATTTTTGAGGTAGAAGTTCAGTATAAATTGAACCTATTTAGTCGTTTTTAGGATAATCGTATTGCAGTTTTTCGAAGCATTCAAAGTAGCTAAATAGCTAGAAGTTGTTCTAGTTCATTATTCAGTTTTTGGCCGGATTTTTTTATTAGTCTCTCAGTTAAATCACCTGTTCGGCGCCTGCCGTTCCAAAATTGGAACACTTTTTGTGCTTGAAAAGGGTGAGCCACAATTTTTTTTGCGCAAAAAGGCATTAATAATAGTCAATCCACCCAGATATTTTATAAGGCCACTAAAGTTCTCAAAAGGATGTATTTAATCATCCATAGTCATTAAAATGATGCATCGAAGATGAAATTCTAAATATTCGATACTTTTACAATATTACCATAGGTATCTAACACCTTAACGATGCCTAGAAAATAATTGCCCAGATTTTGATCGCTCCACGGAAGTTATCCTTCCTACACGGAAGTATCCACCTCTTCTAGCATCTATTTCTTGCCCTAGAAGTTATCTCCAGTGCACCATCTCGTCCTCTCTCTCACTCTCTCGCTCTGTCTCGCCCTCTCGCTCTTGCTCTCTCTCGTTCCCTCTCTCTCTCTCTCTCTCTCTCTCTCTCTCTGTCTTTCTCCGGATCCCCAGAAAGGCTAGAAAAGCTTTGCCACCCCTAAAAAAGCCAATTTCAGAGTTGCCATTTCATCGTTGCGGGTAAGAGAGATGGGGAAAAAAGAGGCTTTTGGTTAGTGGGAGGGGCGATCCTGTCTCTCCTCTCTTCTCTTCTTCAAAAAGGATCAACACGCGACGAACGGCACCCCAGGGCAAATATGGCATTGAAGATGCCTGGGGCAAAAGCTGAGCTTTCTAGTTTTTCTTAGCTGGTAGACTAGCAGAGGTTTTGTGGGAATTTTATTCTCTCGGCGCTTCTGATTAACTTTTTCACTCATTCTCGCTCGTTCTTTCACTCTCTCTCTTTCTCTCTCTCTCTCTCTCTCTCTCTCTCTCTCTTTCTCTCTCTCTCTCTCGCTCTCACTTTTTCTGCCATTGAGAATCGCAAATTCACACTTTGTTTGTTATAGACCAACATCGGGTTATCCCTTTGTGCTCTTTTTCGACCTTCAACGTTCCTTTAATCTCATAATGGTCTTTCTTATCCAAGATTCTCAAAATGTTCCCGGAACCCAAGCTAAAAATGGGAAGACAAACATCATGTTGTGCTTTTTTGGAAGGCTAGATTCTGGGATGAGGTTGACTTTTGCTCCCAGGCTTTGTTCATAAAATTCAGCCCGGCTTGCTGGCGCGGTTGCGTCAAAGACACGGGTCTGCATTCCTGTGAATTTTTGGATCTTAATTTTCTAGGAATTTGACCACAGCCGCAACACTTAACCCACAGGGAACTGGGTCTTATAAAAGATGACGTAACATTTCGCGATCAATTAATGCGTTGCGTTGCTTGTCTCTTTAATGCATCGGTAAGCCATGGTGAGTATTTTTTTAAAAAAGACGCTAAACTTCGCCTAAATGTAAGGAACTTCTTTGGATTTTGCCGGACCCGCAAAACTCAACGTGTCAACGCATGATGTTCCTTAAATCCCAGAAAGTTTCATTACTCATAGAAAGCGCTGATCCGCGCGTTGCGTGTCGCGGTGCCGTACTTTCCTAGAGCCCGAGCTATTTACATCCAGAGCCAACAAAATTTATAAACCTGCCTTGAAGCCCCTTTACCCCTAGCCCCTCCACCATCCTCTTGACCTTCATGCGTGCGGCTGCCAAATTTCCATACTCCCACCCGAAAGCCCAAATCCACCCGGCTTTGGTTTGATCAAAGACCCTCCAAAATTCGTGCAAATTGCCCGAAGCAGCACATCGTTGAGAATATCTGGGAATAAGTGCCCCGGGGCGCGGGGCGACTCCAAAAAGATTTATGTTCTCGTCACGACCCAGGTTGAGCGCCTCCATCTTACCCCAGGGGGGCGGGTGATTTTGAGCTTTCTTTTTTGAGCTTTATGCCTTTATGGGTGGGGAAATTCTTGGATTTTCGGATTAGCCGGTTTACGGTAGGGCGGGGTGGCGTGGATAGGAGTGGTTCGGAGCGCTGAAATACGAAAATATTGGGGTTTAATATTTTATATTTAATGAAATGGATTTCACCTCCGAGACATGTTTATTTCGGGTATGCCTTGGAGAAACCATCAAATATGATGGAGGACCGGATCATGGCAGCACTCCCAACAGTATTCAGAAATCGGGAGTTGAGCCTTTTCAAACGAAAGTTTTACTCAACTTTAGACCAACTTTCGATCAGAAATTAAGGCCTTCAGCAATCTGCAAAGATTTCAATTGCGGATTCTGGCGCGCAGACACTCATTTCATCGAATTCCGTGGAGCTGTCTGAGTCCTTTTGATTTTTCTATCAAGGTGTCGTTTATGAATCCCTTCAAGTGGTTGGTGCTTGGTAGAGCTTAAAATTCAGAACAAATTCCATTTTTCAAAACTGGTACCGACTACGGTCCTCGAGATAACTTTTTCGTAGTCTATATTTTGGTAGGCGCCGCTCTAAAAATGGACAAAAGCGGCCCTTTCGAGCAAATTTTTTTACAAGACCTGAATGGTCCGACAACTGTTGCAAGATAGGATGTGTTCAAAATTTGCTGTGACAACGCAAACCTCCGAGAGTGCCTAGAAACTATTCACCCTACAAACTTATTAATTTTTATAGTTTGATTAAATCTAGCACATCGCTGCTCATGTTCTGGTTAGGTCAAGAGCAAGCTTCCAAAACTCACGCTACCCTAAACCTTTTTGCTTTTACACCCAAAATGGCAACATCTATGGAAAGGGCAAAAAAAGGAGATTCACGCCCCGGCGGGGGATCGACGCTCCCGGAAATGCGCAACGTCGAGGAGGAGCCAGGGCGAGGAGGAGGAGGAGGAGGAGGAGGAGCTGATTGGCTCCATTCTGGCGAATCCCTGAATGCTTAGGTTCTTTAAGGGCATCTAGACCAAAGACTCTTTTTCTTAGTTTATTCAAATTTGGCTTTGCACGGCTTGCTTTAAGTTTTGACTGAAAAGTGAAGTTCATGCTCCAAAAATCATTAGCATGGTTTTTCGATGAAATTTAGCGTATTTCGGCGTTGCCCTTTCCTGTCTTCCAATTATAACTTATTCCTTCCTGCTATTTCGAGCTCCACCACAGGGAATTTGTCTAGTCCTGATGTCCTTTTGTCTAATGAATCCGAATAACAACAGTCGGCCCTTGTAGTGTTTTCTTTGCCTTGTTCATTCATCCGGATCGTTCCGTTCCGTATCAGCTAATGCCTGATTGTTAATCAGGATACTGTAACCTTTTTCTTTTCTAGGGCGATGCTCCCTCATCAACAGCGCAAGCTCAGCTACTGTGGCTACGATCGGAAGGCGCCGGATCGATGGTGAGTTTCTGGAAACGTAGACTTGGACATTTTATAGTCTATCAGCATTAACGGCAGTGTTGTTTTTAATCGTGGTTTTGGCCAAAACCATTTTTCTAGGCCAAAACCATAACCGATTTTCGGCCTTAGAGGGTCCTTTAAATGGTCCGTCTGACGTAAAATACGCTACGTTACGATGCTGTACGTTTATAGCATAGCAGTAGCTAGTTTATACCATAGCTGAAAAGTAGGTCGGGATACCTGCAAGAATTACGCTGGATGCGGCTAAATGGCTAGCTAATTTTCGGCGCAACGCATTAATGATAGAATTACTCGTCGAAATTTCCATTTTTTGAAGATAAACATTTTAAATAGATAAATGAAACAGATATTTTAACTTAAATATCTTAAATAGATAGATATAGATACATTTTCAGAGACTTGCTTAAATATTTCCTTCAAGCTCCTTTAAAAGCCTCCATGGCTCCACGAAGACTCCATGGTACCTTGAAGTGCGTATTTTCTAGTACTTAGAGTTAGATTTAGGCTTAGAAAACATGCTTGGAAGTTTTTGATCAATTCAAGGGGGGCTTGAGAGCGGGCTAGCTTGCTGAATTTGTGTGCCACTGTCCCTTTAAGATGCTATTCCTTGGATTTCCGCCGGAATGATACTCTTTCCAAACCAGAATTTCTGAATAACAAACTCCCCTCAGAAATTCTAGTAGCCCAAAAACCAACTCACCCCCGCAATTCGAAAATCCGGCGAAAAGTCAGGGAGAGCGGAGGGAAATGCCGGATTCACACGCGAACCCCGGTGGGGCTCATAAAAATTTCGGAGTCGCAAGGGTTTGGGAGGGTGGTTGTGGTCTAAAAGCGAGAAGAGTAGAAGGGGGTAGACAACGGGACCCCTAAAAGGAAGAAGAAGAGGAGGAGGACCCGACACCACCAATTCTCAGAATCTCCCAACCAACACACGAACGAATCTACGATTCCCGGGAGTCACAAAAACCATTCGGGGGCGCGTGGGGGATTCGGTGCATGAAAGAGGGTGGCCCTCGTCGGCTTTTGGTGCTTCTGGAGATCCAGCCTGGCTTCTTTGTGCTTACGGCCTTGTTTATGGTGCAAAACAGCATTTGGGTTATTGGAGTTCAAAACTCTTTCGATAATTCTTGGAATAATGTTATGCTATCTATTATACTCATGATGCAAAAACGGTGTACCGAATCAGATGGCATAAATTAAACTTCTTCAGTTTTACCAGATGAAAACGGCAAAATCGTTAACTCCAAACATGTCACGATTGGGGCATTATGAATTTAAGAGCTCGTTTGAAATCCTGAAATAATTCTTCTTGAACTCTGAAAATATTCTGAAACCTGTAGCGTTTAAGCAGCAGCAATCGCGTTTTGAAGGATTTTGCGAACCCTAGGGCAGCGGTGTGGGAGCTAAAAAGGAGTGTGTTTTGGCCTGTAGCGTAGCGGGTGGTTATAGATCCCAATACAGTAGATCGTAGGCGACAGCTCCTAGCCCTTCAGTTTATACCTTTTTTAAAGGGTCGGGCAAGGCTTGACTATGGATTTGCTTGGCCATGGATTTCCCCCGTTTTTGGCGGCCGCGGCATACGTAAGCGAAATGTTGCCCAAATCCATGGGGAATCCGAATAGACTAGAATAAAACATAAGACCTATCCTTTATCTGGATTAGGCGAAATTTCAAAATTCTCGAAGCAGGATGGTTCAAAACATGTAAAGCATCCCACTAGCGCTTTGAAGCTTTTTTCAGCTTTCATTGACTTGACGCTTTTTCCTTGGTCTCGTAGCGACCCTGGCCAAGGCGCAACGCGATTTTGATTTGATTTTCGATGGCTTAAGATGGCAGTCCGATTTCTCGCGAAATTTTTTTTGGCACTTTTGAATGCCTTCCCTTTCACAGTTTTAATTTTTGCCGGCTTCCAAAACATTAATTTCACCTATTTTCAGTCCAAGCGCACTCTAGCTTTAGCTCCCGGAATTTTCAAGCGCGACTAAAGCCGTTTTTGGCGGAATCAAGTCGAAAATAGGGTAAAAAAGCCTTTTTGGGGACCTGGGTCCCTTTCAAGTGGATCATGAATAATTTCGCGTGGTTCCCGGGTTGTCAATTGTTCTTTTGGGGGCGGGCTGGGGGCGAAAACAGGAAGTGCTTCGGGTTTTGGCCATTTCTAATCCGATTGGTAGTACGTTTCGATGATTATTACGGAATGCAACGGCTTATGGTAATTCATCGAAACGTATTATTCATCGATTCTCGTTTATGAGAATCGTTTTTGGTTACTGCCACTTTTAAGTTTGTTAAATTAAGCCTGCCGTTACTCAAATATGATTAGATACTTATTACGGGCTTTCACATAAGGCATAATGCTACAAAAAATTATATAACTAGCAAGCTGCACTCTTCGTGATTTGTAACAACCCTAGAAAATTACCGTAAAAAAACGATCACCGCATAAGATTAATCAAACATTTTATATGACAATTTTTCGAATTTTGCGCTGGTTTTCTGTATTGTCAACCATTATCTAACTACTTCTTCCCGATTCCAAAAATTTAAATGGACTTCCGGATTCAACCATAAAAATTCCGTTCCACGCCGTTCCGTTCGGGAACCCCCCGTCTAGGTTTGGGCTTTGGACTTGTCAGGGGCGTCGAATTGGTTAGGCTGATTGGGGGCCATCGAGTTGCGCTTCGAAGCCCGGAAATGAGGGCCAAGTCTGGCTGGCAGGCGAGTAGACAAGTCGCGCAATTTAGGGTGGAGTGTAAGCGAGGATTAATGCGAAAAAGTAGCTGCCAGATGCTTGAACCCGGAAAATGCGGGTGGTGTCTTCCTCATTAAGGTTTGATTCCTCGTCTGCTTGCGGAATTGGAGTTTGTGAACTATTGCAGATTTCAGGAAACGTATTAAAGCGGAAGGACCAAATCCGGTTCACGGATTTTCATGGTTTTAAAATTTTTATGATTTTAACAAATGGCTTGCCCGCAATTTATAATCTTTGGCAGAGTTCTCCGTTTAAAATCGCTGTTTTTTGAAAAGTTAAACTGGTTTCCAGAATTTTTGGAAGCCAGTGATTTTTAGGCAATTTTTACCTAATAATGGTGGGCGATTTTCAGCGTATTATTTTCAAAGAATTTCTCAAAAACGCCATTACGCGTAGATAATAGGGTTTTCACAATCCGTCGTCGGCCGTCGGTCTTATGTTAGCTGATCATGTTTTTTGCCGTGGTCCTTTCCGTTTGCTTGCTATGTCGGGCATCCATCCCCCTCTTTACCCGGGGCTTCACTTCCGTAAATTAGTTTCCTGCATTATTTGGCCGTGTCGACGGCAAAAAGGAGGCTGGCTCCCTGCTTCTTCGGCACCTTCGCTCATTTGCTGCTTTTTGGTGGCCTGTAATTACCTTAAGATTTTTGATTTAAAGCATTTGGGAAAATCTGCTGTCGGAAAATCTATCTATCTTGCTGTCGCCACCCCCTTAAGGATACCGTATCGTAGCGTTATCTCTCTCACGCTCGCTCTCGTCCTCTCTCTCACTCTCACTCCCTAAGACTCTCTCTCCTACTCTCTTGCTCACTCTCGTTCTCACTATCTCCCTCACTCTCACCCTCTCTCTCTCCCTCCCTCTCCCTTTCTCTCGCTTTTTTCCATCCCTCGCCCTCTGACAAATTCTTCGCTCTAATATATTATTCGAAATGTACCCACATGTAGCCATTGACTAATGAGAAAGTCTGGATTTTGCACGGAATCATTTTTTGTATAAAATTCCCACCCAAATTTTGGAGGCTGGGAGCCAGCGGAAGCTTGGTTTGGTATCAGAATTCCGCTAGAATAGGGTTATTCTCAATGCTCTCGAGGTCTTTCAGCAATTTATTGAGTTTGGAACATGACGAAGAGGAGGAAGGGTATGTTTTTAAGGTTATTAAATTGATGGCCCCGCAACCAGCTAAAATTCGGCGTATGCGATTAATTCTAAAACCGGTAAAATAAGCGTAACCGATTAGTTATTAGTAAATAGGCGTCAACGGTTAAGCTTAAACATCCTACCTGGCGTAAGCGATTAATCCTAATACCTGCAAAACATCGCGTAATCGGTTAATATGAAACTGCTAAAAGAAGGCGTAAACGGTTAATTTTAACAAATACAAAAAGCAGCTTTTTCAAATTGGTTATCAAAATCCCCTAAGCACTAGCAGATTTTTCTACTGGTCTTTTGAAAACTTCCATTAATTATTCATAGTTGTGCTACTCGCGGAAAGCAAAACTCGCTCCCTATGCCTTCTGAATATTCATGTGTGTATTTAGTCCAGGTCACTTGTGTCTGTGTGTTGGAAATTTTTTTCTTAGAAGCTCCAGCAAAAGATGATTCTGCGCTAGTTTTTTTGGGTCTGCAAAAGTCATTCTCATAAATGCGTAGATAGCAGTATTTTTAACTAGCCGATCGTAGCGCTTGGAATCTACAGCGTTTAAAACGGCCTAGACTTTACCTAGAAATTATATAAAATTTTTTCTGGTTATGCTTGGTTTTAATCAGAAACATAATTTCCGTTTTAATTACAATGAATAGTTCCGTGAATTAATTTTACTCCCCTTGATCCCCTCTTGATTTACACCTTTTTAAAAGTTGCGCTTTGCCCAACCAAAAATCAAGCGACTTCCCTGCAGTCGTATTTCATCCCCCTCGATATCTGAAAGGCCGGAAGTGAATGGGTAATAACGCCTCGGGGTGGTAGTAGTGGAAGAGGTGGGAAAATTTGAGTAATTCTCACGTCTTCAGGGCTGGTTTTTCATTTCCATCTTCTAGTTACGTTGGATACTTTAAAAATGGCGCTATATTTTTTGTTCTCTCGCTCGCTCGCTCTCTCGATGTCTCTCTGTATCTCTTCTCGCTCTCTCTCTCTCTCTCTCTCTCTCTCTCTCTCTCTCTTTTTCTCTTTCTCTCCCGCTTTTACGCACCCATTTTCTAGTTTCTGTCAGGTGGCCACACTTCTTGGTACCCAACAAAAACCCGGCGATCGGATTCAATTCTGAGGTCTCACCTCTCGCTCTCACAAAGTGGCCGCCCTATAATATTCGGGCTTTGCCCCCCCCCCTCGTGGAACCCGAATGAATGGCTGAGGGTTTTTGAGGCGAGACTTGACGCTAGATTTTGGGATGGCTTTAGATATTCTGTTTCTAGGAATTTTCTAGTCTTTGAGGAATACCCTTAAACTCACCTTCATTACGACTGAATAATCCGAAGTTTGCAAAATCAGTGTTTTAAAGAGACGAGAAAGGCCTCCGGTTTGATCTTGCTGGCTAAAGGTTCACCAGGGATACTACGCCGCGACCCGCAACGCAAGCCGTCTTCGGAGGTTTCAACAGGAAAACGCAACGCGTGGGTTGCGGGCGCGTTACATGTGCGTCGGGTGGGCGCGTCACGCAACGCGCGTAGGATAATACGTTAAAGGCGCGCGTAGGGCGTGAGCGTGGCGTGTGCGTGCGCGTTGTTGTGGGTTATATGCGACGGGTGTGCGTTCCGTGCGCGTTGCGTCTGCGTATGTTACTTCTCCGTTGCATATGAGTTGCGTTTGCGTTGCGTGGCGCACAGCCTGAAAAATCTCTGGAAAATCCATAGCCAATAAATCCAGAGTGCTATGTTCAACATTCCTTTAATCAAGGATCCCCAGTCCAAACATTCTACTCGTAGCTTTTCTATGTGAATTCCCGATCTTACGGCTTCCGTGCATCTCTAGACCCTGCAGAAATTTTTATGCCAATTTTTCCAGCGTCGTTCCGATTTTTTTATGGCAGAGGCCATGTACGCCTCTTCCTCTTTTTTTTGCTTTTTTCGTTGAACACCCGAGAGATAAACAACGGGTTGGCGGGCGTTTAATTAATTTTTGAGTCGTCCCCCTGGGGGGGGATGGCTGGGGGCGAAAATTGGGGGAGGAACCCCTTGGTGGAACCTCCAGTGAGAGGGTGGAAGAGGGGATCTTAGGATTTCTCGGGAGAGTATAGTTGTTGAGATTAGACGTGCAAAAGTTGTCAAGGAAAATGCAAATATTTAATGTCAAGTGAAGCCAGATAGTGGGTGCCACCACCGTGTAATGTAGTTTTTATATTTTTCAAATATATAGAAAAATCGTATTGTGGGAAAGCTTGCGGCTACCCCGCTTTTTCTGGATAGGTGCTAAATGAAACTTTTAAATAATCGCTGGTGTTCTTCGACTTTTTTACGTTTTGTAGTTTCCGCTATGCTACGCTACACGGGGATATTTTTTTATCAACTGTGAATCTGTACTCGTAATTTTCCTCAAACCCAAAAGTCGCGAAATTGTAGCCTAACCGTTCAAGATTGTAGTTGACCAAATGCTTGCAACATTCTCTATCGAAAACTTGTTAATTGTTGCTTGTAAATTTATAAGATCCTTGCACTTCACAAAAATGTTCGTTTTTTGAAATCGGCCCCGATAATTGCGGGCCACAGTGAAGAATTCACGTCCTAACAGAAAAAAGATAGGATAACAAACCCGAGGTGCTAGGCCTGAAGGTTTCGTCGCGTTGTCGTTAAGTCCGTTGTCGCTGGGTGGTTTCAGCAATTGTCTTTCAAAAAAAAGCTTTTATCCCATAATGTGGCCAAATCGAAAAGGAAATCGTTCGTTCTTTCTTCAGCCACGCGAAAATGTCACGTTTCTAAAGATCTACGCACCTTCGTAATTGTCAGGTTGAATATACAAATTTGGGCAGGGCTTTTGCACTCTAGCTAGGCTTCGAAGGTAAATTCGGAACCTTATAAGACAAATTCTTGCTTCATCCTTTTCGCCAATATTAGCAGTCGATGGCTTGTGGCGTAATCGCTGCTTTGTAATATGTACCCAGGATCTGAACTCAATTTTGAGAGACGTTTTTTGTGATCGAGACCGTGCTCGTTCAGCCATATTTGAGAAGTGGAATCAGTACCAAACATTCATTATGAAATTTCTTTGGTTCTTCGTTTTGGAGCAATTACTGTATTATTAAATTTCTGGACTTAACAATTTCCAAGCCATTTTCGCCGAGTCCAACTATAATCTAGCTGGTTGTTTGCCTCATTTTATACTTTATCTTCCGCTTGGTTTCTGGGAAATCATATCGTTTAAGATAACTTAAGTTGTGTTTAGCTCTCAAAAACCTTTCCTCAATATTTCACAACACTTGCCATGAAAGTGTTGTGGCCTGGACGGATCAGGAGGGCGGATTTTCGCCCGGCCCTACCCCAAGTAGGCCGGGCAAAAAGGGAAAGAAGTTAATGAGAAGGGGATAAAGTGTCCCCTCCCTCTCACCACCAGAATCACAAGAAGAAAAGAAGAAGAGGGGGATGATGAGAAAAGCAAAGACGTAAAAAGGAGGGTGGCGGAAAAATGGCGGGCCTTCCCCCCTCCTGTGGGGGATTGCGGGATTTCCGCGAATCCACAGAATCCTTGTGAGGTGGGCGCTCCCGGATTTGTAGACCATAGAGGAGGATACTTTACCCCCTGATCGACAGTATTCTGTAGATGTTCTTCTAGTTAGCTGTCCAAAAATATACAGTTTGTAGGAATGCTTACAAAACTCTATTGAGCCATGGATAATACATGTGTAAGGATTACCAGCCGTAAACGGTCGGAATCTGGACTCGCAGTATCCATGTTGTAGCCTTTATTATGTTTCCTATAGCTCTTAAAGTGCAATCACCGTTTTGCACAGATTTGATTTGATTTTGGAGGATATGGAATTTGGAAATCTCTGCTAGTGCTTTCTTCACTGCTGTTCACTAGCTTTCTACCTTTCTATTTGTCGTAACCAGTAATACCGAAATTTAAAAATTTCAGAACGCTTGGAATCTTTTCGGTTTTTTGCAATTTGTGCGCCACCTTCATTCAATTTTTATCCTCAATCCCCGGAACCACTGCTGCCTTGCCTTCTGTGCGACTAACAGCATAAAGGCATTACAAGAAAATAATAGTCCTAATCAAATTAATTTCACCATTTTGCAAAGCTTAAATTCAACCCACCGTTTCGAAATTAATTTTTTTAAGCTAGCCGATTTGAATGTCATCACAAATCCCGAAAATCTCCCTTGTATTTTTAACACAATTCCGCCCTTGAAGTTTGCTTTCCTTTACAGCTTTAAACGATCAATTCGGCAAATTCTCGGCATCCACTTCCGCGTTGGGTAGGGTTCGGATTTTTTTGTGGATGCTAGAAAAACTCGACAACCGGCCAACTACATTTTTCGCATCCTACAATTCTTAATTCTGTCTGGGTTCCCGCATTTTCCATAAATTTCTGTTAAAAAAAACTGGGATATGACTAGTGCGTCCGGACACGATATGAGAGCCTCTCTCTCCTTGCTCTCTCTCTCTCTCTCTCTCTCTTTTTCTTTCTCGCCCTCACGAATTTTCGTAAGACAATCTTATACCCCTTTAGTCTAATCACTATAAGATTACAACCAGAGATAAAGTTTTGATAAAGGGCATACCATGAAAGACTGATTTATTAGCGTGCCCATTCGTGCGTAAATGACGCCCACCTTCATCGCTATTTTTCGGGGCTTCCGCGGATTAACCGGGCCCTGGAGCTGCCAGAGGATTAGATAGGGGGAAAGTTTTGACTTTTTAGGGCAGAGGATTAGTTCATTGATTTTTATTTTTGTGGATTAGTGAAATTTTTGGGGGTTTTGTACAGTTTTGAATTTTGTTCGGAGATCGATTTTCCAATGCTCTCTCTCACTCTCTCTCACTCTCTCTCTGGCTGGCCCTCTCTCTCTCTCGCTTTCTCTCTCTGTTTTTCTCTGGTATACTAATTAGCACAAAAGCCCGATTTTGCAAAATTTGATCCCGATTCCTGGATTTTCGAATCCCATTGCAACCCGAATTGGACCCGAATCCCGACACAAATTTATGCAAACCTAATTTGTTACCGAAAATGCATTCCGGCTCATTCCAAATTCCGTTCCCCCTATCGTCGGCCCCTCATTGTGGCCACCGAGGCGCGATAAATCGGCGAATTTGATTTCCGGCCCGTACCTCGTGCTCCCCGGCCCCATTTCCGCAGTCTCAGTTTCCCCCTGCTTACTAAAAACTCTCAAAAAATTGTTTTTATTGCACCAAGTAATTTTTTCATGCGAAAGCTGTAGCTAATATCCGGCCAATTTCCGGAATTCTGGAATTGTCTATTAAGCGGGGGCGTATGTTTTGAAGGGGAATTTCGAAATGACGATGTGTGGTTGATAGCCTCCGAATTACACCTAAAAACGTGCTGCTAAAAAACTGAAAAATTTTGCTATGGTCAGCTACCTAGAACGTCTCCAAAATCTGTTCGAATGCTTGGATAGCAGGAAGATGAGGTTGCCTTAATAGTCCCGTAATACCATTATCATGAATTTGCGTTTTTTCGTTTCTGAAAATTGACAATTTCCCACGGTATTCACCGGCTATATAAACACCTTAAAAAGCTTTAAATTTACATAAATTTTCAGCATGGGCGAGGAGCGCTACCGGCTGGTCGTGCTCGGCTCCGCCAAGGTTGGCAAGACGTCACTGATACGGTGGGTAAATGGCTTTTATGGAGTCACGGCTCCGCTACTGCATACCCTGAGAGTCAGCCCTTGAATGCGTAGCCCGCGGGCTCAGCGCGTTCACGAGCCCCTTGTGCCAGCGTCTCTAGGTCGTAGCATCTCAGCTGAACGCGTGACGGTCGCGTCGCATTCAATTAACGTCCTTTTTCAGGCAGTACCTCTACCACGAGTTCTCCGAGAAGTACAAGGAGACGATCGAGGATTTGCATTCCAGGCAGTTCAGGATTCAGGTTAGTAAAGCTTATCATTCTCGCTCGAACCCTCTATCGATTCGATGTATCTCTCTCTCTCCCTCTCTCTCTCTCTCTTATTTCCATGTTTAGGGAATCCCCCTCCCTCTCGACATCTTGGACACCAACTTCAACTTCCCGGATATGAGACGGTTGGCCATATCGACAGCTTCCGCTTTTTTGCTGGTATTCTCGGTAGATGATGTGCAGACGTTCAAGGAGGTCAGTTAAAAAAAGATTAAGATAGTTAAAATAAAGCGTAAAATAACTGTTAACCCGTCTGAATCCAGATGTCCGATCTGTGGCAAGAGATCTGCGATCGGCGTCCGGATATTGCACTCCTGCCTACCGTAGTCGTTGGGAACAAGTGCGATTTGGGGTCGAAGAAGGTAAGTTATAAGAGAGAGAGAGAGAGTGAGAGAGAGAGAGAGGAGAGAGGGAGAGAAGGGAGGGAGGGAGAGAGAGAGAAGATCTACTGAAAAGTGGCACAACTCCATTTTTTTAGATATTCGAAGCTACCGCTACTGCTTTTACAAAGCGTTTGAGTGGAGATGTACGATATTTAGAGGTATGTATCGTCGATTTTTAAGGCTTGTTGTTGCTTATTTTAAATATACTACATTAGGATACCTGTAATCGTTTTGTCTCCCTTGATTCCACTTTTCAGGTCTCGGCCAAGAACAACCTCCGTGTCGTCGACATTTTTCGGCAACTCCTGGAAATTTCCGGATTTCCCAGATGCAAGGTAGGCTTGAGTTTTATTTCCGCTACCGTAACCTTGATTTAATTTTGTATTTTTATTTTTTTTAATCCAGGGTATTAACCTTCCCACTCCTCTCAAGGTAAGCTCGAGTGGAAAACATTATATTTGGTTTGAAGTGATTTTTTGGCTTTTCGAGTTCTTGGTTGCTGGTCGATTAAATTTTCTTTTTTGATTTTATAGAATTTTTCTGAGTTTTGAAATACGCAAAAATCGGTTTTCGGATCTTGGAGTGAAGTGCATCTTTTTAAGGCTTCCGGTGGACGGCTTGAAGACCTCGGTGAGGAGTCGAAGGAAGGTTCTCCGATTTTGAGAAGATATAACACAACGAGGGAACGGCCGACGAATCGGCAAATCTTCATGCACAAGGCATGCTTTTGGTTGAAAATGCTTGAAAATGGGTTTGGATGGGTGATTTCGTAGCTTTAAAGGCACTGGGCAGTGTGAGCATCGACCCTGCGAGTCAACTCGGCCTAGGCAGCTACGCATCATTCCTAATGAGTCTTCTAACCTATGAAAAATAGCTAAATGCGTTAAGTGACGGGAGGAGTAGCTGTCTACACCTAGCCGAAACTCAGGGTCGATTCTAGCACTTACTGGACCTTTTAATCTTCTGGAATATGTATTTTGAAGATCCTAGTTTATTGAAATCGATTCTATCTAATTCTAATATCATTGATACAGTTGCAAGCATGCACTAATACGTAGTTTTGTTGGGTTAATAACCATGAAAATTTTCGTGCTATTCGCCGCTTAATTCTTGTTTTGCGGAAAAGCCCGACTTGTGGGCAAATTCCCGCGCTAAAAAAATTGTGCCCAGAATGAGGAAAGAATGAATCCTCTGGGGGACCCAATCCAAAATATTGAGTATAAAAATAAGTGAAATTCTAAGACACTAGTAAGGGAATTACACCTAAAAATTCTAATAAAAATTGTGTTTTTTTGCGCTCTGGATGAATTGGGTCATAGAAAACGCATGAAGAGTGTATGGCAGGTCTTCTTGCCGATAAATTTTTATAAACTTATTTTTTGGGTTATTTAGGAAGCGTTCAAGGAAAACGAGGTCCAGGCCAAGGAAAGTCCACCGTTGAACCACCAAGCTTCCCATCCACTACTCTCCCTTTCCGAACGAATCCTTGGCCACAACGACCTGAAGCGGAATCGATCGTTAAGGGTAAGTTAGGCTATAAGAATTAAAAAAGAGCAAAACTAAAAAATAAAAAGCAAGATAAAGATAAAAGCAAAAAAATCTAATAAATTCAGATGAAATCGCCACGTCGTGAGAAGGACACCATCGAAAAGAAATCGTTGGATGATACCGAGACAAAGGTGAGACAACCAAAATTCCGATCCTGCCAGCAAAGATTATTCAGAAATACAAAATTTTCCGTCGGTTACGTTTTCCTTTAAAATATTACAGCAGTTTTCTTAACCGTATAAACCCCATTCTTTAGCCGCTGAGCCGCTCGGGGAGTCTGATCCGCCGAACCAAACATCTCAGCCTCAAGATGCGCCGCCATGGGGATAAGCAGGAAAGCCCGCAAGTCGTTGACGAAAGCGATTGCCGGATACAGTAATTTTAACGTTTATTTGAATTCAAATGCATTTTGTAGTTTTTATCGATTTTTTTTACGTTAAAAATCTCTTTGACTGATCCTCTCTCTCACCAACCACGACACATCCGCGATTCAGGATTCAGGCGCTCTTTTTGTAACTTGATGTAATTTTGCATAATTTCTTTGCGATGTTGATCTTTATTGCGGGACCGTAACAAATATATTTGGAAATGGAGAATCCGGGCATAGAACAAACGAAAAAAAACATTAAAAAATGGTAAGCGGAAATACGATGTGAAAGGTCGGGAGGTTCGGAAAACATCAAAAACCAAATTAAATTGGGATATGGTTCAACACTTTATTGTGGTACTTTGATATGCAGATTGCTTTAGTTATGCAAATTAAAAAAATTACTGTGAATTAGCTTGATTTTTACAGAGCTGGAAAGAGTTTAAATAATAGAAAATGAGATCGTGATTTCCGGGGAGGGGGGAAGTGAGCTGAAATATTTTGACAGACAGATAGATTTTTGTAAGGTCTTAATTGTCGTCTAATTATTTAGTAATTCAGCGCTAAATCTCATTTTCGATAACCTTTGTCGAATCTTTAAATAGTGTTCCGCTTGCTCTTGACGGCGCAGCATGTGCAGCAGGCAAAGACGAGGGCGATGAACTGGAAAAAGTCGATTGAATTATGTATGTAAATCTTGTACGATTTTGTAAACAGGTATACCTTATTATTTCAAACAGCACTTTAAAGAAATTGCAAAAAATTACCTCCACAACCAAAATCGCAATGGCAATCACGAGAACGATGACCATATTCGAGGTGAACGTATCGAAAAGGGCGTAAGCGCAGCCTTGCTAAAAACGTGTGTCAATGATTATTATATACTGGATGAAGCATGTGTTAAATGCTAAACGTGGTTGAGTAGTAACTTACCACGGCATAAGTATTCCCGGAAAAGCATGTTGTGCAGGATTGTGGAATCGATTGGTAGTCGGAGCATCCCGTAGCTCCACAGCAGCTCATCTGAAATATTCGCACTACGACAATCGTTCTGTATCGTTGTCTCCCTCTCCCACTCCCTCTCTCTCGCTCACTCTGATGCTGTCTCTTTTTCTCTCTCTCTCTCACTTTCTCTCACCTGTCTTTGAATATTATCCAGTGTATCCCGAATAACACTGTTCGATTGGTAGTTGGCAACCAGCTCCGTTCGCCACACATTCGCCAGGTTGTTGCGGATCTAAAAAAGAGGTTTACTTTTCGCTCGCTATATCTAGCTTTCTCTGTCGTTCGCTCGTTCTCTCTCTCTCTCGCATTCTCTCCCTCTCTTTGTCTCTCAACTCACATTATCCTTGTTGATAACGAGGTACACTCCGCCAGCAATCTCCAACACAAATAGGATTCCGACGAGGGTGAAGTACTAAAAAAATACATATTTACAACGTCCTTTCAATTGCTAATTTTTAGCTCCTGGTATTTTAGCTTACAATTCCAATAACACAGATGCTCTCACAGCAACTTCCGCAGCAGCCAAGACCTCCGAGAATGAAAAGAATCAAGCCGAAAGCTGCGACAATGTAGAGCAGCCAGTAGAACTGAAAAAATAAGATAGCTTCTTGACAACGCTTTAGCTAGAGCCCTTGCAAAGTCTAATAAATTAGAAAATACCTGATCAAAATTAATGGTCGATATATTGATCTGTATCAACCCTTGGATTCTCTGTTGCCATTGCTGATCAAATCGCATCCATAGCGCCAGACCGCAAATGACGCCGCCGAGGACCTAAAATAGGGACTTTTAGAGTTTTTATCATAATTCATAGTTATTAATGAAATCAGGGTTAAAAACTTTCAACCCTCCCGTCACCTTTGATAATTCACGCGATATGACAAAAATAATGACCTCTTTCTCTTATATAGGCACCGTAACTCCGGAATATGATTTAACAAACTAAAAACACCAATTTTTGAAATTTTCGTGTGAGTCACTCAAGGCTATTACGCATCGAATAAGGTATAAAACATACCCTAACCCCCCTGAGATACTACGAACACGCTCGGAAGTGGGCACACAACACACACACAGACACTATTTTTTTATATATAGTAGGATAGGTCCAGTATGGAGCCGATCGAAAAATGCACTTTGCCGCTTTAAAAATACATTAACCGGATGTCCGAAAACTCACAAAGAACAAGAAGTTGAGCAGCCAGAAGAAGTACTTGATGCATTTGTTCCCGCAGCCGACCACCATCTAGAAAGAGAGTTATATTTTCGATTTTGGACATTTTTCGAGTATTTTAAAGAGAGAGAGAGAGAGAGAGAGAGAGAGAGAGAAAGCAAGAATGGAAGAGAAAGCCAGTCAAAACAAGATTTACCGTTTGTTTAGCTTCAGTTTTCTTCGAGAAAAACTTGGACTTGAAACGGGATGCAAATTTTGGGGGTGGCGCTGTCTCGGGGTCATCAACGAGTGGGGTGGGGGACTCCATTTTTTAGGTAAATAGATGTAGTGCGTAGTGTAGTGTAGTCGAATATGTTACGTTCGGAATACGGTAGTTCTGGGTTACGGTAGCTCCAAATTACGGTAGTTTCGGCTTACGGCAACTCCGGAGTGAGATAGTTTCAAATTAATATAGTGTCGCTAGCTCCAAATTACGGTATCCGTTTATCACGGAGTGAAACGGAAAATATTTGGGCTACGGTAGCCTGAGTATTCGGAATCCGGAAAATCGGAGCGTAGTGGAATACCGTAGCTGGCCTCGCAAAAGCACAAATTCCTCCGCAATTTTTTCGGCTTCCGCTTTTTGAGGTAATTCGAGGGTCCCGCAGCGATTGGGGGTGAGGGTGTAGATATGGTGAAAGAAGCCGCCCGGTGATTTATATAGACAGAGTGGTGAATGTTTGGCCGGGTCGCCTAGGTATCCAGCTGCCTCGGCCCGAGCCAGCTTTTCAATACCAGGGTGAGGGACTTCTAGAAACCAATCAGGGGCTAAAAGTGGACGGGGTGGAATGTGTTGGGGCCAGGAAATAGGCAATCGGCCAGCTGAAATTTAGCTCTCGGCAATATCACGCGCATGCCAATTGGCAGCCAAAAAAAAGTCCGAAATTAGGTAAGCGCGGCAATCGTAAAAATTTGACTGTTTTTGTTGCTTTTAAGGGGAAGTCATAAAATCGTATATTGTCAGAAAAAGAACCCAATTAGTGTTACTTGGTCCGAAAAAATTTTGGCGAATTTTTGAAAATTTTTGCTTAAAGTACCATGAAAGCAAAAGTATAGAATAAGGGCAGGCTAAGGCTTAGGAAGTTCAAGTAGTGTAATAGTGGGTCCTTGAAGTGCATTTTTTTTTTCATTTTAAGAACAAAATTGAGAAATATAAACAAAATTAAAACAGGTCGTAAAGGTCAGAAATTTACGTTTCCACTTGCATTAAAAGGCATGCACGGAATTTTGTGCATCTAGTCTCATATCAAGAATAGCAATGATTTTGGCACCTTTTTAATGGATTCTTGTATTACGGTAGATACCTAGTTGTTAATTTGATGTCCAAAACAAGCTTGGCACACGAGAAAAATCGGCAGCTGTTTTTTCTAGACAAAAACAGGTTTATTTTGCCCCAAGAACAACTTTTTATAGGATCCACTGATGATGTTCAGCATCAAAATCAGGTATTTTTTGCTTTTACTTAATATTCACCACGATATTAGATTTTTGGCGCCCTGTTGAAATCATAGTTTTTCAGAGTTCGCCAAAAAAGGGTCCAAAATCAGATAGTTCGCAAAAAGTGTGATGGCAGGTGTTTCACCAATAGTTCATCTAGCAGATTAGTACAACTTTAGACAGTATTTTCCTAATTACGCTAATTCATTCGAAGTTCAAAAAATTGTGATATTTGATGACACCAAAAATGACAATGACAGGTGACCTTTGCCGTCAAAAATCAGAAAAGGGCAAGAAGTTGTTTTTTGCGTCTCAAAAGCCAGCTGCAAGATAGACAAGTTCTCGCCTTAAATTTTTCTCACCCACCTTCCTTCCACCATCCTACCCCCCCCCCCCCATAAATACTTCATTAAACTTTTCTTGGTCTAAAAAATCATTTCCTTTCTCATTCCCTTGGGGAAGCCAGGCTCATCAATTTTCTTCCCTCCCCCCGGCTGGGGTTTTGGGCGCTTAAAATAATAAAATAAGATTTAAAGTGGCAGGTACTTGATCCTATCTAATTTGAGGCATTTTTCTTGTAATTAGCTGCTGGCAAGGTAACGTACAAATTAACATAAATCACGAATTCAATTACCCGTGTTTTCAAAGTCGAAACAGCACAAAAATAGGCTTTCATGAAAAATTCTCGATTAATAAAAGTACTAATTCCCGGAGCTTCCAAAATTCTCCACTAATAACCCAAAACCTAGTAGGATGTAGTACGACAATTTTCCCATATTCCCACGATAGTCTATATAGCCTCAAACCGGGCGTAAAAATCCAAAAATGCCGTGTGTGGGTTGCTCCGGGCCCTCGGCGACCAATTTGATTTTTTTCGCGCGCCCCACCTCGCGGGGGAAATTAACCGAATCTCACGATTAGTGAGCGGCTGATGTCGGGTCAGAAACGCTGTGACTAGGTTGGACGGGGAGAAGACGTACAAGTTTTTGACGGAGGTACAAGGTTTTTGGTTGTCTGGACAACAAAGGAAATCAACATTCCGCAATATGGATATCAGTGAGCAGGGAGGGAACGTAACGTTCCGCAATTACGGGGCTTGGACGTTGGAAGGGTGTGATTTGGAAGTTTGGAAGAGATGCAGGCCCGTGTTTTCTTGGTTTGAAGCCAGAGAGATAGGGAGAGAGAGAGAGAGTGGGAGAGAGAGGGAGAGAGGGGGAGGGAGAGAAGATGGAATAAAAAGCTGTTAAAGGCAAGACCATAATTTTCTTGTTCACCAATTCGCTTTGGCATAAGCTTGCCCGCGCACACTCTAACGCAACACACTAACGCAATGAATTAGGATCCACTCCTGCGCCGCGCCGCGTGTGCGATCATTCAATAGAAATTCATAATGAATAAAAGACAGAAATCATGCCTTTCTAGACCCTTTAAAGGGTCTCGGAAATGCCAGCATTGCCCCTCCCGACCTAGATCTCGACAGCCACGTGACACTTTAAATAACGTTTGAAGCATCTTATGAATAGCGCCTGAAAAGGATATAAATGATCTTCTACGGACCTTTTAGCGCATGGAGTAAATGTCTAGTTTCGGATAGGCGGCGATTCTGGCGCTTTTTAGTATTTTTAAACGCAAGTCTCGTATCCTCGATTCTTTTATACATTTTGTCTTAAATGGGTCGGTGTGGAAATTGCTGTAATTATATAGCGTATTTTAATATTGATAAAGTACTAAGTGTTCGACGTAAAATATACCGGTTTTGAAGATAGAAATTTTTGAGACAATTTGACGGGAAATCACTAGTAAGTGCCCTTTAGTTGGGTCCCAAATCCGGCGATCGCACTTTTCTACGCACTACTGCCATGCACAATGCAAAAAAGGCAATTCCACGAGGTGTCGCCCGGAACAATAGGGTTGGGTATTAGCCAGGATAGGTCCATTGCCAATTCCAATTCTACCACAATTTTCCAGATCTGTCTCTCTCCCTCTCCCTTTCTCCGTCCCTCTCTCTCTCTCTTTCTTTCTCTCCCTCTCTCTCTCTCTCTCTCTCTCTATTCCTCTAGTAGTTGGTAAAATTAGTGGTGGCGTTGGTCCCCACGGAGAGGGTGTTAGTTAGTGGTATGGCAATTTGCTATGGTAACCGATAGGCAATCTCGGACTCCCACGTACTCCCTTGGAAGCCTAAAAAGTGCCCCAGGCTCTCTCACTCTCGCTCTCTCTCATTTTCTCACGTTTTCTAACTCTCTCGCTTTCTCACTCCGTCCCTCGTCTTTTTCTGATCTCCCACCCTCTGCCAGCTTTTTGTAATGAAATTATCCGTGCCGTGCTAGGGGGTCGCTGGAGGAAATTGGCCACTTTTTGCGGTGGTGGTTTTGGTATAAATAATATGAGGGTGGATACAAAATTCATGGCCGGTCGGTGGGGAAGCAAAACATACGGCTGCCAGTATACTGCAAAAAAATTAATGGATGGGCAAGAATTAAAGGGGCCGGAAAGTCAGGGATTCGAGCGTGAAGCGCCGATTTTGAAACATTTCATGCATTCAGAAAACAGAGTATAATTCGTTAAGTGCTTTGATTTATGACAGATTGGGCAATCTAGCAGTGATCACTTGTTGAATTAAGGGTACTAGGAAGATAGGCGAAATGTCGAACAACTAGCATACAATCGATTCGATGACGGATTCATGAACTGGTTCGTTGGCTTAGGAAAGTTCGTCGATTGGGCAAGCTGGCAGAGGCCATTCGCGCAAAATTATGGAAATGGAAAATTACTATAACGCCCCGTAGCAGGTATTTAAACGCTCATAAATAAGTGAAAAGCCTGCAACTGCAGCCCTAACGTTTCGTCCCTGGAGCTGGCTAGCAGAAGCTAAAAGCTAGCTCGCCCAAACCATCAAATAGGTTTTTGTAAAAAACATGAGGTGCATTGAGCTAAAGTTGCCAGAATCTCGACAATGGGAGACACCGGTGTAACCAGGGCAAGAAAATTAATCCGGGCCCCGGAATATGGACAGAGTTCTGAGTTCTGATGGCCCCGGGCCGTTGCTGAGGAAGCCACATGGGAGTTCGAATCAGTGAGGAGCAGGAGGCCAGCGGGTTCGTTTCTTTTTTTGATGTCACAGATTCGAAAATAATTATTAAAAGACGTCAGCACTCAAAGAAAAACGGAACTATCGGGATTTTACGTATTTCTTTTTCCTTACAGTTAAGACTTTTTCGCCAATGTATGGGCCATGTTCGTAACAACTCAGTTAAAACTATAAACGCGGTATTTAATTAAAAATCTATTACCATGATTTATAAAACTTGGCAAGGCATGTTTCAAAAGTCTAAAAGTCAAAAAAATTGGAAAAAATAGCGGCGACAGGTATAGAAAAGGTATATTAAATGGAGTAACTCAAGCCATAGCGCCAAGAATAGCGCCAGGGTCGAAAAACGGGTATATATAGAAAATGTACGTTCAGTGCGGTAGGTTTTTCATATTTGTCAGATTCAGGATGACCTTGTCCAATTCCGGTCTATTGAATTCGATCAAAGCCCGAAACCTCGACCAGACCCGAGCTGTGCGGAACGATTAGCGAGTGGCGGTTAATTTGGCGCCATTCTGGAATGAGAATGGAAGTTGTCGGTTCGGGGGGAGGGGACAAATGGGGGCAAAGCGGACAGACATAGGCTATCCAAGAGTTGTGTGGCTAATGAGGGCCTGTGAATATCGGTGGAAATTATGATTATAGGGTACGCTAGAGATTTGGCATTATTTAACGGGGTCGAGACAGATCACGACCAAAATAACAGAAATCGCACATCTGATTCTGAAAAACCCAATTTGAAGTAATTAGGATGAGCAGTTTTTTGCTTATTGGCGTTTTGTACGCAAATTAGAAACCGGCAACGGAACGAAAATGAAAGGTAAGTGTTCTTTTCACAGTTTTTATTTTTATAAATAATACAACTTTTTAGGGAGCTCGACACTAAAATGTTTGAAAAATTTCGTAATTTCTTTCGAACTATATTTGCAAATTATGACGGTATTTTTTTAGCAAAAATCGGTACCAAACTAAAACAAAGTTCACGAATAGGTTCGGCGGCGCAAAACTCTCGAAGTCTCGAAGTTTCGGTGATAACTTTCCCTTTTCTCACGTCTATTTATTGCCCCAAAATTTCTGTGAGACCACGGACTTGCAAGTTCTATTCAAAAAAAATCTGAGAGTTACTAAGAAAAACTGCTATTCAACCCCAGACTGGTAATTTCTATGTGATTCAGCACCCTTTTAATACCGTTGAAAAGCATAGAATTGAAAATGCATCGAACTGAACTCAGAGAAATCCAGTATAGACAGAAAAGTGAAAGTCAGTCGAACTTGGCGTTTCAAAAATATGTGTTTGAACGCCGCAATTTCTTACCTATGAACTGGCGCTATGATGGGGTATCTACGGAAACCAGTAATCACACCTAATGGGGTGGGGTACTTGTTATATTCCAGGGGTTTCCAAGGACTCCCAAAAAGTTGAGAGGAAACTGTCGCGGATGGCATACGTGCGAACACATGATCTGACTAGACGCTGGTGTTTCAAATGCCAATTAGCGGGCCGGTAGCACGGTTTATATAAACCTGTTAAGGTTCTTTAAAGGTACACTAAAGCCTCGTTGGTTTGGTTACCGGCCGGTAACCGTCCGCGGAATAGCAAACAGGGTTACGGTAGGTGCTCGCCGCGGAGCAAAACCGAACCCGCGCCACTCGCCTAGGGTGAGCACTTTAGACCACTAGGCCATGGGACAGACGGGAGAGGGGAGAGGGAACGGGGATAAGAAGGAGCGGGGGCGTTGCGCGGCAGAGGGCCGGGATTTCCGACCGCGAACTGACTTTTTTGCACGAGATTTTAGTGTACCTTTAAGGACAGAAATCGAAAACGGGTTGAGCAAAGCACACTAGGCAAAAAAACAGAGCATCATTGCGTGCTTTACCCCCGGATCCCGATTGGCGCTCGACTAAGAAAACACGAAAACAAAAAATAAATTGCGCATTTTGGAAATCAGGTTAATTGCTATTACGCAGAAGCCTAATGAGCAAAATATTAAGATGTAGTTTGGCAGTGCCGCGCGTGAGTCAGTGAAAGATAGAGGGCGGTGAAAGAAAGAAGAAAGTAAAATCCGGAAATTGGTCTGGTCGGGCGCGCCGGAAAGTTAGGGTCGTTCGTTTTAGAGGTCAGGTTTAGGACCTATCGTTGGGCAGATAGGAAACCGGTACAAACGATCAACAATTCGCCAATCTATAAAAGCTAAAGATAAATGTCAGACATTTGTTTATATAACGCGTAAATGCTTCTTGATAAGCCCAATATTGACAACATTGCAAAATCTGTGGTCTGAGAACGCTAGAAAGTCCCCGTTCTTTCCAAGGTCCCCGATGCGTTAGTAGGAAGTAGATACCTTTATATGTGTTGAGTCCTCCGAATCCTGGTGTTGAAACTGTGACAGGACTTCCTGAGCTTCGGCCGTGGATGAGTGCAGTGGCGTCGATAGACGCCTGGGGTAGCGCGAGCAGGTCCGCGGGCTTCGCTAAATTAAGGTTCAGTGTACGCCTTATGTACACCTCCTCTACCTATAAAAATCAGAATTTTAAGGCAACGACATGGCGTGCGCGTCGCACGTGGCCAATACGGTAAATCGCTAACTGTAAAGTGTTTTTTACTCAACTTGGAGTTTCGATTCGGGACCAAGTGCATCTTGTACAGAATTTTTCGCTGATTTCGAATATGTTTTCCAAATTTGCTACGGACCGTTATTCTGAAAGTTATACGGCAATTATGACCCTAGTTTTCACTAAAATGAAGGTATCGTTATAGTTTTCGATTTACTTCGTTAATTTCAACGTCAAAATTGACCAGACGTTGGCTCGACAAGCATCCTACAGCTCAAAACAAGCATTTTAGATAAAAAAATTAGATTTTTATGCAAAAAGCAAAAGAAATGACGCAGGGCGGGGCTTCGAACCGCCGCCCTGCGCTTGGCAAGCGAGTACTTTGCCAATGCACCATGGTGCCAACTGGGATGGGTGCTGTCAGAGGGTACTTCAGGGCCCCGGGGCACCATAGCCCCAAACAAGGAATAGTGGGCCAGCGTCTGAATTTTTGGCATTTGTCGGCCTAATTGTTACCAAAAATGATTTTTTAAATAAAAGTCCGTAGCAAATTTGGAAAACATATTCGGAATCAGCGAAAAATTCTGCACCAGATGCGCTTGGTCCCGAATCGAAACTCCAAGTTGAGTAAAAACACTTTTACAGTAAGAAAATCCATAAAGAACAACTAATATCCATGCTTTTCCGTCCCCTTAATATCCTAAAATTCACTCACATAATCCGGCTCGAGCCGTAGCACTAGCTGATCTCCAGACACCGGGCAGACGGTCGTCATACAAATCCAGACGCGAAAAATATATCGAAAATCTTGGCTATGAGATCCAGCTCAAAATTGCCTCCAATTTTTTGGGTCGGGATGGGGGGCAGATAAGGGCAAAACCTTGTCTTCAGGGCTCTTCAGGGCCCTCCACGGGCTACAAATTAGGGGAAGATCGGGGCGCGGCTGGCCGGCTGAAGAAATTGAAGAATTTGAAGAAATTATTCCCATTTGGGAGCGCCTGATTCCGATTGTTTGGCGTTCGGGTGCTCGAAATTTGAGTTGAAATTTTGGAAAATAGATGCCTTAAGGGGATAAATTTAATTAAAAACGGTGCAAATTTCGAGGCGGACATAGAACAAGACGTTTCCAGCCAAAGAACGAGGTACACCCTGCCGGTGTTTACTGTAATTTTGCATGCGGGAAATTAATATTTTCACATTCGAGAATTGTAGCTTGTGGTCGGGGTTTGGTCTTGGAAAACTATGGGAAACGGATTAATGAAATGGCGTAACGAACGTAGCGTGCGTAGTTACGTAATTTCACCTCGGTTCTGGTTCCGGATATTTATTGGATATTTATGAATCTAACATAGCAATTTCTGGTTACCTCCGTGCATTAGCTACTAATTTCCTCAACAAATCCACTGCGCAGACTGCGTGATACCATACGTGCCCACTTCCCCCGCTGATAAGCAGCCCTCGTATGTTTTTGCGCTAAACTTCCGAAAAGCTCTGAATGATTGTCTGCCACAATCGGACAGTGAGGGAGAGAGACATACATCCCCAGACAGACACGCAGACTAGATCGGGAGTGAAGCGCCCGTTTTGACGGGGGCTTTTGATAAGGAAGAAAGTTCTCTGGCCAATCACAATTTGTATTGCTTCGGCTGTAAATAACACCATTTATTGATCAATTGACCTGCAAAAGATGACGGATTTGGAATCACTCTCCGAAAAGGCCCCTCTACTCCAGAAAGAAGCCAAGGAAAAGAAGAAAAAGTGCAAAAAGTTTTGTTTATGTTGTAAGAAGAGGAGGGTCGATGAGTATTATCAGTAAGTTATTACTTGACGATCCAACGGTTCCTTTCTGAGGTGCCAGTTTTTTCCCAGTCTAAAACTCTAGATTCAATTAGTTTATTTTTCATGGCTGCAGTTTTCTAACATTTATTATTATCGGGATTTATTGATGTCATTAGTAACCCCTAGTTATGATCATAGAATGTATTCAATTTTTGCCTTTCAAAGGGTTCTAGGCTAAAATCAGAACTTCGGAAGGCGATGTTTTATTGCTGGAAGGGCACAGGGTGCTTGCGCTCTTTGGAACCCGGCGTAGCCTAAGCGCTGATAACGCGAAGCTCCTATTTACACTCGCAGTTAGCTCCCTCAAGCTAGTCTGGTTGATCAAAGCTCTATTCTTACTTGCATAACTGCACGATAGCTTCTAAGATCCTATTTAGACAGCAAAGCGAGCTCATCGAAGCGTATCGTAAGGATGACAAAGAAATCGCTTCCCCAGACGCTACAGCTAAGAAGGAGGACGATGAAGTAAGCGCGTTGCCAATTTACACGTCATAATTCATTACTTTTTAGCAAAAAGGGGACAGTGTGCTTTCTCGAGCCGTCCTTCTCATCAATATTCTTCTTTTATGCTTTAAGATAATAGCAACAATTCTAACCGGTGGCGCCTCGCTGTCCATCGTTAGTACATTGCTGGAAAGTGTTGTTGATATAACTGGGTATGTAAATTTAAAATCATGATATGAGCCATATCTTGCCTATTTACTAGCTTTTCGGATCCGATTACGCCATCAAATCTAGCCACATTTCTTTGACTTTTTCTAACTCGATGGCAGCTTTCGCATTTTGAGTTTTTGTTTATCCAATTACGACACGGAATCGCAGTTGTTTTCTAGTGGTGCAGTTCTGTGGTATGCCTCTCACTCTATTGTGCATACGGATTATCGACTGTATCCGCGAGGGAGGAGTAAACTGGAGAACCTCAGCATCGTCATTATCGGAATTGTAATGGGAATGGCGAATTTCTATATTATCTTCGGGTCTGTGCAATCGGTGCTTGATCAGGCGGTAAGAAATCCGATTCTTCCCATATTTACCATTGATTAGCTAAAAGTTTAACTTTTGGCGCAAAAAAAAATGTTGCTCTGACAAACTGTTTTTAGACCTCACCGGGCCTTGATCTCATCACATTGGGTCTTATGGTTGCTACAATCATTCTTAAATTAATTATGTGGATAGTGTGCTATCGGAGAGGTACAACTACTTACAAAAATCTTAAAATTATTCATTCTAGTCTCTAAAGATGAAATAAGAGTTTTCTGTAGCGGTTTATACAATATACACCCCATTTATAGGTACCACTTCCAGTAAAGTGCTAGCCATCGACCAGAGAAACGACGTTCTTACCGTCTCAGTGGCCATTATCGGTAAAATTCTGCCATTAAAAGTTTCAAAATTCAGGTGCAACAACCTCAAAATACTGGAAGTATGCTGATCCGCTGGCAGCTTCATTGATCGCGTAATTCAAGTCTTATAGCACCAAAAACTTTTAATCTTTAGCACCTACGTCGCATTTTCTTGGATAATGGTGGTTTTGGAACAATTCCCGCGGGTTAGCGGACGGGTTTGCACGCGTAAGTTACTAATAAAAATGTATGTACCCCCCTCTCGCTCTCTATATTTCACTCTCTCACTCTCACTCTCTCTGTCACCGTCTCTCTCTCCGTCTTTCTTTCTCTCGCTCTATACCTGCACCTGTAGGAGGCTTTTTCAGCGGAAGAGTACAGTCGCGTAGCCCGGATATGCGTCGAACACTCCCAGCATATCAAGGGACTAGATACCTTGCTGGTTTACCATACCGGAGAACGAGTACGTCAATAAGTAGTGAAAAGTACATATCGTAGCTTTTAGCTTCTCGTCGAAGTTCATGTTGTTGTGGATCCAGATTTGACCTGTCGAGTAGTTCATGATGAGGTAAAAACCTACTTTTACGAAAGCAAAACTACAAAACACGAATTTTTTTTGTACTATAAAAACACTTTCGTAAATCATAATTCGCGATTCCGATATTTTACCCGTCGCGGAACTGTCATTTGTAACCTGACGCCTCATGCCACCCTTTTCAGGTCGTCTCCCCGCTGCAGCATAAATTGGAAAAGATGTCGATCGTCGAGCGGGCGTTCGTGCATGCTGATCACGAATTTGACGGATATGCGCCTTGATCCATTTGACCAATCTTTTGATAGCCATAATAAAGTGCTTTGCTTCACAGTGTTACAAATATTTAAAGGGGCCAGAAAGCGACAAAGTCGACGCCCTTTCTATCCGGTGGCTAGAGCTACGCACAATACCACAAAATCGTTTAGGACAGCAACGTCATGAAGCGCTTGTAACGTAGTTGTCGAGACCCAGACAATCGAGGGTTGCTTCTCGCGTTTTTTAGCTCGTTAATAGGGAAAGACGCGTATTACCGCAACGCGTATATAGCATGTTGTCGCACGCGCGTTGTGTGTCGCGGGGCGGCTAGACCCATAGGTCAATTAGAAAACACATAATTAGGCCTTGCCCGTCCCTTTAAATTGGAAAAGACACTTGTTTAAAAAATTTGATATGAAAAATGTAGCCTTTCAAGGTAATTGAAAGCAGAAAATTATGCTTGTAACGCTTTCTGATTTGTCGACCACGATCTGCCCAGTCCATTGCTTTATTACGCAGTTTCGATGGAGCCAAATTCTCCTGGATTTTGGAGCTACCGAGTGTGTGTGCGGGCTACATAGCACAAAAGATATGAGCTGCCCGGGGCTTTCGTTAGAATCGATGGCCTATGCCCCCCTTTCTTCTGCTTTTAAAGGGATTGATAAGGACTCGTGACAATCGGCCCTACCTGGCTCGGACACAAACTAACCACCACGCTGCCGGCGTCTTGGCTTCCGCTTTTTTTCCGCATTAAGGACTTAATAATCATAAATATTATTTGTTCTATACATACCTCTTTATTTCTTTATATTTTTCTTGCACTTTCTGTCTTGTTCCCACAGATTTATCGAAAATATTTTTAGGGTGAAAAGTGTGGCGCTACGTTTCCAGATCAACATTTATTTCAGTCTTGCCTTTTCATCGCCCAGCTTTTTCATTACTGCCGTTTTTTAAACGGTTTTATAAAGCATTATAACTTTCTTAAATTTTTTATATTATTATATTCTATTAAACAGGTATTTATTACATATGTTTTTATAGATGAAAATTTTACAAAGACAATAACTTTCTTAAATTTGTTATATTATTATATTCTATTAAACAGGTATTTATTACATATGTTTTTATAGATGAAAATTTTACAAAGACAAAAACGCTTTCAGGCCTATATCGTCGTTCCTTGTCAAGTTTCGCGATTAAGAATTATTCTCTATTTACTACTAGGAGAACTATTAAATTTAGAAACCCACCAGGGTTGAAAAGCCGCTTCGCGACTTTTCAACCCTGGCCCCGTCTGATCTCATGATCTACTTCACTTTGCATAATTCTCGCGAATTCCGATGACAAAAATACGAAAATCTCTCCCTCCGCCCATTATATAGGCTGCCGCCACTTCCGGCGCATGCTAATTTTTTCCTAACAAAGAGGTTCCCCGATTTTTTAACATAAACCTAAATTTAATGTCGAAAATAGGCAATTTTGGTAAATCTGATAAGCGTGCAGTCATCCCAGGGCCATTACGCACCTAATGACGTATCATACATACCTTAAAATTCATCCCCTATCGAGATATCCTCTGGACATGGTGACGGAAGTTGCATGCAAAGTGGCACACACACACACACAGACACTACTTTTTTATATATAGTAGGATTTAGAGCTAAACCTATACTTTTTGTGTCGTTGATACTAATGCCGTTTTTTATTTTTTAATAAATTTTTCGATGTCTCGGTTTTATCAATTTTTTGACTCTCGCTATTTAAGCCTTTTCAGATGTCATCCGATCCGGAAACTGACCCGGATTTGGGAGAACAGCAGGCGGATCCGGAAACCCAAGAAACTACCCCAAGGTCCGAATCCCCAGAAACCCCCGTCGAAGATGTGGGAGCAATTTTCGATCCCAGACCCGACAAATCTATACTTGAAGCTGTAGAAACAATTTCCACGCTCCGAAAAACCCGGAAGATCTACAGGAAACCGCCGAAAACTTTATGGCCGATGAAGCCAGTCCGGAATTGGAAAGGCTAGCGGAAGACTTGGGCCGGAAATCACCCAGTACGCCTGAAGCAGTAGGCGACGGATTGGCATACGAGGTGCATCCCGAAAAGCCGGAAATTTCGGAAGCGGAAACCCCGGTGGGTCAGACGGCAGAGAACCTGATGGAAGAGGAGGGGAATCCGGAAGTTGAGAGATTAGAGGAAAAGCTTAGAGCATCACCAGAGACGCCAGTCGAAGAATTGGAGATTTCTACAAATCCCCAATCAGGAAAATCGAAAATCGAGGTATTTGAAGCCATTCCGGAGCCAAAAACTGATCCGAAACACACGGCTTCCGGTTTTATGGCACAAGAAGCTAATCCGGAGGTGGAAAATCTAGAAGAAAAGCTGGGAAGAAGTTCGCCAAGTACCCCTATAGACGATTCGAAGCCCTTAGAATATGGAAATGAAGCAACAAAACCGGATATTCCGGAAGCAGAAGCTCCGGAAGGCCATACAGCAGAAAACCTGATGGAACAGGAAGCCAATCCGGAACTTCCGAAGCTTCAGGAAGATATTGTTCTGCCAGGAACCCCTAGAAAACTTTCGCCAACCCTGAAAAATTCACCCCCAATTTCCCCGAATCCAGATACTTTAGAAAATGTGAAGTACTTCCGGCATCAACCTAGCGAAGAAATATCTAATCCTGTAATCAGGAAACCAGGATTTGAAGTGGTGGTCGAGCCGAATGAGGACGATCTTGCGGCGATGGAGAACGGGGTCGGCGCGTCGAAGAATAACCTATTAGTGCTAGGGACTGGCCCGAAGAAAGTGGAACCGGTTCCGGAAGAGATGCCGGAAACGGAAGCGGATGCTATACTGGAGGCTATTGTGGAGTCTCAGGTAAGTTGCGGGTTTAAAGGGGCCGGGAAGTCTAAAAATCACCCCCTTCGTGGACTGGGTCCCGACAGTCGCGAAAAATTGCCTAAATTCTGGTGGTAGTTAATAGATACCTTTCCAGGCAGAAGAAGCCAAGCCTGGCCCGGAAGTTCTATCTGGAATTGCTGAGCGTCAACTGGAATCCCCGAAACTTGAAGAAGTCCCGAAAATCGATTCCCCTGTTGAAAAAGACTACCAGAAAGAGCTGCCGAAGCTGGTGATGAGCGCACAGCATCCGGGTATGCCTCGAAAGGAAGAGACAGAGAGAGAGGGAGAGAGAGAGAAAGAGTACAATTTTTATTGTATTTAGATTCTCGCGCAAACGATTCACCAGCTGCCGAGACTCCTGTCGATCCGAGGTCCAAATTCAAATTTCCGTTGAAGCCCGCTAGGAAAATCAGCAAAGAGAGGCATACAAGTTGGAAAGATGATGTTCATGTGAGTATTGGATAACTTTTTCTTTGTTTTCTACGTTTTCTGGAGAGGCGGCAGTTGGAAACCCAAGAAGTAGCATGCCAGGGTTTAAAACTTGCTTTAAAAAATCGTGGATTTTGCCATCTAAGGTCCATTAAATCAAAAACTATTAGTTGTTATTTGGAAATTATATTTTTAACACGACTTTTATTTGAAAGTACTTTTTCAACGGATTTTCAGATGGAAGCCCCACCCGCTGAGCCGATAAAAGAAGAAGCCGACGCCGTTTTCCGTTTCACCCCCAAGAAGCAAGTCTCGATTTTGGTCAGCAAGCCACCGTCGGATGAGAACATCCCAGAGCGACGGGTGAGTCAGCTGTTTGGAGGGATTTGGATCGGAAGTAATGGATAGAGGATAGTAGGTTCAGCTGGTCAAACACTTTGGTCTGGTAGTAAAAAAATTAATCGATTTCGGCATCTGCAGCCTATAAAATGCTTGATTCACCCAAATACAGATAATTTCATTAATTGAGCTTTGCTTAACGTGATGCATTATATGATTTAGATTTTTTGATACCTTTAAGTCGCGGAAAATCAATTTTGCGTAACTCCGTGAAAATTATCTACCTTCCGACTCTAAATCACCGATCTAAATCATGGAAATTAATTTAGATACTTTTATCGATACTTGCAATTAATCAACATTTTTATTAAGTTATTAATATATAATTGTTTCATTATTAATTATGGAATTTTTGATGCTTAAAAACCTCGGATTGGGGCGGTGATGATTTTTAAATTAAAAGTTCATGATATAAATTATGGTATTTAAAATGATTTTAGTCGATAATTTTACTTATTAACAATGAATAACAACTGTAGTAATTCCTGCTACATTGCGAATATCATTACAAATCACAAAGATAATTTCTAATCCAATTTCCTGCCGCGTAAACCACCCGCAGATGCTGCATCGATTTCGAGGCTTTTGGACGTCCTTTAAAAATCATTGGCATCTGGCCAATCAGATTTTCGTCAATATTTTAAGCCGTTTGTTTTCGTTTTCTTGCTCAGTCACTGGCAGTCATTGCTGCTCACAAAACTGTCTTTCTGATGTTTGTTTTGGTCTTTCTAGTTTGGGTGCACGTGAAAAGGGAGAAGGGTGCTGTGGGTGGGCACACTTTTTGACCCTTTTTCTGCACCCCGGTCCACCACCCCCTGTTTGGCTGGATATTTGTCGGAAACTGGAGTAGCCACAGAATCGATTGATTTTGGGTGTTCCTATTAATGCATCAGGGGGTATTTTTTCATGGTTTTTCTATCGTGTATCGATTTTGACCTGATTTTGCTGGTTTGGTTGAATTGGGCCTTTCAAATGTAAATTCTTAAGGGTAAAACGTTTTCTCGTTTTTTCAATATCGACTGTTAAGCGGCTTTGCTTTGAATATTACTTTCATGCTCCGATTACTCACTCCTAAAAACCACAAACTCGCCGAAAAGACCGGCTACCAGCCATAGATCCACAACAGTTCTCGCCCTGGCCGCGTGTGTCCACTTCCCTTCATTCTTTTCCCAATTTTTCCACGGTTCACCGGATGGTAAACATGCCGAAATCCTGGGCAACAGTATCGAGCGATTGAATTTTGAGATTTCAGACAATTTTCCGGATTTTTCTACATAATCATACAAATTTTGAAAGTGGGCTTTTCCATTTTCAAAACTCAAAAAGTTGTTTGTCAACCCTACGCATTTGAGCGATTTAAACAGTTTTCAATAATTTTACCAATGGCAATAAACCTATGAAAACCATTCAAATTCCGTTTTATACACATTTACACCCAGATTAAATTTCTCTCAGACACCAATAATCTCCATTTTTCAGCGTCTAATGGGCGACGCAATTGCCCCATCCGATTCCGCATCGAATTATGATGAGAAAACGCCACTTCTAGCTTCGACGTGAGTTTAAAATGTATAGATATTGATACCAGATAAATTCTTTTAGTTCCCTCCCAACCGTGTGTGGTGATGAAACCCTTCCCATCCACCCAACCAGTCTCGAGCCCTCCGTTTTTGATGAGCCAATTTCGTCGGCGAGATCCGGTCCGTGGGCTTGAAATTATTACAGCAGTGTTTTAAAGGGATAGCGACAGCAATGCCATATATTTTTGTATTTTTAGAAGGCTGGGGTCCGACAAATCCGCGGCGACAGCGTAGAAGATCAAGGTTAAGGAGTGAAAATGCGCTGGAACCCTCGAAAGCACGGTTGGTAGCTTTTTGCTTTGACCGTTGAAAAATTGGAAAATTGTGTTAGAAAAGCCATAAATTTTTTAGAATACCTGAACGGTGCATTAATGGGGTACATATAATTTTTTAACGGAATTAAGCGAAAAAGACATGGCCAAACTCCGTTTTTAATTTGTTTCCGGTTTATCTTAATCAACTCCTTTGAATCTCGATATCCTGATTCGATACGAGTCTAAGTTTGATTTTTTTTCTGCGTTTTTTGGGGTTCTCCCGCACTCTCCAATTGAAATAAACAGGTGCCCACAGATCGTTTGGTGTCCACCCGAGAAAATATTGACGTTTTTGCGGGTGGGAGGTGATGAGATTTAGGATGAAATAAGGGACCGGATTTCAACTGTTTTTATACGAACTTTACCGCAGGTTTTTTCAGTCCGAAACGGTCTTCACTACTCATTTTAGCTTGGCGACGTTTCGCAAAAATGTCAGTCTAAAATTAGCCCGCCCACTTCCGGTTCGCACCCCAAAATTGGGCTCGACTCGATAATCCTTGCTGATCGCGCCAATCGCGCCCCTGAAAAACGTTCCAAGGGTCGTGTTTGTATTTCGATTTTTCGGCGCCTCAAGGCGAGCAGGAAAACAAGACGGCCAGCTGGATGGGGGGGGAAGGGGTGAAGCCCCAGGTGATCGGCTGGCTGACCTGCGGACTGGAGAGGGCTGTTAGTGCGATGTCTCGACCCTCCACCCTAACTTTCGTTATTTCCCGCAAATACCCCGAGGCACTATCCCAGTCAAATAAACTCTGCTAGTTGTTGTCTAGCAAGAATTACTCAATGACTTTGGTTTAAGCTTTTCCTAATGTTTTTCTGGCAACGTACTGCCGCTTGAATTTTCAAAAATCTATTTCCTTCTCCTCGCCCCTCTCTATTTTTGCATTATCTACCATATCATTCCTTTTTTCCAAAGATCTTACCACTTTCCATTTTCTAAAAGGTCGCAAAAATCGTAATTTTGCTAGCTTTTTCCAGTCTTGTAAGGCTTCAAAGGTCCGCTCGTCGGTTCAATTCATTTTGCCAACTCTGATTTTCAGCCATTTCATACCGGAAATCCGGATCAACTATCAAATCCCAATCGCTCTTTGCTCAATCCCCCCTCACCAAAATTTGCTTATCAATGCGCGAGCCCGTCGACATCATTGGTCAAATATTTGCCTCTGACCACCGAAGCTCCACTGATCTCCCTATTGCTCCTATTTACGTGTTTTATACTGTACAAAGTCTGAACTATCTCTCGCTCGCTCTTTCTTTCTCAACAATTTCGGTTTTCAACTCCTATGCAAATTAGCAAGTTTCAAGGCCCCTCGCATGAGCGCATTCTTCTCCCTCGACACATCAACCTCCAACGAATATCAAAATCTATAAAATTTACAAATTAAAAATACTAAATGGCAAATCTTCTAACTGCGACCTCGGCCATGGCCAGGTCCAGATCTCTTATATCTCTAACGTCCCTAAATTCGCATAAAAATCACGACAAAGAAAGAGAAAAGTCTGTAACATCTGAGATTGTCGTGGCACCGGATGGGAAAGAAAATGCCGAGTGAGTTTGCACAAAAAAAAATAAAGCGAAACGTAATAACCGGAAAGACATACCTAACATTACCTAAAATCCAAATTTCAGCCCGTTCATCGCCAGTCCATTCATGCCTATGCTACCTGTTCGGAAGAGTACAATTGATTTGGAAAGGAGGTCGACACTGACAAGGTAAAAAGGTTTTAAATTCTCGCTCTCAATCTCTCTGTCGCTCTCTCACTTTCTCGCTCTCTCACTCTTTCTCTCGCTCGCATTCTTCCTCTCCATAGAATTTTTCAAACCAGAATTAGCGTAAAAACAGATATAAAGTTATAAAATATGATTTCAGGGAACCCAGATCCTATGGAAGTGTCCGAAATGCAACCCGCCGAATGGAAGAGGTACCGATTCTGCCGAGAGCAGCCGAAGAAAGGTACACTTTTTATCCGGAAATCAATATTCGTGCAACATTTTCAGCGAAACCGAAAGTGAATCCGAGATTTCGCGGAAGGGGTCTTTTCTCGCGTTGTCTTCCCGGGATTGGATTACGGTAAGTTAGTTATTTTACCGTATTTTAGCGCAAAAATGCGCAAAAAGTTGTAAGTTAATATTACTAGCTAAAACGTCATTTTAGACGGTAGTGATGGCTACATATTTTTATTGTTAAATCCTGTTTAGGTAACGATGTTGGCTATCGCGAATTTGTGCAGCACGATTGCTTTCAGCTGTATTGCTCCGTTTTATCCGGCTGAGGTAGTCGGTTTGAATTTTTTAACTAAGCCATCCTCTTTTTCCAGATTTTTTACATTTATTTATATTTTTTGTTTAGCCGGTATAATTATTACTTTAAAGCCTCGTTTAGGCGGCCCTGAAAGGAATGTCAGAAGCGGAAACCGGCATCGTTTTCGGCATTTTCGAGCTGACGATGTTCATCTGCGCACCACTTTTGGAAAGTTTGTAAGTTAATTATTTATTATTCAATCCTAATAATTACTGATACATCTTGTTTAGCTTATGATGATTTATTAAGCATTTTTTTTAGATGACCAAAATCGGGTCGAAGAACATGTTCACGATGGGGCTAGCGATTACCGGGATTACGGCGATATGCTTTGGGTATTTTTTTTACATTCCTCAAAATCTCCGCAAGCATCCCCAACGTCGTCAAGTTCAAGGAGTTCAAACTCACTATTTCCAGGTTCCTCAACTATCTCCCGGCCGGAAATCGCCTGTTCTTCTGGGCTTCGCTTCTAATTCGAATAGCTGAAGCTGTGGGAGATGCCGCTTTCGTCACTTCTTCTTTTGCCATTTCGGCCAAGCTCTTCCCTGGACATGTGGCTTCGATTGTTGTAAGTTTTTGAAATCGTCTTGTAGCGGAAAGCATTATCGGAGGACCCAAAATTTCAAGGGAATCGATAGGCCGGAAAATCGACACCCAAGCCTTGTCAGGTCCTTTAAAAGCGTTTAAAATGCATTTTTTGATAATCCAGCTTCCAGGGGGTGATGGAAACCTTTGCCGGGCTTGGCTACACGGCCGGTCCACTCGTCGGCGGCTTCCTGTATGAGTACGGAGGGTTCCAAACGCCATTCCTCGTACTTGGCGGGACCCTGTTGGTAGCTACAGGGTTGAGTGTGTTCACCATCGAGGCGCTGGACGAAGATACCGATGGTAAGCCGGAGCTTTCGTACTCGCAATTCTGAAAACAGATATTGACACTGACAAGGGAATGATGGCGATGCTGAAGATTCCACTAATCTGGATTATGAGCTATGCGGTCGTTATCTGTGCTTTGTCGCTGTCATTTTTGGATCCAACGTTGGAGGCTCATCTCAGGACGGTTGGTATTGGAACCTACTTACTTGCCTGCCTAAGCTTACTTGAAATCACTACTATTGTATGCTAGTTTTAGTAGGTAGTATCACGCGTAGCGTTCTTCGGTAGTACTGCAAACTTTCCTCGAGCAAATGTTTCTCGCGTCTAACGAAACCCTTGGAAAATTGCCAGAAGCCGAGTATCCTCATTATTTTGCTTTACGAGTTGTTTAAATTACCGTGTGCCACCGTAATCCCAACTTTGAATTTTTATAACCCTAAGGCTACCTGTATTTCAGTTCTCCCTCACTCCCACCGTTGTCGGGCTGATGTTCTTGCTCTGTGGAGGCGTCTACACTCTATCAGCTCCATTCTGGGGAGTCCTCATTGACAAGTAAGTATTTGGATACCTCTAAATAAATAAAGGGGCAGCTAGCAAATACCATTCAGGAATTTTCGCACAGAAAAATAGCTAGATACAGATCAAACTAGCTTTTTTCAGATTCGACTGCTCGATCTTCATCATGTTCTTCGGGTCGGCAGCTACGGCCGTGTCGATGGTGATTATTGGACCTTCTCCGCTAATTCCGATTGATAAGTAGGTCTACATATAAGATGTTTTTTTACAGACTACAGGCTTCAAATTAGCTTTGACAATAAGATCCTTTTTAGGAATCTCTGGGTGATAGGATTTGCATTATGTATACTTGGAGTAGCTGCCGGAGCCCTTTACATTCCAACCTTCCAAAATTGCCTGGATGCCGTCAAGTAAGTTAATAATGGCAGAAAATATTTTTGATCGTATAGTGCATCATAAAAGCAAATTAACAGTGTAAGATATCAGAACGAGCAAATTATTACGAGTTAAACACGTCTTTTCAGGGAGTACGACTTTGACGACTCCATCTACACCTACGGTTGTGTGTCCGGCATTTTCCAGAGCGCCTTTGCGTTTGGGTACGTGTTTTCATGCGAGGCTATCTATCGAAACTTTTATTGTGGTCGACTTTGCCTTCCGGCTTCCTTTAAAATTAAATTTTAGCGGATTTATCGGTCCTACCCTCGGTGGAGCGGCGGTACAATGGATAGGGTTTGAATGGACGTCGACGGCGATAGCCATTGTCAACGTGATATTTGTAAGTTTTTCATCTTCAATTTCCCAAACGGTCTTTGCTAGCTTGTTTGGGTCATTAAATACAGCTTATTATCATAAAGGAAGTTCATACTGTAAATTAGTTCATACGCATTTCAAAAATCAGATTTTTCATCGGAATTTTTTAAACCTTTGATATTTAAATTCTCAAATATTTCTGAGATTTTTCAGATCATTACCCTCCTATTTTACTACGGCACCAAATCGATGCGACAACGATCGATTCAACGAATTTTGGAATAGAATTTTCCTTTACGAATTATGCCTATAGCCTTTCTCTTTGTGTGAATTATATCTATTACGAGTACACCTTGCTAGTTTCATTTTTACGTGTGTGGGGTTTTTTGTATAAAAATCTATCATAACTCTGGTACATCTCTGGCAGTATAAGCTTTATTAACAGATCCCATAGAGTAATGCTCAAATTTGTGAAAGAATATGTTTAGACGTGGACACAAACACTTCCCCTTGCCAGATACCTTTCGCAGCACCAGTAGTTGGCGTTTCGCTTCTGGCGGATAGCTAAAACACGCAGATTTGCATCAGATTTTCGGAAAGGACAATTTCTGCCCCTGGCATTTCCCGATTTCCGGCTTTTTTTGAGACATTTTCGTGCCGCAGATTCTAATTTTCACGACCATGTTTGAATGAATATTTTTAAAACGGTTTATGAAACCAAGAAGCGAGCGAGCGAGCGAGAGAGAGAGAGAGAGCGAGAGACAGAGAGCGAGAGAGATCGAGAGCAAGAGGGAGAGAGATATAGAGAGTGAGAGAGAGAGAGAACGCTGGAGGGAGAGAGAGAATGAGAATGAAATGAGAGACAGAATGAGCATAAGAGAGTAGGAAGGCGGCGAGAATGATAACCAGAGAGAGCTAGAGAGAGAGAGGGAAAGCGAGAGAGAGAGTGAGAGAGAGAAAGAGAGCGACGATATGGCAATTTTATAGTATAGGTCGAATTAAGCACTTTTATCAGTATGTACCCTTATTTCCGGTACACCACCTACCCGTCATGAATGATGTAGCGGAGTGTCCCAAATGAGTCTCCTCCTCGTGCTCTTCCTCTTCCTCTTCCTCCTCTACGACATTCCCGGTCATGTTGATCTGCCTTTTCCCCCTCCTCGATCCTCGTGCTCCTCCTCCTCCGACTGTCGTCCCGCGGGCACACGCATTCAAATTACACGTCTGCGTCTCTCGGGATGAACCGCTGAAAGTCAGTGTCTGGGGCGGGTGGTTGATTGATATTTCTCGGCGCGCGCTTGGAAAGTTTAAAATGTCTGTTTTAGGTAACTACATATTTAGCTTTTTATGCAAACGTTTAAAGTTTTATCATCGCTATCCTAATATGCAAACTGGTAATTACGACTGCATCACACCATGAAAAATGGTTATCGCACAACATTCTAGGTTTCAACCCATACCCATTTTTCTGCATATCCATACTTCACTAAATTTCCTTTTTCCGGGAATGCATTACGCCATCAAAATAAAGTTTTGAAAAATTCTAAATCGGAGTTCTAGAGCAATTTCAGCACTTTTGTTTTCTCGAAAATATAAAATTTGGAATTTTGGGAAACTTCGAATTTTTTTGCCTTTCTGAAACGCTGAAAAGATGCCAATTACAATTGAATGAAAGCATTACGCCATGAAATTAGAAAGCCGTAAAATTAAAAGATTAAAGAATTAAAATATCCAGCAAACGTTAATTTCTTTATGCTTATTAAATTTTTTGCGCAATCTCGGATTTTTAGCCATTGCCTTGACATTTTCTTCTGTTGTTGTGGCAACAATTTGGCAATCTACCGCTAAAAAAATTTGGTTATTCAAAGGGCCGAAGTTGACAATCAATTACGATATCCTTTGATGTCTTTTAGGAAAAATTACATATTTGTTTCAGGTTTACAAAGGTATCCTTTTTTCATTATCCTTTTTCTAGAATTGCTATGATATTTCCGCAATTCGCTAGACCGGAATTTCCCGTCTCCGACCAGCTGGCGTACTAAAAAACCGGGTTGTGCTCCGTTTTTTGAGCCTTTTTTGCTGGTAAATGAATTTTTTCTGCGGTAGAGATTACTAATGGGGACCCACCTGCACCTGCCCGACAAACAGCTTCGAATTCTGGAGCGTACCCCGCATGCGCCACACTTTTCTGTGCACGCAGACCAACCGCCCCAACCGGACCACTAAAACGATTTTAGAAAATTCACACCTTCTGTAATCATGATGATATTACATTTGTAGTCTTTTAATACTCTAGAAAAAGGTTAATTTCGTTTCATAATTTATGTGAGTTCACATCTATAATTGTTGAAAAAAGGCCAATTTATTTTCATAGAATTCAGAAACTTTTCTTTTCTAATTTTCCCCTACTCTTTTATAACTTTTTAATCCGCAAATTTAAATCTGTTCACAAATTTTTGAACGATTTTGATAAAATTGGATTTATTTTGCTATCAAACAAATTGTTGTCTATTTTTTGCTATTTCTACTAAGTGGATACCACATAGCTTACAAAAGCGTTTTCTGAATTAAAATCTCCATATAATTACCCTTCCAACAGATACTGTAGCCGCTGGGCGTGGTGGAGATCTTTGAGGGGCCGTTGTTCCTCCCTCTAAAAAGAGGCTATTTTTTGTGTTTTGTGTTTCTAACCATTTCTGTACTGTATCACAAACTGTGAAGCTTGAGATGCCGTGGAAATGATGATAACATAGTGACCATCGCTCAGGAACTAAAGATACGAGATCTTTTTATGCAGCTTTTATTCAAACCTGGGTTACAGTGGGCGAGCAGCACATTCGAACACCGGTGGCCGCTAGCGAGAGTCCGTATTTGAACTAAAAAGATTTGACGATATTAACGATTTTAAATGTCGTTTTTAGATATTTAAAATATTTTTAATATATTTTATAACATTATTAGCCCTACCTCAACAAATTGCTCGCAGCTCAGGGCACATGCATAACGTAGCGACCTTATTTGAACCCGGATTCGCCCGTTGTTAGGCTAAAAATTAAAATTATCGCATTTTTTTTGTCATCTGTCACCGTTTCTTTAAATCCCAGAGATTCTAGTTTAAGTGTTTTTGTGGGTTTCTAGCGTAGCATTAGAATATTTTTTGTATTTTTAAGATCATCTATGGTCCCCAAAATCTAAATTCGACGTTCTAAAAACCCATTTTACCGATTTGATCCTCCAATAGCAGGTGCCGGAGCCTGAATAGGAGAGCATCCGGAACGTCGAATCAGCCGTAATGTCTTGGCCGCAAGCTGAAATTAAAGGCGATTTATGGTGCACTCTATTTTAGTTGAAATTCGGCAAGATTTCGAGCTCCAAAAACCTTCGAATTACGCTGGGATAGCCTGGACTGGGGGAATTTATTGAATAAGTTTTGGCATGATCTTACGTCTGTAACAATAAAAAGCCATATTTCCGATCTGTTATTGATCTAAATTTTTGTCTACGAAATACTTCTGAAGCTCGTGATCCACATGTGACCCCAAGCCAACTCGCCCGCGATTATCGTTAATGCCAGAAATCACGGGGTTGCCCCGTCATATCTTCAGGATAAGATCTCTTCGACCATCACAGCCCCCCTTCTCGTCCCTGGGTGTCTCCTGTAGCTCGCCCCTTCTTGAGAAAGGGTGCCCATTAGACCCCCGACTGTGTTGTACCATTGATCGAATAGAGCACCAGCCGGTGCGGGATATCGTACTTTACGGCAGGCATTTAAGGCATTATTCATGTTTTCGTGTTGTTTCTTTTAATTACTTAAAAATACCTTAAACGATATGTCTCTAGCTCTGATTTGCGAGCTGAGATTCTCTGTACCATTAACTGGCAAGTAGGAGCCGGTGCGTGCCATCGTATGCTACCTTAAACGGTTTTTCCAAATTTTTTTATGAGATTCTTTTTTATAGCTTGCACATACCCTAAATTTTCCGTTTCGAACCCTTGAGCTTGAATGTTAATTTGTCGCGAACCGTGCTTTGGTGCCTTTTCCACAGTTCAGTTGACGAACGCAACAAATTTTGGATTATCCGAGCCCACGCTAGATTTCGCAACATTTTATGACCCGTCTGCGTGGGCTTTTTCGGGCTTTCCGGGTCAGTCTCTCGATGATATTCAGTAGGAAGTGTCGTGTGCCACGCTGTCGCTGGGAAAATCAAAATCGATCCTTGGCAAGGGTCTCGGTTTCGGGAAGTTGGGAGAAACAAGGCCAGGCCTAGCGCCTTGATTGATTTGGCGCTTGATGCGATTAAAGTTTGGCAGATGGTTTCAAAAATTCGTTGATGATATCAAGAACTAAACTTTAGTATGTAAGCCGACTCCTAATATAAATTTTGCCTGGCAGTTTGCAGTAAAATTCTGCTGAACATCGCGGTTGATCTTGAATTTATCTTGTTCCTCTGGTTTTCGAACTTCCGCTTTAGCTTTACTTAAACGTAGCTAATCTACCGTGATTTGCTGTCTAATACCTTGAGCAAAAACGTGCCAGACGACTAGAGGCTTAAAAAGTACGCTTGGCACCAAATTACTTCTCTGTCTCTCCCGCTGACTCACTCCCTCCCTCACTCTCTCTCTCTCTCTCTCTCTCTCTCTCTCTCTCTCTCTCTCTCTTTCTTTCTTTCTTTAGCTTTTCCGGTAAAAACAACAATTTTTCCGAAGCAGGAAAAATTACAAAAATCGAACTTCATACTTCGTGGACGACTATGCGTACCTTTTGCCATGTCATAACACACCAAAATACACCCATGTCAAAACCATGCCATAATATTTCACTCCGTTCACTGATATGAGCGCCTGCCAATTTTGGCCACCCGTCTCGAACCAGATTTTATCTCCATGCGCCTCGAGACTTTTGTGGTGTGCTCCTCTTCTCCTCTTATTCCTGTGTCTTTTCTGAATCGGCTGATCGCCTCGCCTCCCAAAAACTGTTGACATTATATTGATTCAGCCCCGGGCCCGGCTGGATGGCCCCCCGAAATACATTGGCAAATATAATGGCAATGCAGAAATGGTAGTGCCGAATTTGGCGGGGCTTTTGCATTGTTTTGGAGCGAAAAAGACCGTCCTGCTTGAGTCGAATTTTGGCCTTCTTCGAGCAGATTTGGTATTGTTGCTAAATTTACACAATTTCTTACGCAACATGCTCACGCCATGATGCCATAAAATTTGCATACGACTTTTCTTCGATTTTGCATAACTTTTTAAATATAGAGCTTCGCGTTTTTCAGGCTTTAAATCCAGGATTTAAGGACGTAAATCCATCTTCGCTTGAAATAGCGTGTTTCTATGTCAAGAAGCCAAAATTTCAGTCCAGAAAAAAAGGAAAACAGTTCAATCAAAAAGAACCCTGCTTTTAAATTCTCAGAGTTTAAAAAATACTGGCATTTAAAGCTCGAATTTTTTCGTTAAAATTTAAATTACGCGCTAAATTTGTAGAGCCTTCAGGCCACAGATGAATAAAAATAAATTAATTTAGGATGACGAGGATTTTAAAAATTTTAATCACAAAAAAAGCTGAAATCAGCTTTAAAAATTTGAAACACGGAAAATGTTGTATTTTGAAACTAATTAAATTTGGCAAATCTTCTTTGCGACGTTAAAACTAATACACCATTTAGATTGAGAAAAAAAATGAAAAATTTGGTTTTCCATTTTTCACTTAAAAACGGAAAAAGGAACTGTTTTGCTCCAAAAAATGATTCATCAATTCTGGCATCAAAAACACTGCTTTTTGATGAATGAAACAAATTACACGAATTCCAAGCATTTCGTAGGGCTTCTTCCCGCGAAATTGATCCCAATATTCTCTGATTCCAGGGCGGATCCAGGGATCTTTGGGGGGTATCTGGTGATGAAGTGCTAATCCCTGGCTATATGCCACAATTTCGGGTAACGCGCATCGGAGGGATTATCGACTACTTTTTTGTAGTGGCAAACCGGGACGGGGCTCTTTTGGCAATTTGGGCTTCCCCTCTTCCGGATCTTTCGGATCAAGGTGCGCATTTCCGCATATATGTCAAGACGTAATAAACGGAAATTTGATTAGGTTGGTTCGGAAGGAAAAAAATCAGTTACGACATCAATTTTCCGTGTTTTTCCAGTTCCTTTAAATATTCGTCAAAAACCAAAAATACAGTTCAAAGCATTTTTGCATTTTGTACGAATTTCCTAGCTTTCAAAATCATACTTCAGATTATTTTGAAAGCCAAAAAAATTTAGAACGATCGTCTATAGTTTATGTGACTTCCAGGAACCTTTAAAATTTGTTTCCAAATAGCGAAAAATAATTTTTGGATTACTGTAAGAAGCAGGCCTGCCACCTTACGTTTTTAGCGCCTTCTAAAATGTTTTTTTTTATTATATTTAAGTCAAGAACTACCGTGTTACTCGGATTCTTACGGTAGCCGACCTGCCCTTCTTGACCCCCGCAATTTTCGGCGCAATATTTGTTTACGGTGAATCACCGGCGCTGCAAGTGACAAGCTCGTGATTCCAATCCATAAATTTTGGCAGCTAAATCGGTCTGGTTTCGAGGGTTTAATTAATGCTTACAATTCTGGCTTTAACTTACTGTAAAGTGTTTTTACTCAACTTGGAGTTTCGATTCGGGACCAAGCGCATCTTGTGCAGAATTTTTCGCTGATTCCGAATATGTTTTCCAAATTTGCTACGGACTTTTAATTATAAAATCATTTTTGGTAATAATTAGGCCGAAAAATGCCAAAAATTCAGACGCTGGCCCACTATTCCTTGTTTGGGGCTATGGTTCCCAGGGGCCCTGAATTACCCTCTGACAGCACCCTATCCAGTTGACACCATGGTGCATTGGCAAAGTACTCGCTTGCCAAACGCAAGGTGGCGGTTCGAACCCCCGCCCTGCATCATTTCTTTTGCTTGTTGAATAAAAATCTCATTTTTTATCTAAAATGCTTGTTTTGAGCTGTAGGATGCTTGTCGAGCGAACGTATAGTCAATTTTGACGTTGAAATTAATGAAGAAAATCGAAAACTATAACGATACCTTCATTTTGGTGAAAACTAGGGTCATAATTGCCGTATAACTTTCAGAATAACGGTCCGTAGCAAATTTGGAAAACATATTCGGAATCAGCGAAAAATTCTGTACAAGATGCACTTGGTCCCAAATCGAAACTCCAAGTTGAGTAAAAACACTTTACAGTTAGAGCTTTGCTCTTTTAAAGCATTCGGAATTCATATTCGTAGTTGTATATTTTGGCTTTTCATAGCTTACTATTTCCGAAATTTTGTGCCTCTTACCGTGTTGATAGAAGGGTCCCATTACGCAAAGAAATCACTTTTTTTAAGGTGTTAAATTAGTTTTCCTGCCATTTCCCTTAATTAAATTGATCCCTTTCCAGAATCCATGACTTGCAACATTTTTCCGCCTCATCATCATTGTAATTCTACCACCTTTGTAATAATTTTGGGGGAAATACATAAATGGATTCGATTACGCAATCAAATCTCAACTTGCAAGGATTTTTCTGAATTTTGACGCGCTTTAGAATATTCAAATTCAATCATTTTCGCTGCTGTTTTGACGTACCAATAGAACCAAAAAATATTCGATAACGTGATTAAATTATAGTTTTGAAGCTATTTGACTAGTAATAGTATTTTATATTTTCCCTTAATCTAATCAATCCATCGCCCGCTCTATAGTTGAATTTTTAAGGATTGTTCCATACCTAACTCGATCCGGTTAGGCAATCAAATTTTCGCATTATGATTGTTTGGCAATTCAAAAGATCTCAATCCCTTTAATCCAATCAATCCCCCCACCAGCTTCCCCTATATTTGACCCAGGCGGACCCATTTTAATTGGCTTCTCCCCCCGGCGGCATCCTTCCTGAAACCACCGTGGGAACCTCGGCCTCCCCGCCCTACCCCCATCACCCCCGGAAAAGTGCTGGGGGCGCGTCGCGTGCGTGCCCAGAGGGTGGGGCGCGTGTGTGAGACTCTTTTCCGTCGTCGTCTTCTTCTTCTTCTTCTTCTTCTGCATGTGTGGTGGGTTGGGGGCGTTCCCCCTGTCCGTTCCCCATCCCCGTCTCTCGATGTCTAGCGTGTAGTCTGTAGCCTCGCGTAGTCGTCTCTTCCCCCCTGGGCGGCGGCACGATGCGACCCCCGCTCCACCCCCCACCCTCTTGCCCCCTGAACCGGGGGCCAAAATGATGCACGCGCCCTCGGGTTTTTTGAGCTTGACAGGTTTAACAGAAGACTTTTAAGGTAAAGTATCACCTTAAACTACGTGTCCATACCTTATAAAGTCACCCTAGCCTCCAAGCCACTCAAAACTGCCATCCACTACCGTCCTGGACTACGGTACTTTTATGCCAATTTTTCAACTATTTGCAAAATCGGCACCCCGTAACTTGATCCTCGTAATTAGTTGAGTATACTGATACCTTCATACCACAAATTGTACATTAATTTTGCAGAAAAACTTTGAAACTCCGAAAACCCGGTGGTTATATGCTAAGCTTCAACCGCTCAAAAACTTACCTTACGATATAAATTTCTTATTTTTGAGTACAGAACCAGATTCTACTAGCTGGATTCTAATTTTTAAGTTACGTTTGATCGAAATTTTTCGATACTTTGAAATGAAAAACACCGACAAAAATTTGTGTGCGCGACGATATGCAAATTGAGTTTTAGCAAGGAATTGGGTATGCTTTCAAATTTTAGTGTTGAAAATCGGTTATTCATGCAAATTACAACAACGCCTTTCAATAATGCGTCGAGCTGCCACCCAGCTGATTTGCATCTGCCAGGCGTGGCCTCGGGTAGCGTTTCCAGTGATTACCCGCCTTTTTGAAAGTCACAAGGGCGTTACGACTGGCTATTCATAATTCCACCACCGCCCAAAACCCGCTTCGCGGGTCTTGGGCGCTGGAATCGGCCGCATGGATTGACTACCGATGCTCGGGTCCGACGACCCCCCTGCCCCCGACCAAACTCGCGAGTGCAACTGGCAAGAATGAGGAAATTTTTAATTTTCCACATTATGCAAATTAGCCCTCAGGTACCCCAAAATGTAACCGGCTTTACTTTGTAACTTCTTTTTTATCGAATTCTGGCGCCATCGGGGAGGAGGTCGATTCCCCCAAGTGGGGAGTCGGGGCGTTTTGGACACGGGAGGCCCTCAAATCTGGCCTCGAACTGACCTCCGACACACAAAAGATGATTATATAGGTGGATTTGAAAATGGTGCCTTTAATTCAGTTTAATTCGGCCACTTTCTATAGCTTTTTATGCAAATTTTCGAGTTCTCCAGATTTTCACTATTTTTTTCGTGCCACTGCAGGAGTGCAGGAGTCATCGTTTGGTTTTTGAAAAATACTGAAAATTTTGTCTCCTTACCATCATTCGTCATCCATTCTTTTCTACAGTAACCCCCGGTGTGATTACAGTACCAAATATTGATTCCCCAGGCTCCGCCCAGTTGTTTTTTCTGCTCCGATTGGACCAAATTACACCCAGCTTCCTTTTCTTTCCGCTTTCGAAAATTCGATACCTTAAAAAAAGGTCATTAACAGCCTCTACCTATTTAATACGAAGTACTGATTCCTCAAGCTCCGCCCATTTTTTTCTGCTCCATCGGTCATAACTTCAGAAACTATCTAGCTTTAACAATTCGATACCTCAAGGAATCCTAGTTGTCTTGTTTCTACCATTTTTCCCATTAATAATACTCTGATACTGCATAATCGACAATTTTGCAGAGACCTCACAAAATCTAGCTCTCTTATTTCTATCTACTTTCCACTTAAAACTGCGGTTATACTCCGTAATCCCGCACCTTCTAGAGCGCCTCAAACAGCTCCACGGGGGATGGACGGTAACCCCTGGCGGAGATGGACCGAATGGACTATCCGTCGACCAGCTACGGCCAACAGGATCCGCAACAGCTCGGTATCCCGTCGGGACCTACACCCACCCAGGCTCCGGCTGGACAACAGCAGCAACAACAACAGCATACAGGGCAGCAGAATGGTCCTCAAAACGGGCCACAGCAGCAACAGCAACCTTCGGTTTTACAGGAGTTACTTCAGGTATGTGATTTAGGACCAAAACCACGAATAATGTCTCGTTTATCCTAATAAAAATTTTTTTGCAAATCTTGCTTAAAGTTAGAACTCGACATCTTTATTTTAGACGTCTGGTTCAAAATTTAAGATATAAAGAACGTCGAAAACTACGCAAATTTCCAACGAACGATATGTCGAAAAAATTTAAAATATCTAAACGTCATTTTGGGATACGTTACACTATTTCTTACCATGGTGACTTCTTAAATCGCTGTGTTATCACAGCCAAAACCTCACTCATATAATACAAAAACTGTTACAAAAAATTCCACAAATCTGATGATACCACCCTTGCAACGCCCAGATCTCTAGCTTATTAATTTACTACGATACTAACTAACAAAACTATAAAAACCACTTGCAGCAAAATCCCCAAGACTCGCAGCAGTCAAACTTCGGGCCACGCGCCGGGTACTACCCAGGAACAACGGGTCAAATGGCCAACTATCAGCAGCAAAGGTAAGAGTTAACGCCGTCCAAAAGTCCTTTTTCAATGCCAGTTACCCCACCAAACCATTAAAGGGGGGGGGGGGGGGGGGGGGGGGGGGGGGGGAGGGGGGGGGGGGGGGCGCCCCCAATTCTATCGATTTGATTTCAGAAGCCAATCAATGCAAGCAAATATGGGTTATGGAGGAGCCGCCGGGGCTACGGGTACCCCACAAATGAACGGGATCGGCCGTGGCATGGTCGGAAATGGGCCCCAGGCCGCTCAGATGAGGCCACCCAACGGGATGGCCTATCCGGATATGGCCCAAATGCGACAGGGTAAGTCAAGAGCAAGAATTTAAACGCTTTCAGAGAAAAAATTGGAAAAATCGTGTAAAATAGTGTAGTTTAACGGCAGCACGTCGATTCATCGTGCAAATCATGACTGGCTGCTTGTCACACGACAGCCATTCAAATGTGACAAACGCCTTGTGTTATTTAGGGAATTTCCTAAATAGCAGGACGCCAAAATAAACGCGAAAAATTCCAGGCGGCCAGCAATATCCGCAGATGCCGGGAAACATGGCCCAAATGCAGCAATATCACCAGCAAATGGGACAACAGGTGGGTAAACGCGAAAGTAGAAATTTCTTACACTCGCTAGAAGAACAGCTTTTTGTTTAAAAACTACTAATCATTCAAAACTTTTTAGGTATTCTAGGAACCACAAAAAAAAACAAATATAGACCCACTTTAACTTTACAACGTATCATCTCTACAACATAAAACTAAAGTATGGATGATCATCGGTTATTATGAACTTTTTATAAACTTGGCCTCCTCCGCCGGGAGGAAATTGGGCTTATTAGCGGGGTGCTCACTAGCAGCCGATACCACCCAGATATAGAAACGGGCATCCGGGGCGAATTTCAGGGCAACATGGCTAAATATAATGCCTAATAGTAGTATAGTGAGAATAAAAAAAGTTGTTTCGCTCTGAAATTTACTAAATAAGGCTAAAAATAGGAAATAAGGATGTGAAACAACGCTAGACGCATAGAATAAAGGAAACTAATAAAGAAAACTCGTTAGTTTAGTATTAAAGAATTTAAAGTATCAAAAAACTGTGCGGAAAAAGATATTTGAAGTAAAAATTCGAAAAAATCGAGGTTCTAAAAAGTACGAAACCCTCCTGAGCCAAGGAAGTGTAATGTGGACCGGTTACATTAGATTTTTCGCTTATTTTTGAAGTTTTTCTTCAAAAAACTTTGTATTCTTTCCGCGCCCTTTAAATAAAATATTATTTTAATATTTTCCAGATGTCGGGCCAAATGATGGGAGCGCAATACGGGGGAATGGTTCCGCAACCAGGAGCCGCAGCTCAACGAGCCGGGATGCCGACGCAAAACGGAGCGGTGAGATATCCGCCCGCGTACAATCGACAAGTCTCGGCCCCGATGCCAGCGACGGGAGCGGATCCGCCACAAGCAGCCGCACCGACAAGGACGTCAAATTCGAAGAAAGCGCAGCAACAACGGCAACAACAACAGCAGCAGCAGCAACAACAGCAGCAACAACAAGAACAGCAGCAGCAAGATGTAAGAGTTTTCTTAATTAGATAAAACTACAGGTTCTTTCGCGTTATTGAGGCGTCAAATTTTCTTCTTTCGATCGAATTGCTCTAAAATAAATAGCAAAACTGTTTTTGCGCCTTTTTTACTATTTCTGAGCTTCAAAACGTGGTAAATTTGGTTAACTATACAAAAATATAGTTTTTAACCAGGATTTCGAAGTTAAAACCTGTTTTCGAAGTCTTCCAGATAGCTTTCCTTCATTTTTCTAATTTAACTAACGACTTAACTTGACGAAAGATACAATATAACATTGATTTTACAAAAACTGCCAATCTCTACCCGAAATTTGATAATCTTGACATTCTTCTAAGCTTTCTAGATGGTTTTTGCACTTGAAAAATAGATGCGTCTTGGTAATAGAGTACTATTGAAATGCTTTAAATTAGATTTCTAGGTATCTCTGGATTGTAGGAAAAATTTCCCTGATTCTCCGAAAGCAACACACTATAAATTACTGATTTAGAATCCAGCCGGCTTCGCCCCGATGCCAGCAGCAGGTCGAGGACAACCACCGCCATATTCTAGCCTGGCAAATGGACAAATGATGCACATGCAGGTATGAAAAACCTTCAATATTATAGCTGTTGTTTTTAGTACCCCAACCAAATGGCGATGCACCCCGGCTACAGCAGCATGCCGCAGCAACAGATGCGCCAAATGCCGCAGTACCCCGGAGCGCCGATGCCCCACCCAAGTCCGCAGCAAAGTGCACAGCCTCAAGGAGCCAAAGCAGCCTCCGCGGCTCATGATCCAGCCCAGCAGCAACAGCAACCCGGACGAACCCAACAGCAGCAAACGGCCCAACAACAACACCAATACCAGATGCAACAACAACAAATGCAACAGGCGCACATGCAGGTAAAATGGGGAAAATGAAAGGTTCTTTCGGAAAATCCGGGGTACGGCAACCCGTAATCGTGAAAAGTTTATGAATTTTTGTAAAAAATACTAATATAACGTAAAAATACGGGTTTTCGAACAAAATTGAAGCTTTAACCTTCTCGTTTAAAAGTTTTAGACCTTTTCTAAGTTTTCTAAACCGTTACTAGATACATATATAGATTTATAAGGGCAAAGAAAATGTCGATTTTCCTCTAAAATACGGCATTTTCAAACATTTATTCCGCGATTTTTGTTTAGTTTTTGCATATTTTTGATTAAACAATTAGGTTTAACTGGATTTGTAGAAAACTGTGGATATTTTCCATCTAGAAAAACGTTTTTTCAGGGCGCGTATCACCCCTCGATGGCCATGCACCAACAGCCATCTCAAGCTGGCCCTATGAGCGCCCAAACGCAACAGCAACAACAACACCATCAAGCGCAGCAGCAACAGGGCCAGGTATCAAAAATTTACCATTTCTAAACTCTTCCATTTAGGCACAAGCACAAGAAAGCGGCCACCCGCAATATCCGCAGGGATATGGGCAGCAACCGAACAACTTTCAACAGCAGAATGGCGGCCCGAATTTGACGCATCAGCAGCAACAGCAAATGCAACAACAGCATCAACAAAGTCAACAGGGGCAACAGCCAGCGAGCCAGGGATTGCAGGTAAATTTTTGGGCATAGTTTTTGAGCTGAACGAACTTGTAGAAAAGCCTGTGCTTGCTAGAAAAAATGCAATAGGGCGCAATTTATGTCTTTTTGGTCATTTAGGTAATTTCTTCTTTAAAAAGAACGATCTCCGAGCCGATTGAACTTATAGGCCCTAGAAAATGCCCGGAAATGCGCGTTTTGCGATAGATTTTCACATTTAAGAGGTAGTTCTTTTCTAAAGAAAGCTGAACGCGCTTGTGGATCGTAGAAAAATTTGGAATGTGCATTTTGGAGATCAGTTTCACGATTCACTCCTAATTCTGATCAAAAAGAAGGATTTGCGAGCCGCTCGAGCTGGTAGAAGAGATTGTAGGCGGTAAAAATTGGAAAATTCGCATTTTAACGGGGGTTTTCCAATACTAAACATATTACTCTTCGAAAACTTTAAAATCAGCTAATTTTCACCTTTTAAGGTCATCCCTCCACACCAACTCAACGGTCAACCAGCCCCGCAAGAAGCACCACAACGACTAGCGCCCCACCCGATACAACAACTTCCGATGCAACCGTCGCAATTGTCGCAGGAAGTGGTGGGGTTTTTTATAGTTTTAAAAATGGTAAAATCAATACTAAAAGGAGTGAAATTACGCTTTTAATGATTAAAAATAGATAGGTTGAATAAAACACATTGAAATGTGCTGTTTTGGCATGAAAATGTCCCGCCGGGCCATTCATTGTGATGTCTTTACCCCCGAAAAACATAAAACAGACGCCCCTCCCTTCTGCTTTTGACGCCCGTCATCACTATTAATAAAATTCAATGGCCAACGGCGCGTCGCTGCTTCGAAAATCGATCCCTAAAACGTGCCCTGCAGTCTGAGACGGCGCCCATGACGAAAAACAGCACTTTTTTGTCTAAAATTATCCCTCGAAAAAGATTCGCTAGAGATGGTGGCCAATTTTGCGAGGGTCCGCCCGGATGCGCCGGTTTTTAATGGGGTCTATACTTTTAATCTTTCATTTTTTAGCCTGACCGCGTCAAGCTGATCTGCCAGAATTTGTTCCTGTTTCTACATGCTAGGAAATGCGTGGTGGGTTTTTGATTTAATTTTTGGAAACTTTCTTTGTTTAGCAAACCGGGAAGCCGTGCGAGCTGGCCAAGTGCAGCACCGAGTTGCAGCCCCTCGTCCGGCACATGAACATGTGCAACATGGGCGATAATTGTGATTGTGAGTGGTTTTTATAAAGTTGATCGGTAGTTTTTGGCAAAACCGGGAGCCTAATTTTTTTGTATAAATCTGGATGAGCTTGTTAACGCCGAAAAATCTATATTTTTGTTTTTTTTTACTACAAAATTTGGAAAGTTTGTACGTGGCGGAATAACAGTAACTTTTTTTGCTCTGATTATATTAGAAAAATCGGGCTTAAACTTATTTATAAAACGTGAAGGCGAAGAAAACACAGAAATTTGAAAATTTAAAAATTTTGATCGCAAATGGCCATTTTGGCTCGAAAAATTATATTTACTGGGTATTTTTTAATAAAAATTAGCCCACGATTTTGCGATGTAGATTTTATGTCTTTTGTGTTTCTTTTTTGTTTTGTTTTTGTTTAAAATTAGTCCCCCGATTTTACCAAACAATTTTTTATTGTAATTTCCAGACCCGCGCTGCGGCTTCTCGAAACGAATCCTGACGCACTGGGACCTGTGCCGCGAGCTGGATTGCTCGGTTTGCCAGCGTGTGCAACAGCATCTCTACGGTAGGCCTGGCCCACCCAAATTCCGCAACATTCCAGTAGACTACATCATAAAGCACCGCGAGATTTTCGGGGACCACCCCATCTTTGGTATGCCCTTTTCGCCTCCTCCTTCGCAATTCGACCACCACAAACACACGGTTTTTGGCACAATTGAGAGTATTTTTGGAGATTTAGTGGTGTTATTCACGCGGTTGGCTTCCGGGAGGCTTTAGGCGTATTTTAGTATATTTTTGCTTAAATTGATTTGAGAACGCTGGAAACTTTAGTAGCAATTTAATAGCTTGACAGCTTGTGAAGATTTTGTTTTAAGCGTAGTATTGTAAAATATGCAACTTTTGTATTTTGGGAATTTCTTCGCTTTTAAATTGTTAAATTTAATCAATTGGAAATTTGAGAAATTACTAATGTTTTTGCCGTGTTGGAGGTCTCTTATTTTGACAGTTTTGTAAAGTGTGCGATCTTTGAAAGTCATAAATTATTTAGAGTAGGTTTTAAGATTAAAATAGGTCGTTTTTAGGCGTATTTTGTAAAGTACACGACTTTTGTGGGCTCTAATTTTTCTAATTTAGCGTTTTCGAAACGTTTTCTGTAAATTGAATTTTTGAAGTTTTTTGTCTCTTGTAAATTTTGATAACATAACTTTTTGTAAACTTGGTGTAAAAAGTGTCGAAATCCCGAGCATGCCGTTTAATTTTGATTTTTTTTTGCTTGGGAAATTGGTTTGATCGCTTTGGCACGCTCGACAGCTCGATTTTTATATAATTTTTGCAGGATTATTAAGTTTTTGTAAGTTTTATATTGCTAGTATTTTTCTAGCTAGTTAATTTGCCTCCCGAAAGCACCAAAATCAAATTCTCGTGGTAGTCCGTGTACACCTATCGCCTTCTCCGTTTCCGGTGGAACTTTCTCTGCACAGCCCGTATTTATGGATTTTGGATTTACTGCACCCGTTTCTGGTTTTTGGAAATGACTTGTTTTAGTTCGCGAGGTGCCGGAGCCGCTCGACTCACCACAACGGATGGCGTGGCAGAGCGACGAGGAGACGCCGAGTTTACGGAAGCGAAGTGTACGCAAGCTGATGGACGCCCTGTTTCCGTACCCCTACGTCAAAGACTCGCGGATACAAGACATTGCCCTGTACGCGGCGAGGCTGGAGAAGGATCTGTACGACAAAGGCACTAGCAAGGTATCGTAACTTTTGAGAATAGAGACAATCTTTTTTAATAATTAGCTTTTCCCTATAATTTAACTTTACTAAAATAAATGTAGCAAGTATTTTCAAATTCAAAAATCCATTCGAAGATACAAAATTAAGCTTTTTACGTAAATTTCTAATTTTTAGACGGATTGTAGCCCTTTCTAAGTAATTTTTCCGGCTTGCAATACTGAAAACAACATAAAAACCTATTCTTGTAGACGGACTTCCTGCAAGCCGTCGCCGAGCGCATCTACCACATCAAGAAGGAGCTGGACGACAAGAAGGCGAGGAGAGCGAACGGCCAAGAGCCGCACCCCCAAATCAGCCAAATACACCAGCAACAACAAATGCAGCAACAACAGATGCAGCAAATGCAGCAGCAACCAAACTCGCAGCAGGGACCATCGAATGGACAGGCGCCGTTGCAGAATATTGGTATGTTTTAATGGTATAAATAGTAGTAGGAGGAGTAATATTATTAATAAATTAAAAGGAGTAATTTTTCCATGTGATTATCCACCAAAAATTGACGAAAAATTACGTTTCATTGCGTAAAATTGAGCAATATTGATTTTTGGACTAGCCGTTGCGAAATAAAATCGGATTTAACGCTTTTATTTTGTTTAATTCCTTGAAATTTTACCATATTAAAGTTTGTAAAATTAATTAATTCAGATGCCAAAATGGTTTTGCGTTAAATTGCGAATTTTACGATGTACGTAATAGCATTTTTCTAGAAAACAACGCCATGATGCAGCCGGACATCAAGCCGGTGATACCTCCGCAACAACAGCAGCAATACCAACAGCAACAAGCGCATCAACAGGCTCAACAATATTCCCAGCAGCAGCAGCCACAGCCCCAGCAAAATAACTGGGCCCACCAGCCGAACGCCAGCACGTCCTACGGGCAAATGGGTCAGTTTTTAATCCACAAAATCTTTGAAAAATATTTGAAAATCCTATAAACTACTTTTTTTAGCTCCATCGCACGGCCAGGATTTGAAGCGGTCTTCTACCGGCTCAGAGACGTCTGAAGTGCCGAATAAGCAAATTGTAAGCTACCCTCCAAAGTTATGAAAATTCACTTTTTCTTTAGAAAACCGAGCCCTTCGATTCCGCTTCAACACCACCGGCCCTCGAAAATGCCAGCATCGACATGAAGCCCGACTTGGCGAGCATGAGTGAAAGCAAAGTGACGCCGCCCGGTAAGTCGATTAAAATTGAAGCTTAGTAGCTCGGAATTTTCTGAAATTTAAATTATTGAGATTAGAAACATTTTTTACGATTTATTTGGTAAAATGTATGCTTTTTTAAATTAGGCCTAGAAAATTGGGTTCCTCTGAAACAAACGTTTTTTTCAGCCCAACCAACCCCGGCGCAGAACAACAACACGCAACGACAACGCTCCGAGCCCCCACCCCCGCCAAAACCCTCGAAGCCGTCAGTAGATGAACCACCGGGCGAGGACACGGTCCACGACGCCGAGTCGATGAAGCGCCATTTGATGCCGGTGTTCACGATTTGCTGGGAGATGGAGGAGGCCGTGATTTTCCACGAGCCGGTGGATCCGATAAAGCTGGGGATTCCGGTAAGGGGGTTAAAGCTTGGGCTTGAAAATCTTGGAAAACTTAGCTTAGAAAATCGAGACAACTGATTTGAAAAATCTGAAAACCTGTTGTCGAAAAAAGTGCTTTTTTCTTCAGTTATTTTTTTCGCAAGTCTTTTTGTCGAGAATTCAAAATTTTCGCCTAGTCCTACGCGATTTGGCGGTCTAATTTCCGAAAATGGTTTTCGAAAAAGTGATTTTTCAAAGTTTTTACTGAAAATAATGAACTTCTATAGCTTGAAATATTCCCCAAAAATTCCTCGATTTTTAGCAATACGCCGACATCATCAAGCAGCCGATGGACCTGTCGACGATCAGGAACAAACTGAACCGGGGCGGCTACGCGAACCCGTGGCAATTCTGTGAGGACATGTGGTTGATGTTCGACAACGCGTGGACGTTCAACAAGAAGGCTACGAAAGTTTATAAGCAGACCACAAAGGTAAACTTATTATTTGAATTCTGTAAAATATTGTACTAGGTGCACGAAATCTTCACGCTGGAGATGAACGTGGCGATGGAGAAGATGGGGTACTGCTGCTCGCAGCGGCTGACCTTCACCGAGTTGCCGCTGTTCTGCTACGGCGCCGGGCAGTGCTTGATCCTGTGGGATCAGCCGTATATGTGGTAGGTTTTGCTGAACCTGTTGGTGACGCTTTTTTGACGTTGACCTTGAACTGGTTGATGTCGTTGTTTCGAGGATAAGCTAATTATGTTTTTTTAGCTACGAGCAGAACAGCTGCCAGTTCAACATCCAGGTGTCGGAGAAGTACACTTACTGCTTGAAGTGCTTCGACTCGCTGGTGCCGCCGGAGGGAATGGCTTTAACTGATGATCCGAATGACCAGAATCGGGTGAAAAAGGTGCGAAATCTCTCTCTCTCTCTCTCGCTCTCTAGCTAACTATACTCTTTCAGGACGCCTTCCAACTGATGAAAAACAACCAGCGTGAGTACGAGCCGATGGAGGTGTGCAAGCTGTGCCACCGGAAATGGCACAAAATCTGCGCCAACTACCACAACAAGGTATACAAAGTTTTCTGATTTTATCACTGTTTGTCTCTAGATCTACACCGAGGGCTTCACCTGCGAGACGTGCCTGAAAGAGAAGGAGCTGACCAAGCAGGAGAACAAGTTCACCGCCAAGAAGCTACCGCACACCAAGTTGAGCCAGCACCTTGAGGTTCGTTTTTTATTGTCATTGGTTGTATTATAAGTAATTTTATTTCATAAAAATGCTTTAGGACCGCGTTAACGGGTACGTCAAACGGACCACCGACGAAGAGCTCGAGGTGGTCATTCGCGTGCTGTCGGTCCAAGAGAAGGAGGTGGAAGTGCGGAAGGAGATTCGGGACAAGTGAGTTATTAAAATTTGTTGAAATTAAGTTTTTTAAACTTTATAATCCTCTTCCTCGCTTTAGATACAGCATGCAAGGCTTCCCCGACAAGTTCCCCTACCGCTCGAAGGCCATCTTCGCCTTCGAGGTGATCGACGGGGCGGAGGTGTGCTTCTTCGGCATGCACGTCCAGGAGTATGACAACAAGTGCGGCGGGAATAATCAGAGGTAAGAATTTGCTGTTTTTTATAGAATTGTATTGTGTATTTTTTGGTACTTGATCTATATTTTGTATATCTTTTAGGCGCGTCTACATCGCCTACCTCGACTCGGTCAACTTTTTCCAACCACGCACGATGCGGACAGACGTGTACCACGAGATTTTGTTGGGATACTTGGAGTGAGTTTTTCAAGGAGATGATCAAGCATAAAATCTGGCATTTTATCAATCGATTACGCAATGATATACGCATCGTTAAAGTGTGTATTTGCTAAATTTTGATTTTTTTAGCTACGCAAAACAACTCGGCTACACGATGGCGCATCTCTGGGCTTGTCCACCTGGCGAAGGCGATGACTACATCTTCCACTGCCATCCCCCGGACCAGAAGATGCCCAAGCCGAAGCGATTGCAGGTAAAAAATTGACGATAACTTGAAGCAGGACAAGAAAATTGGCTGTAAATGATCCGGAACTCGAGCAGCGTAAGAAATCGGTTTTAAAGCCTTCGATTTCGAATTAGAGCGTCTTCGAGCACTAAAAAAATGGTTTTAACCGACACCGGCGTCGAGGAGTACACGACAAAAAAAAATTCTAATTCTCTGCTTTAGGACTGGTACCGGTGCATGCTGACCAAGGGCAAAGAACAGGGCGTTGTCGTCGAGTTCAAGGACATCTACAAGCAGGCCGTCGACGACGATCTGCGCTGCCCGATCGAGCTGCCGTACTTTGAGGGCGACTTCTGGCCGGGCATCATCGAGGAGTGCATCCGGGACGCGAAAGACGAGGAGACGAAGCGGTTACAGGGCGGCGACGATGAGGATGACGTCGTGTCGAAGAGCCATTCCAAGAAGAAGAGGTTTGTTTTATAACTTGAATTAAATTGTCGGTTTTTTATAATTTAATTAATTTTAAAATTGTTTTTTTTTTTTTTTTTTTTTTTTTTTTTTTTTAAATTTCACTACTCTAAGTTTAAAAACTTGCGTAACCCATTACCCATTTGATTACGCAATCAATTTGATACGTATCAATACCTGCTTTTTCAGCACGAAAGCCTCGAAGAACAAGAAGAAGCCTGAGAAGACGAAGCAGTCCACCGGGGACCTGATCACTGACAAGCTCTACACCCAGTTGGAGAAGCACAAGGACGTCTTCTTCACGATACGACTTGTCCCCGAGAAGGAGTTGCCCAAGGTGCACGCCATCGACATTGCCGACCCTGATCGTCTACTGGCCAGCGAGCTGATGGAGAACCGCGACAATTTCTTGCAACGGGCCCGCGAGGATCACTGGGAGTTCAGCAGTTTGAGGAGGTGAGCATGAGGTTCCGCTTTTAAAGGGACCGGCAAGGCATAAGAGTATCTTCTTGCATCGCGTAATTTATGCGAATATAGACGCGGTTATGTTTTCGTTTTTAATTCCAAATTTTCAGAGCAAAATACTCAACGCTCTGCATGTGCCACGCGCTGCACAACGACCCCGGCCAGAAGGACGGCATCGCCACGTGCAACCTGTGCAACGCGACGGCCAAGTGGCACTGTAATACCTGCGAGGTGAGTGGGGCGGGAGCATTTTTGCCGGGTCTGAAAATTGCCAAAAATCGTCCCTTTTTGGTGAGGGTACGGTATTTGGGCCATTTCTAATTTAATTCTATAATATACGAATAAACGATTCTTTTCTAGGACTTCGACATGTGCGACAAGTGCAAGGAGGCCAAGCCGCACAAGCACCCGTTGGAGAAGATTGCCCAACTTGTCGATGGTGGTACGAACGGCGAGAAGAAGGACAAGAACGGGGTACGGTATTTTGGGCGTCGTTTAGAAATTTTTTTCATTGTGGCGAAAAGTTATTTCGAAACGTTAGAATCCGTTTTTAACTTTCTAAAATATTTTTCGGGGTACCCTTTTTAGCGTCTACAAGCCTGTGCGATGGCGCTGCAACACGCGTGCCAGTGCCGCGACGCCAACTGCAACGAGCGCAACTGCCAGAAGATGAAGAAGGTCGTCCAGCACACCAAGGTATATTTGTACATTATTCGCTTATTTTTTTGTGTTAGTTCTGAGTATATTTTCGTATAATCTTTTAATTTTTTCTTTAATCTTTGTATTAGACGTTTTTAGTATACAAATTTTCTTTTTAAAATGAAGTTTACTAATTAATCAATTCAATCAATCGATATTTTTAGACGTGCAAGAAGCGCATGACCAGCGACTGCCAGTACTGCAAACAGTTGATCGCCCTGTGCTGCTACCACGCCAAGAATTGCCACAAGGAGCAGTGCCCGGTAAGGGATTTTTGAAATTGTATTTTGTAGTTCTATTCCTATTCTTCGTGTAATCATTGACGTGATTTAGATCCCGTACTGCTCGGCCATCCGGCACAAGCTGAACGAGCAGAAGCAGAGCCAGGTGCGCCGCTCGGAGATGATGATGAGGCGGCGAATGGAGGGTATTCGAGGCCGCGACGCGCTTCAACACCAGCTCTCCCAATCTCAGGGTTCCCCCGCTGGCATGGAGCAGAGTCCCGCGACGAATGGTCAGTTTTAGCCGATTTCTTGGCAAGATTAAGACGCCGACAGTTTCGAGCAGTTCCAATCCCAAAGGAAAATGCCAAAATAAGCAAGCGTTTTGTAAAACAGCTGCGAATCCCGTGCTTCCGGGCTTTTCAACCTGCTCTTTCAAACGCGTTTTCTCCTGTCCTCCACGGACAATTCTGATGCCAAGGTTTTCAAGCAGCTCAACCTCCATAGGCAAAATATCTCCTTCTAAATTAGCTTAAAAACAAGAGCTCCCCGGCTTTTCAAGCTGTTCAACGCCCCTACTTTTTAGGCCCCGGCAGCATCATCGCGTCGAAAAATGGCGGTCCCGGCTCGGTGGGCCCCGGCTCGAACAAGTCGATGCACCAGCAGCAGAGTAAGCTAATTTTAGAGAAAGTTTATCGAACGTGCCCAACTTGACGCAACGTATCCTTTTTTAGTGATGAGCTACGGCGCGCAACAACAAGCCCAACAACAGCAGCCCCAATCCCAACACCTGCAGCAACACGGAGCCCAGAAGGGCGGCGCCGGCTCGTACATGCCGATGGCCCAGCTGCCCGCCCAGGGCCAGTACAACCCGATGATGGACCAGCAGAACCGGCAGATGTATGGAATGCAACAACAGCAACAAGCGCAGCAGCAGATGCACCAGCAACGACCGCAAGCAGGTATGCTAATTTTTGGGCCTGCTAAAGTTATGTCGAAATTCTGGAACTGGGAAAGTTACGGAAATTCATCACCTTGATTTTTAGGAGTTGTCGTGTTTTTGGAAAATAACTATTTCGAAGAGTTTTTTTCAGACCTACTGTGTCTTTTTCGAAAAGGGATTTTGCTTTTTTTCGGAAATGTTAGGTTTTTGATATGATAAAAAATTTTCGGTTTTGAATTCACGAATAGTGATGGTATTTTTCGGTATAACGTCATAAAACCCATTTTTTTAGTCGCCGCCCAGCCGCAACGACAAGTCGATCCACGGGTGCAAGGCGTCGTTCGACAGTTCAACTCATTGAAGGGTAATCCTGAGGAGCGAGAACGGATGCTCGGGGAGCTGAAGAAGCAGCCGCCGTTGTTCCAGGCTTTCATAAAGGTTGGCTCGCGCTCTCTCTCTCTCTCTCTCTCTCTCTCTCGCTCTTTCTGTATTATATTATGTTTTTAGGAAATCCAAGCCCAGCGCGACCAACAACAACCTCCACCCCCGCCGTGGATGCAGACGAGTGGCCAGATGCCGATGGGAGCTCAAGGGCAACGACCCCCAATGGGACAGCACCCCGGCCAATACCCGGCACATATGCAGCAACATATGCAACAGCAACAGCAGCAGTATTACGGTATGTAATTAGCTTTGTCGTGTTTGTCTAGACCTAGTTAGGGGTTGATTTTTTAGACTTCATGGCCCCTTTAAAATATCCCATTTAGGCCAACAACACCAACAACAACAGCTGCAGCAACAGCAAAAGCAGTGGCCCACTGGAAAATAGACCTCTCTGCCCATCTGCTGCTCCACTCGCCTTCCACTCCCACACGTGTACGTCTCCAAGTCGGCTTCTCCACCCCCGGGTAGCAACAACTACAGGCAGTATTAGGTGAGTCTCAACTTTTTGGGGTTGTTGACAGGGAACTGAATTTTGATGCATTTGTAAGGTCTATTTTTTAGTAAGAGTCAGTCTGAACCTCTTGGAGTTGTCGTTAATCTTCTCCTTTATTTCTTTGCTAGGCCAAAAACATATGTCACTCCGAATTTAAACCTCGCTGACCCTCTTGAGGGTGGCGATAGGCTTGGTATCTAGGGTTTCGCAAGTCTGAGAAATGGGTCTGAACCTCTTGAAGTTCTCGCTAGCTAAGCCGGTGGCCAGCTTGGGGAATGTGACTGACCTTCTTGGACTTGACGCAAAGTCTAATACGGAGTCTGACCTTCTTGAAGTTGTCGCTCATTAAAGAAAAGCCACTTCTGGCTCCACGTTCAATCCATTTTTTCAGATTTCTTCGTGTGCGCGCATGTTGTCTTCCCGCTTCTTCTACCGCCCCACACACATCTCAACGAGCCACCCACACTAACCCCACAACACTACTGTGATGCAAATTTTTGGACCGCCGAATATATTCCGTTGTTTACTACTTGCGTTGTTCTCCACCACCTACTCCTCACCTCGTCGCCTACCGTAATCTATTCACCTTACCCGTAACCCCCGCTCAGGTGCCAATCATTGATTTTTCTGTGTTCCTGTGTCTCCCCCGGATTGTATAGCCCACACTGTTTCACTTTCCACGTTTTGTCGATTTTCATTGCGTAATATGCCAATCCCCCTACAGAAAACCCCCCGATTGTTGCATTTACTCCCCCCGCCCCTTTCTAACCCAATTTTATTCGTTTTTATGGAGTTTTTCCGGCTTGGGGCCTCGGGTGGGTCCGAGTTGGCCCCTTGTCGGGCAAAACTGGCCAAAAATTGGAAGCAGATTTTTTTGGTACTGGACTGTTAGCGGGGGGGAGGATTTTTAGCCGGGGTTAAAAAAGCCGAGTTAAAGAAAAACACTATAAAAATACCGTAACTGTATTTATTATCAACAGCTCAAATTAGCCTCCCCCGTTAGCAGTCCAGTACCTTCTTTTTTTTATAGAAAAACTAACCCCCTCGTGACCTTTGTGCACACATTCCTACCTAGAAAATCCCATTTTCCCGCCCGCCCCTTGGAAAATTACCATAATTTGTGAAATGTCGAATTTTTTTGGTGAAATGTGAAATTTTCTGTGAAAATTCGTTTCTTACTCTGCTGATTTCCAAATACTGGGTGTCCCGTATCGAAAAACGCTGTGCTCCTAAAAATATACCGCTGTTGACCACACACACGAGATCCCCCCATTAACTAATTCATTTTTTTGGTCATCTACTTGTGCTTTTTTCTGTGAAAGGAAGTATATTATTATTTTTCTACTTTTACTCTGTGTCTTGTTTCTGAGGCTTTATGGTTTCCTGTTGCGTTTCTCCCCTCCATTTTGTGGCCCCGCGTCTCCTTTGGCCACTTTTGTCCCAAGGAACCCCCGATATATAGGATCCAATAAATATGTTGCTATTTGGAGGTCGTTTGATGGGAATTTTTGTGGTGATGGTACTCCGGAGAACCAGAAGTATTTTTGCGTTGATTTTGGTTTACTAATATTGATTATAGCGTGCTAAAAATATAAATATTATACTAATGTTCGGGCAATGCTTTTAAAGGAGCGTTGCAGGGGGCCGGTTCGAAAAATTGGGCAGCCGACCGCAGGCGGCGGACCTAGCCAATTCCTTAGAAAAAAGGAAAATTGAACTAAATAGGTGTTTTCGCATTATTGTCGGGGCTTGGGTCCTATAATTAGAGAAATGCCTAGTAATGTAACAGCAAGTAGTTTAATAGTGTTTTTAGTCGAATTTAACTATATTTCGAGTGCCAAAAAAAACAAGGATGAAAAAATTTATCGAACACGCTAGTTTTGGTCAAAAATCTTTGTATATTTTAACGAGAATTTGGAAGGGAATGCGAATTCGAAGTTTTGAATGGTATTGCGTTCAATATAAAAGATTAGGTTAATTCCTATCCAGTCCGATGAAAAAAATTCAAAAAAGCAATATGCAACAACTTTCAGGACTGGCTTCTTGCCGAGATTGAGCCCCAGCCGATGCCATCCAGCGAGGAGCCGGATGAGGCGGATGGCTCGGAAAAGGTTGGCAATCTTAGAATATAGAGTTGTCGGCATTATGACACTGTCGCTCAGCAAACATCATAAAAAACTAGTTTGCACGATTTCAGAAAAAGGACAATGACAGCCCTACCCCGTGCACCTCAAAGAATGATGCTCAAGATGATGAGCCGAGTACATCATCGGCGTTAGACATTGAAGAAGATGGCGTCGATGTTGATAGCGTAAGTTATAAATTTTTTGAAAATATTTTCGCTTTTACGAAAATTTGAAGAAACTTCGAATTAGATAGAGCATCGAAAAATGTACCCGGAGTCTTACTACAACTTTCAAAAATGGGATATAAAAAAGCTTAATAGCTTTTTGAATACTTTAACGACCAATTTTTAGGACGTTTTTGAATACATGGACTCCCCGCCGCCCTATTCCCCATCGGAGGTACGTTAACTACTCAATTACATGGCGTAACGCGACATCCGTACCACTGACGTAGCTATTGGCGTTTAAGTGTACGTTTACGTACTACGTACTCACGTAACGCAACATATCGGATAAATCCCCTTTTTAGGCATGGCGAGATGAGACGGCGGCGGTTCGACCGCGTTGCGTCTTTTTCTTGAGGAGAGCGCTGACGCCGCGATTCGAGGAGGGCGATCCGCATGGGGATCGACTGCATCCGATTCATCGGGAAATCGAGTACGATGCCGAGAAGCTGGAGCAGGGATTGTTCAAGGACGCCGGGAACCATGTAAGTTGGAACGGAATGGAGGATAACAGTCTTGTTTCTAACGTGTGAAAAAAGTTTCAAAAAATTCGTCTACTTTCATTTTTTGTAACGCAATCGTAGCTATTTTTAAAAATGGTGGCACGATCTAAAAATGTCTTAGGCGAAAACTATCAAAGAATTCTATTCTATTCTAAAATGCGAGATTTTGATCAATTCGGCCATGTTTGGTCGAAAATAGGAATAATTATTATAAAAATATTAATATATTAGATGAAAATCGGTGAGACGAAGTCAGCTTAAGTTTTGAAACTTTGAAACTTTCCAAGGCATGGAAAACCGTTTTAATGCAATACTACCATGTTTAATGAAACTTAAAGTATCCTAAAATTTAATTTAGGAAGACTACATGACCAGCGTGCTCGAAAAGATCTCCACCTCGACGGGCGGTCAAGAAACGGCGGGCCAGGCGTGGAATGAACTGCTCCGAGTTGAGGGCGTCGGCCCAGCGAATCAGTAGGGTCCGGAAGCCGAAGACAAAGTCTAATACCACACAATTTCAGAGGTGTCGCGGAACGACGGTTTTTCGACTGAGCCATTACAAAATATGTCGGGCGTTTTATCGGCAAAAATCCCGACAGCGCCCTGGCCATCTTCGACAAAAAGTACATCAACTGATGACAGTACAAGTATGAAACAACCGGCTACAATATTACACGTACTAACTCACAAATGTCCTCTCATAATCCCCTCCCCCGAGCCATATCTCTATTTTCTATATTTTGCATTAATGCCCCCATTTTGTTGCCTTTAAATTGGTATAACTTTTAAAGTGTTTTTTTGCCTTTCTTTTGCATTATCGGGGGACCTAATATGTTCTTCGAAGTCTAGAACTATCGCCAACGAAAAATTTATTTATTAATAGTGTTTTTGGTAAAAATTAGACTAGATTGGGGGGAAACCTCCAGAAAAAACTTAGAAAAATCTTCAAAATCGATATTTTTGTATATTTAACGTATTTTGTATTTGCCAAAGCTTGCATAAGCAAGTTTCTCGGGAAACCCTTCAATTCTATGCAAAAAATGTCGCCAAATGAAATGCCGACATTCTGAAATTTCTACATTCTGAAATGTCGACATTGTGAATTTTGACATTATGAGTTTCGAATTATGATTTTCCACGTTTTGTAATTTCAACTCCTCCCCCGATAATGCAAAAGCCCCTGATTTTGCATATCCCCTCCTCCTCCCCTTTTCCCTCTCAACGATCTCCAAAACGCGGTCGTCAAACACACATACAAATTCTCGGTTCAACTTTCGGTCTATCAGCAAGCCCCGTGACTTTCTCTCCTTATTTTGGTATATTTTTTAATAATTTTGGTATCAATTTTGCTGTGATGCTTTGAGACATGCAGTATTCTTGCCATTAATGCCACCAGTCCCCACAGTCTGCTCTGAGATTTTTTCTGGCTTTACGAAATGCAAGTAGCTTTGCCTTTTTTCTGGTCTTATTGCTGTTGTTTTTGTGGAGTGTGTTTTTTTATAAAATTGTATAAGTTTCGAAGTCTACACAAAACGACAAAAAATCTTGCTAATAACGCCATTAACAGAATTACGGGAATTCCTAAAGGATCCCTGCTAGCCCACTTTTCGGAAAGGACCTGGTTGTCAAAAATGGAATAGTCAAAAATAAATGGGGGAGGAGGAGGGAAAAAGGGTGTGCGAAAAGGGGACCCCAAAAAAAAAAAAACAAAAAAGGGGGAGGGGGGGGGGGGCGGGGACGGGGGGGGGGGGGGGGGGGGGGGGCCCCCACACAGGAGGGGGGGGGGGGAAGGGGGAAGAAGGGGGGGGGGGGGGGGGGGAAGAAAGAAACTTTAAAATCACCACTCAAAAATAAATAATTATTATAGCAAAATACACCCATTGACGAGATTAATTAGAATTTAAATTAGAAACCATTGTTAATAAGGTTCCTAAGGATCCTCTGCTAGCTTGCTTCTCAGACTCAAAGTCGATTCATCGAAAAAAGTGTCCATCTTTGATGGCAATGCCAATTCCGGATCCCCTTCTGGGAATTCCTCAAAAGTCTTTGCTAGGGCGCCGTCGAAGAAAGGCATTTATGCCTTAGTCGGAACCTAGCTTCTGTCCAAGCGTCCGGTTCGCTTACCTCCGGACTGAGCACGGAAGTAGCTGAACCGTGACAAGGCAAAGATTTTCCGTTTGCTCGATAAAACCTTACAACCCACGACGATCCACTAGGACGGTTTTCTCGTAACCACACAAGAATCGGCCCAGTTCCTGGACCAGCTGCATGCCCTTTCCGTGGCAATTTTCTGGAACACAGGCCCATTATGAGGGCGTACAGGCCGTTGGCGGAGGAGCCAAAGGAGCAGGCGAATCGTTTGATTTTCGCGCGTTCCTTCATGTTTACCATATCGGAGCGTGATTTAAAAGACAAAGGCCGTAAAAGCGCGATTTGCCGCACTAATAGGGCTTTCATAATGGCATCGTTGATAGAGTTCCTCTCTATCTCTCGCGCTCTCTCTCCCTCTCTCTCTCTCTTCTCTTTCCGTAACGTTTCTTATTCCGAACCCCTTTAATTCACATGTAACATCCCGCCTACCCAGCCATTTTTCGGAATTCCACCCCAGCAAAGCTGTAAATCAAAAGCCTTGGCTCCCCTTCGGAATTGGGCATTCGGGGCTGTTGTCACAATTTGGAATGGTCCTGGGTTTTTTTGGTGCCGACGAGCTGATTTTCTACCGTTTGCTAGAAGGGGTTACCAACGTAAAAAAATCGATGTCGTGGCGTGGTGGGTAGACGAATATAGACTGTGGGCACCGGTCCTTTTTTGGATCAGACTACGATTTTCGAGGGATCAGATTGGCTTTGTCCGCATCAGGGTTTAATCCGTTTTATGCTAGCTACAAATTTCAGCGCTTTGGCGTTCGAAATATTCAAAAATTATCTTTGAAATGGGCCAAATTTTCAACTTCTCTGCTTCGATTTTTAAATGAAGTTTCTGAATTTTCCGACCTGTCCTAGGGCAATTTAGTGCGTAATTTTAATTCAGGAATATTCCCTGATTTTTAACGGCATTTGGCAAAATTTTCAACTCCAGTTTTCTCCTTCTGAAATGTGTCCAAACATTAATATCCCTTTTTGTTGTTTTGAAACGAAAGTTATACTCAATTCCCGAGTAACCCCCTAATTTCTAACCCTCAAAAGCTCCGGCAAAGGCAACATTTAGACAAATTGGCGGGGGCGACTAGCGGCGCCCGTTCCCATAAAAATCACGTTCCCACGGTTGGGAGCCCCGGCAGCTAGTAATATGGATATTAGCCGGGTAGTCGGCTAGGGAAATTGGCTACAAGGTAGTAAGGGTTTTCTGGGTTCAAGTCTCTCTGTCTAGCTCCCGATCTCTGACTTTTTGGCACTTTTTCTAGAAGTTTAAAACCGGAAATTGTTAATCAAGGTCAAATTAACTAAAGATATGGGCCGTACGCCTCAATTGCCGGAAATTAGGTTACGATGATCGAATTTCAAAGCTTTTTTTGACCAACCTTGGAGTCAACCAATATTTTCGAAATTTCGAAAAGCAACGCAGCATACCGGTGAATACGCTACGAAAAGCTTCAAATATTTTGTGGGACCGACCAGGCCGCCCTTCCTGCCGATATGTTGTCAAGATATTGGGCGGCTGGCCCCTTCAAAAATTTGTTGCCGCAATGCCATTCACTTCCTTATCAGATTTCCTGTCTCAACCAGTTTCATAACTCGAATTTTTGGTTACGACATGGAATTCAGGTTTCTTGCACTTCTAAAAAGCCTAAAAATTCCATTTTTTAGCATTTTGGGCAGGTCAGCTGGCAGAAACCATTTGAGAAAATGAGCTCTATCGGACAAGCGTCTATTCGTGTGGATGTTACCGAATCTGGCTACCGATCATGTCATTCTATATTCCAATCAAAAATCTTTGAAAATCATCCTCAACCTCTTGAAAATCTAATCCGGAAACGTACAGCAACCGGAAGCAGGAAAATCGTTAAGTCGGATTTCCGCTACATTGAAAAATCTTATTGAACCTGGGGGGCAAACTAGCCGATATTATTGCGGACATTTTAATGCGCCGACGTTGAAAGGCTTATGAAGCTTGCCAGTAATGCAAAAACGTATTTTTCTGTATAATTTTTGGCTTTGGAATCACGATTATCCTCCCAAAGCCAGGGGCAAGCTAGCAGAGATTCTTGGGGAAGTTGTATTTCCGGAAATCGGTCGCGTAAGTAAATGTGGGTCCGTTAACGATCTAGAGGCAAGCTAGCAGAGATCCTCGCGGAAACTCTAGTTTCCACTTTTAAGCAGCTTCCTGTTGTGAAATGAAACTTCCCATGGCAATCCAGGAGAGATTATTTGGGAAAACGGTTCCTTCCTGGAGCCGGAATTTTACGCAACTTCCTATTGACGCTTAAATTCCTTCTCAGGGATCTTTTTGATCGGAATATCCAACTTCCGGCGCCTTCAAATCCCCCTGGGCCTTGTGAATCATACTTCGCATTATTATATCTTTTCTGATTCTGAATTCCGAGCCGGGCGATCCGTAATTGCGGTCCACTACCTACTCCCGGAGGGAATAATTAGCTCTCTCTCTCTCTCTCTCTCTCTCTCTCTCGCTCTCCCCTCTCTCTCTCTCGCTTTCGCTCTCTCCCGCTTTCTCTCTGTGTCTCACGCACAATCAAGGAACTTGCCTCAAGCTACAAATAAGCAGTCCTTTCCCCTCTAGAGAATTTATCACGAGGTCCAAAATTGACACCTTTTTGGCATCCGAATTACCCCCAGATTTTTATTTTTATCGTAAAAATTGAGCCTTGAAATTTGGCTCTTGAGCTTTAGATATTTTCAAAGAAGATATAGCGAAAAATTGGACAATTTGTAGTTTCCTCTTGAAATTAATTAAAAAGATCCGGAAAGGAGGATTAACCAATTTTCAAGAGCTCAAATCACTCAAAAATCCTTTTAATTTGTATACGTGGAAAAACTCACCCAAAACGGCCTACGCCCAGTAGTATTCAAAAATCGACCCGGCGTGTGGGAATTTTAGGCGCAAGAAAATTGGGCGGTGGCGTAAATTGACAAAACCGTGACGCTAGGGTCACACGATATCGTCTGGGTTGTAGGGTTGACTTAATAAATCAAGAAATTTCCACGCACGTCGAAAGTTCACCAAAGTACAAAGTCCCTCGCGGCATCGAGCGGCAATGGGACTAACGGTTCTTTAATTTCATGCTTAAAAAGCTCGTGTCACCGTCCCTTTAAACCAGGAAGCGGCGCCAACTGATTTAGGTAACTGTTAACGTATAATCTAAAAAGCATTTCTCATGAATCCTGCCGAAAAACATTACCAAAAGCCCTTCACACTCACTTTAATAGATCAAAGGTACTTTTGGCTTGGTGAAAACCGATTAAGGTATCTATTTTGGTCTTTTCCACTGCTGCCTATACCTATTAAAGTCTCCGTCCTGTTACGCTCCCTTTAATGACCTGTTCCTGGCCAGGCGTATCTATTAATGCGGAAACAAATGCGCGTGTTTGTAGTATAGTCGTAAACTCCCCGCCAATTCCGGTTTCCGGGTCTTGAATTTATCCATCATCGTCTGTCACGCTGCCTTTAATACCCGTAGGAGAGAGGGTGTTCCCCGCCCTATTAATGCGTTGTCATGGCACCCTGTTGGCCATGTAAAGGGTGGGGAGGGGTTGGTGACCGCGATGTACCCCTATATCCGCGTTTCTCTCTCTCTCTCTCTCTCTCTCTCTCGCTCTCGCTAGAGGGGGAAGAATCGGATTTCCCGAATGGCGCGCAAATCTTCTAATCCGACCATGGGGGTCCGGCTGGTATATAACGCGACACATCCTTATTTTTTCTTAGGTGAAAAAGTTGTTGATGACTCAAAATCACCGCGGTCTCTGTCTCTCTCGCCTCTCCCCCCCTCTCTCGCTTCCTCGCAAATTTACCATATGCTGATTCCGTTGGACTGCGCGTTGACACGACTCCAGTTAAGCCACGCCCCTTGGTCCTCTCTGGCGCGGCTCCTTTCGCTCCTCAGAAAAACATAAACAGCCCGGGGTCGCGGCCAATATGTCGCCCGGTCCCTCATTTCCAATCAGATCGGCAACATCGGTTCCATTGCCAGATTTCCTCCTGGATTTTTCATGGTTTTTCTTCAACTGGGGATGAGGTGTCTATCGGAATTTAGTGGAAACCGATTGCACTCAAAAACCGCCTCAACACGTTTCGGAGCTATCAGAACACCCAGATTTCGTGTTGCCACCTTCAAAAACCGATGCCTATCCTGATTTCGAGCTGGTAAAGCCTTGTGGATTAGTCATCTCTTGGAATTTACTGGCTGGCCATCGATAACACCCCCTAAACGTTTCAAAACGTTCCGAAACCGCTTTGGAACACTGATAAGTTTATTTGCTGATGGCAATCTTTGACAAACTTTTGCAAGAAATTAGACTTTTCAGAATCTTGGCTTTTCAACTACTTTTTGCACATTTTTTGCACAAAAAATGTTGTATTCTGTTTCCGGACTCGGCTAGAAGTCAAGTAATGGTCCTCTGCTTTCCCTATCCCTCCAAAATCCGACATCAACTAGACATATCAAAAAATTTTCTGTAGTTTTTCACCTACAAAAAAAAAGGGTTAAAAAAAAAAAAAAAATTTGCATTGAAACTATTTCTTTCTCTCTCTCACTCTCTCTCGCCCTATCCGTCTCTCTCCTTCTCTCTCTCTCTCTCTCTCTCTCTCTCTCTCTCTCTCGCTCAAGATCAAAATCCCAATAGTTCCTTACTTCCCTGGTCCCTTCAATTAGGCAGATTGGTTTTTGTGAGCCTATACCCTTTGCTCGAAACGACGCGAAAATATTAAGCCGCCGGGCTGATCCGGATCCTGAAATCCCGCCAAAGTCACCGCGCCTAATCCGCTCCGGGAATCGGGGAGGGCGCAGTAAAAACTTTCAAACCCTCGTTCATCATAGTGCTGGCGACATTTTGATGAAAAGTCGAACTTTTCGAAATCTTCTCTATACCTAAATTCCAAAAACCCTTCAATTTAGGCAAAAAAGGTAAGTTCTAGCCTTAAAATTGCCATTTTGAGAATCCAAAGTCCAGGACTTTCCTGTTTACATGATTTTATGACTTTTCGATCGAAAAACACAGAAAAAGTGAATCACGACACTTTTTCTGCTCCTCCGCGCGACTCCGAATCACGTGAGGCCCATATGCAAATTACGTCATGCTCTCGGAACGATCGAGCGTTTTATAAACATCGAAAATTTAAGAGATTCTGTTTTCTTAGCTTATTTCTAGGCGCTTGACGCCGTTTTATTCCATTCGCAATTAAATTAACATTTTTAAAGGCATGGACTACGACGCGAACTTGGTGTCGATGGAGATGATCGCGGCGGCGGCGTTGGACGACAATAATAATGAGTATCCGATGGTGACCATGGTGGGTTAGAGACAGACAGAGAGAAGAGAGAGAGAGAGAGAGAGAGAGAGAAAGCAAGAGCGAGAGAGAGCGCGATGCAGTTGTACAGAACGGCATCTAGTTCCTCTACTTTAGTGGCACGACATCGAAGTCGAGCGGAAGGCGATCAACTGGTTCATGTCGCGCTGTCTGCGCGGGTTCCGAGCTCAAATTCTGAGCCGGGAGGAGCTGTTCTGGAAGGTGGAGGAGGCGTTCATTCTCGAGGATTACATTTTTCAGCGGTCTGTGAGCTTGGTGGGTGCAGTTAATAGTAATAGCTCTTTACGGTTGGCGTAATTTGGACCATAGCGTAGTTGTCGGCACCTAGTAGGGTAGATTTTTATATTTCCTAGCGTTAAACTAGTCGGAGAAGGCCCGAATGCCACTCAAAAACACGCAAAATTCAGTTCAAGCGCTAGTTGCGCGTCTCTATGCAAAACCAAGCCCTCTAAGTCGATGAAGCTTCCAAAAATATCGAAAAACTACATAAAATCATTTCCATTTCCAGGAAGACTACCGCGAAAAGTTCTCAATGGCCTGCTCGCAGCTGGGCGGCGGCAAGGAACCGATGCCCCCGTTCGATCAGCTGCCGTAAACACGTGGAATGTAACGTAGTCTCCTCACCCAACCGGCTAGGACCCGCCGCTATACATAGAGTGCCTTCTGTGGTCCCGCCAATAAATTGCATATCAACGTTTTTAAAGTGCAAAAAAACGAAAAAGATTGAAAAACATAAAAGTGCACCAAAATATACGTTGTTTTCACCTCAAAAACCGATAAAATGGAAAATTTAGTTATTTGAAAGCCTTAAATGTATCCAAGCTAGTTTATGTTCCCGAAAACATTTAAAATCGATTATATAACGCTTTTAAAGCTTAAATTAATGTATCTGAGACCAAAGCCTACAAAATACACCCCAACAGACTTACTTGAATACGCCAACTGATCGCAATAAGTCCCGCCAAGTCCCGTAGGGCAGATACAGGAATTGCAGGTACTCGGGTTGGTGTAGCCCTCATTTTGGCAGGGTAGGGAAGCGCCGCAAGACCCTAGAAAGCAGTACAGTTACTATCACAAAAATCTGAGCGACAAGAACGTACAGAGTAAAAAGCGTACCACCGTAACCCCTTAAAAATAATCTATCAGATTTTAACCGCATAATGCGGCGTAGGGATCGAAAGGTCGTTCAAAAAATCAAAAATATAAAATTCACTATTTAAGGCAACTCTAAAGGAGCTGGAAGTACGAAAATCGCCCCTTACGTCAACTGGTCTCGACAACGCCAATCTGCGCTGGGACAAACTACGGTGCAAGAGTACTTAAACGTCTTGGTGGAAGTCTTGTATTTTGGCGCCAGTTTTCGAAACCTGGTCTACTGAAAGGGTGGATTTTCGTCTCCTTACGCCTTTAAGCACCATTAAAAATGAACAGGGTTTTGCTTGTCTATGAAAATTTTTACGAAAATATTAACCAACGGTTCACCCCATGACTCTAAGATATTTTCCTTACTTGAGCAATACATTAAATTGACGGCCTTGTAGTCGTAGAAGGCCGGCTCCACTCGGTTTCCGATCGTGTACGAAAATTGCGATCGCAATGGGGTGATCGTGTCGGAGCCAAAGGATTTCGAGAACGACTTGAAATATATAAACATTTTCGTAAGAATCCGAAAAACTCACATTAATAGCGTAGTGCATGACGCTACCGTAGTCGTATGGGATTCCGAGGGACTGAGAAAGTGCAGGAGATCGCTTGTCAAAAGAGCCGGTGTAGCCGGAGGCGATATTTTGAAAGTTGACCCTGAAATTTGATCCTTTAGTAACTTAAATCTTTCCAAATAGCTGTTTTAGAACCGTTTACTTTTTAGAACCTGCTACCAATCTAATTTCTCAAAAAAAACTACAGAAAAATGAGCTCTAAACCTGATATATGTATCGCGTTCCGGTCGGGACTGTTCGTGGTATAATCCTAGGCTGTGGCCGATTTCATGGGCAGCGATTCCCAGCTAAATCGTTAAATATAGTTTCTAAACAAAATGGAACCGTTTCGCAGCCACTTCCCAGTGAGATTTCTTGTTGGCCGCCAAGCTTTCCGACACCAGAATAACATCTGCAAAAAAGAAGAAAAATGGAAATGGAGGAAAAAATCAACAACATAGTCCTTGCATCAGATCGACATTGGAAAAATTTTGCAGACGAGATAGAGCGATAGAAAGAGAGAGAGAGAGAGCGAGAGAGATAGCGTGAGAGAGGGAGGTAGAGAGCGTGAGAGAGAGAACGAAATTCGAAGAGACTGATATAACTTGCTTCCTCCAAAAACTTACCCATCCCCCTTATTAAAAATCAGGAAATCGCCGGCATTCCCGTTTTCCCAGAATCTGATGCAGGTGTTGGTCTGGTAGAGTCGTAGCGCGGCTCGGATAGTGTTTTGCCAGGTTCCTAAATAAAAATAAATTTGTTTGTTTAGTTTTCAGACCATCGGTATCGCCAAATCGATAGGCGATCGTGGTGGTCCATCTTTTTCCGAGATCCGACGTTACTTTTCTACGACGACGGTTGCTGATGATTTGGTTTAGCTAAAATAGCGAGTAGCGAGAGAGTGAAGTTAAGAGAGTAAGAGCTAGAAGAGAGTAAAGAGCCAGAGAGGAGCAAACAGCCAAAAAGCAAAAAACCAAAAAAACCCAAAAAAACCCAAAAAAAACCAAAAAACAAAAACCACCAAAAAAAAAACAAAACCCAAAAAAACAAAAAAACAACCAAGCAAAAACAAAACCAAAAATACACAACAAACACCAAAAAACCCACAGGAAACCCAAAACAAGACCAAACAATCACCACTAGACGCGCCACCAAGCACCAAAAATAAAAAATAGCGTTCACTAAAAAACCCCACCAAAACCGGTTAAAAAACAAGGCTGAAAACACCACACAGGGCAAAACAAATAACAAACAAACGAAGGCGGGCAGCCACAACGACGGCGGAAAGGGACCAGCTAGAGAGAGAGAGAGAGAGAGAGGAGAGAGAGAGAGAGAGAGAGAGGGAGAGGGGGAGAAATTCGGTGACCTGGGCCATAGTCAACATCATATCCGCTTCAAACAATCCACTCGTAATTCGGCTATTCGCTCGAATCTCGTTGTGCAGGGCTGCCGTAGTGATCGGAGTAGCTGGATTCTAAATCCGCAAAAGTTTAACGTCCTCACCTAAAGCTTACAAAGGTAAAGCCAGCTCTCTGACTGTAGTATCGATTCAAGGCTGTCACCACATTTTCGTAGCTCTGCCCGCGGAAGGCGCTGTTGAAACGGTTCACGTTATTGATGAGCTGAAAAGGATAGAAACACTAGGAACGCGGATTTAGCATATTTTTGGGAAATATTTTCCGACGGGTTTGGGCTGTTCTACAAAAATAAAAAATGCCGGGGGCTGGAAAGGGAACGGTGGATAGCCTTCATGGCACCTTTAAAACCGCGAAGAAATACCTACCCGTCGCAGCGTTGGAAAATTGTCGCGACCCATCGTTGGGAATTGCTGTTGAGGAGGTGGAGGAGGTGGTGGCGGAGGAGGCTAAACAAAAAGCTAAGTTGACGATAAGCTTCAAGGCTTCCTCAGGCTCTATTTCTCTCGCTCTCTCTCTCTCTCTCTCTCGCTCTCTCTCTCTCTCTCTCTCTCTCTCTCGCTCTCTCTCACCTGCGGTCTAAACCTAGGAGGAGGTGGTCCTTGTTGTGGTGGAGGTGGAGGCGGGGGTTGATTCTAAAGATTGGTATTACCAGCATAACCTAAGATTTTCAGCATAAATTTAAGAATTTATTGTCGCTATTAGCTTACAAATTGTTGCTGCATCATTTGCGGAGGAGGTCCGCCCTCATCTTGATCGAAGTTTGGAGGCTAAAAATGACAATTTTCCTCGGAATCCCAAGAAAACATTAGTTACCGGCTGTTCATCGAACTCAGGCGGTGGTGGGCCCTCGTCCATCTATGTTAATGGCATTAGTAGTTAATATAAGAATTAATAAATTATAAGGACTAGGTCGCCCAGTGCGTGATTGTTAAGAAATACTCACAAATGGTCTCGGTCCGCGTCGCTAAAAGAATACATAGGTTTTATCAAAACTTAACGGGAAATTTGAGGATAACGGAATTGACAATTTTTAAGCACGTTATTACGGTAATGACTTACTGTAATTTAATGTAATACTGATTTTACCAGCACTAGGTAAATTCCTTGGATACTTACAAAGAATGGTGGCGGAGGGCGCATCTAAAAGAAATACCTTCAAATAAATTTTTCTGCAAATTTCATGTTCTACATTCAAAGAACCTACCCATGGAGGTCGTCCAAATCCACCTCCTGGGCCCCCAAATCCACGCGGCCCAAATCCGCCACCTGGGCCTCCAAAACCGCGGGGCCCGAACCCTCCTCCACCTCTAGGCCCAAAAGGAGGCGGACCGTCGTCTTCTGCCATCGGGCCAACATCGCCCTCATCTCCTAAAAGCTTTTTTTCGATTTTTAAAAGTAAGTTAATTACAATACTATACTATTGACGCTACAGAAAATACATCGACAATACAAAAAAATAACATACCAAATGGTCCTCCAAATCCGCCATGGTGATGATGGTGATGTCTCATCCAGGGTGGTCGACCAAATGGAGGCCCAAATTGAGCAAGGGCTACGGTAGCCCAAGTAAGAATTAGGAGTACCATAATTCTAGAAAAGTGGAGGGTATTTTACTACCACGAAAGAATATAAAAATCCATGTTATACCAGGAAAAGCAAATTAAATCGTAACAGGATTTTGAAGACGCTTGGGTCTTCGAATTTTTAAGAAATTTCCGGTTCCAATTAAAAGTCGTATTAAATCTATTCAAAATTAATAGATCAGGTTGAAAAGCCCGAAAAATTGAATCTAGTCCAGCCGGTAGGTATCCAAACAACTAGCCGCCAAATCATCCGCCTCTCTTCTTCCATTTCTCTAACACCACGTTCCCCCCATTTCCACAATCTTTGCCATTCCCAAAAGGTTTCAGTGATTTGGCGAAATCAACTCGGGAAGGAGAGAGAGAGAGAGAGAGAGAGAGAGAGAGAGAGAGAGAGAGAAAGCTGCTGCCGCTTGCCAAGGATTTCAAGGGCGATTTGCTTTGGGACCGTCCGGAACTGACTGGCCTTTTGCTCGAGGAAATGCTTTTTTAGGGTTGGGATGACTGAATTAAAATCGCTACCGCCTTCTTATTCGCTGAACTGAACCCGGCTGAACTGTATGTTAACAAAATATTTTGTCTGGTCCTTGATTGATATGAGCTGTCATTGAATTTTAAAATAAGGAAGCAAACCCGAGAAATAGCACAACCTAAAGCTGTAGCACCACCTATCGTAGGTGTATGTTTTGGGTCGTATCGCTTGGTATTGTGGATCGTACTATTTTCTTATCGGAACATCTGGTAGTGTAGCGTCTCTTCTCGTAGCGTAGTGTATATTATCTATTTCGCGGCGTATTGGATCGTATCGTAACGTATCTTGTCGTAGCGTATCGCGCCGTTTTTGTATCGTATCGTATACTATCGCATCCAAGCTCACTGTAGCGCAAAGTATCCTATCGAATCTTATCGTATGGTTTTTCGTATCGTAGTGCGCAGTGTTGCATCGTAGCCTACCGTATCGTAGCGTAGTGCAATGTATCATATCTTAGCGTATCGTCTCGTCTCCCATCGTCATCTAGCGTACGGCATCATGACGTATCGTGCCGTATTGCTGTGTACCGTAGCTTGTGGGCTTAAGATTTTAGCAAAGCCGGGCAATCTTCAAAAATCGCTCTCATTTATTTTTAGCCCCTTTCAGCTTGGTGTTTAGGTTCCAAAAAGTGCTCTATATTTCCGTTTTCTTCCCTTCCCGCGCCAGGGGCACTGACTGACCCCTGGGTGTCTATTAGGGGACAGTCCGGGGGTTAGATAAGAGAAGCCGGGGGCGATGGATCGCCAGATTCCCCTCGTTTCCCTGCACTTTGCACCTCGCTAATCGACACCTTTTTTTGTTTTCTCGATGATTTTAGCCATTTCCGGTTTTACCGGTGGTGTGGTTAGGTTTAGCTCGTAGCCCGGCGTAGTTTGGCTTGAACTGTAGTTTCTAAGCTTCAAAGCGAAGCCGCTTTGAGCCGCTTTCAGGTTTTTCAATTGAGGGTTCATGATCTTTGTTTTCTTTTCCATTAGAGACAATTAAGCCTATGCTAAGCCTAAGCTAGGCTTAAGCTAAGCCTAACCCAAGTTTCAGCAAAGCCGAAGCCAAGCTCAAGTTAAACAAAAAGCTAAACAAAAGCGAAGCCGACTTTAAGCTCAACTAAGCGTTCCTCAATCACCTTGACCACAACTCCGCCCGGCTCCAAAGAACGCTCAAAATGCAGCTGTGTTTTCTTTCCGAGCACTCCTCTGTCCAGCTCCAGGCCATGGGAATCCCACACTTCCTTTTGCCCGCAGCCGCCCATAGCTTTTCCATCCCCCATCCGCTTCTCTCAATCTCCATTTCACAGTGGTGTCTCGCCCTCGGGGCTCCGATGCATCCCCGCATTTCGTAAATGTGGTTGGGTTTTTGAAACAATTTTACGATCAACTAATGAATTTACGCTATAGAGAACAAAAATCCTAATAATATAAAATAAAAAATAAAATTCCTAAAAAATTTTAGGGGTAAGAGAGGGCCATTCGGCGTCCCAAGAATTCCATATACTGCCTCAAAAATGGGATTTCGTCATTGTTAGGTTTTTCCAACGATTTTACCATGAGGAATATCATATATTTTAATCATAAAAATTTTTAATAACGCAAGAAGTGCGTGCGAACCCCTTCCATTGCTTAAATTTGCATAGAGAGCTTGGAAAATTGAATTTAACGATAGCTACATCTTTTTCGGCGTCGTTAACTTTATATTTTTAATTTAACGTTAGGTTGTTTGCTAATTGTTCCTATTTTTCGAGGCCGTTTATATCAATTTATCCAAAGTTCTGCATCCTTCCAAGTTTCTTCCGGGTCGTTTTGTTTGTGTATTTTTTTGTGAGGCTCAATTTCCGATTTTTAATGTGACTTTCAGCTTACGCGGTACAATTATTTATTTATCGGATCGTCCGCTTGCTCCGCCCACAAAACCCGATCGAAAACATGGCAACAGAGCCATTACTCAGGTTTGCGCTTGCAACACTTTTTACGTCGGTATTTTTCCATCGATTCTGTGTACATTGCTTGATTTTCCTTCTTCAAAAAATCTTTCAAGGTTAGCTTTTTAGCAATCTTCATTAAAAATCTATTAAAATCGGATTAACCCGTAAAAATTTGCTGAAACTATAAATCTTCCTGCTTACAAAATTCGGTGAATTTTAATCCAGAATTTTGTAGTTTGTAGTCTCGCATTTTCGATTTGTTTGTATTTTGTGGCTTAATTTTCTATGGGTTTAAGATTAAACTGATTAAACTGAATTTTAGTAGACACACCCTGCTTTTCTTAAAATAGCTCGAATTCGTGCCAAAAATATACTTTTTTAACCCGGCGCACAACCAACATAAACTCCACACGACACCAAAATCCGGAATTTCCGGTTTACGCTGAACTTTTGCACGGGCCATTTTTCGGCACCTGGACATTGGCATTTTAATGGAGGCGCGGGATTACGTGATAAGAGCGTAAATGGGCTGTGGAGAACACCCGTTATTCTCAGCTTTTCCCAGATTGACCCCCGGCGTGCCGAATGCAAAATTTAACGGTTTTCCCTGTCTTTGCCCAAAAAGAAACAGAAAGCAATTCAGCGAAACAAACGGCCGTTGCTGACATAAATTCGGCACTATAAAATCGGGGGTATAATCGGGGCATTCGCTTCGTTTTGCCCCGAATTTTTGCTGACTTCTCCTGCACATTCGAGTGCATTTCTAGGGCTTGTCAATATTTTTGGGAAGCGTTTTGGTGGTTGATAAGAAAAAAGGCTTTTAATTTCCCCTTATTTGAAAACCGTAGGATTTTCTAGGCGGTCATTGTCCAAAAAAAAGAATATTTTGGTGTCCGTTTTCTGCCCTACCGACTTTTCAATTTACTACCATCAAATTCTGGGTTTAGGCTTAAAATCGTTTTAGTTTGGTCAGTTTTTAACTAAATTCCGCTCATTTTTGGCTATTCTTTCTAACTCACTCTCTCGCCCTTTAGCTCTCTCTATCTCTCGCTTTCTCTCTCTCTTTCACTTGCGCTCTATATCTATCCCTCTATCGCGCGGGCTATCTCTCTTTCTCTCTCTCTCTCTCGCTCTGTCGCTCTATAGCTCTCTTTTCCTCCTGATCTATGGCAACCTCATTCTCAAAATATGCCACTCTCCCCGAAAAGCGAGAGTACTTTGAAGTGTGCCCCATGCTCCGATCAGTAAACCCGATATAATCGGCTTGCCCCCGGAAATCGGAACAGACAGCGGAGGATCGGGGGAAAGTGGCGATCAGTTAGCTGGCCGGGAAATGACAACACCAACGCCCACTCTGTTTCCCCAATCAATTCCTCGATTTCGCTTCATTCCTTGTCCAAAATTACATAGAACATCATTTATTTTTATGCTAACGGTCATAATGATGAAAACCGAAGGACGCAGATGTTCATAGGTGTATACGTACAACTCATTGAGCGTAGTTAGCTTTGTAGTACCGAGAAGACAGCGAAAATCTGCAAATCGCTCGCAGCTAATTTGCATAATTGTTCTTACTTTGAATAACTCATCCTTTCAACACTATCTTTTTTATCCAACCTTTTCCAAGCCTCCCAAATACCATCTCTAATCTCCTGACTTCTCGAGATGCAAAATATTCGATATGTCGGGTACGCCAATCAAGAAAATTTCAATTTGGGATTTAAATCAAAGATATTATCGATTTTCTAAAGTAGAAAATCCGTAAAATTGACGTCTTTTCAGTGGCCCCGAGATGGAGGCGGCGTTGAAGGAGCCGTATGGGTCGACGGCCAGTACCAGTGAGGAGCCGACGCCCAGTACTTCTTCTGGAGCAAGGGAGAGCAAGGTATGGATTTCTCTTGATCGGGATCTTTTAATTAGAAGAAAAACTATCGCATACCTAATCAATTTTTTAGTCTTTCCCTGATTTTGAAAATCATAGGAACTCGAAGCCACCGGCGGCTCATTCACCCAAAAAGAACTCGAAGCAGCAGCAGGGGACCCGGAAAGACATCGCACAAAATTGGAAGAGGTGAGCAATAAACGTTAATTAAAAGTTTATAAAAACCCTACACTCTAGGTTTCCAAGAATGAGCATTACCCAGTAAGTTTAATATCGTTTTCAGCGTCATTGTTCTTTATTTATTTTTGTCAAGCATGCTTAATCTCTTTAATCTCTTGCTCTTTCTCCAAAAAATCAATGAGCATGAGATTTTAATTGAAATCATGTAATTTAATTGATTAAACGTTTCCAGTTCGGGCTGAGCATCGTGGTGATATTGACGGTGGCGGTGAGCTGGGCGTTGAGTACGCAGTTTAGTAAAACGGTACTTACGGTGGATCCGAAGCGGTTTTATGCACCGTATTTTATGGTGGGTATACTTCAGAAAATCAGGAGAAGGTAATTTAGATGTGGTTTTCAACGTGCCATATGACGCTCTGCTACCCGATGTACATTTTGATGGCGCATTTTGTGAAGAAGCAGAGCTTGCGGGAAATTCATGAGTGAGTAGGAGACAGTGAGAGAGAGGGGAGAGAGAGAGCGAGAGAGAGAAGGAGAGAGAGAGCGTGAGAGATACACAGAGAGAGCGAGAAACAGATCGAAAGATAGACTAAATTGTAATTTTTTTTCAGAGATTCCGTCACAATCTTCAAGGGCCGTGGCATCAGCCCGATGTCGATGCTGCTCTATGTTATGCCATTTTTTATCCTTTGGGTGGCAGCCAACTACAGCTATTCCAGATCACTCGGTGCGTAAAATTTCAATTTTACATTCCTGAATTTTCTTTGGTTTACGATTTTTTATGGATTTTTTTACAGGCTATAAAAATATTTGAACAATTCAGTTTCGTCAAAATGATACAAACAAAAATATCTGCCCATTTCAGGCTCGATCTCGGCCTCCGTGGCCACATCAATCTCCTCGTGCAACACGGCCATCGTCTACATTCTGGCCATATTGCTGCTTGGGGATAAATTCGTTCCGCATAAGGTATTTTTAATGCTATGTTATGGTACTTTATATTTATGACTTATTTAGACTTGACTTATTGAATTTAAAGTAACCAACTTAAAATAAAAATAATGAAAAGAATCCTTGGCTTAAAAACGGCTATATGTCTCCCAGATAAAGCAAAAAGCCAGTTTTCCAAAATCCCAACCCAATTCCCCTTCATGCCTCCAAAAAGCAAAAAGCGTTGCCCATGGGTGGAATCGAACCACCGTCGCCACGGCCACAACGTGGAGTACTAACCACTATACTACATGGGCCGAGAGAAGGGCGGAGAGGGGAGAGTTATGAGGGAAGAGAGGTCCCCAAAACCCAAAAAGCATCCCCCTTTCAGCTCCTCTCCGTGGTGTTCGCTGTGGCCGGCGTCACCGTGATGGCGTTCGACGGCGAGATCTCCGGCGAGGTGCCCGGCATCGTGTTGTCGGTCATCTCCGCGGCATCGGCCGCTTGTTATAAAGTGTGCTTCAAGCGGGTCATTGGGAGCGCCTCTTTTCCGCAGGTAGGGCTTAAAAACCGCCTAAAAAGCTTGGATTATACGTTCAGGTGTCCCTCTTCATGACGTGCCTCGGCACCCTGAACTTGTTCATCAACGCCGGTATCGCTTTTGGGCTCCTCTTGACCCCGTGGGAATGGATGGAGATCTCGGCCGTGCCCTGGGCGCCACTTTTGCAGCCGCCATTTTGAGCTTGTGTGAGTAGAAGCTCACAATTTAAAAGAAACGGGTGGTCAAAAGACTTATGATCCCAACAAACAGCAAAAAGTAGAAGCTACAAGCCTATAATACTAATTCTTAGTGTTCAACTTCACCATCAACCTCGGCATCGCCATCCTGCACCCGTTGGTGATCTCGGTCGGGATGTTGGTCGGGATCCCGTTGAATACAGGTTAGAAAATCTATAGGAACGAAACTAAAATATTCTTAGCAATCGACGTCGTCTTCCGCTCCGTCGAACCGACCGTCTTCTTCTTGACGGGTAAGCAAATGGTTCTGCAATTTAAAAGCACCTAAAAATCCAACGCTGGAAAATTTTAGATCTTCTATCAAAAAGAAGAAAAACAACAGTATAAATACCTCAAAACCCTTCAGTAAAACCTAAACTTCAAAAACCGAGTTCTTAACTTGGAAAATAAAAATAAGGGATAGATTTTCAAAAAAAAAAATTAAAAAAAATTTTAACACGACGAAAATACCTAGAAGCCCCCTTAATTAAAACATAAACCTCAAAGACCTACGCTGAAATTTTCAAATTAAAAAGAAACCGCTTATCCGACGTTTTTATAAACTATCTATTAAAAGATTATTTCCCAAAACTTCGGAAATAAATAAAGTAAACGCTGACGAACGCTATTTTAGGCACCGGCTTGATCGTCGTCTCCTTCTTCTTGATCATCCTGCCCGCCGATATCCTCCAAATCCTTCGTCGGCGAGCTTGCGGCGTTCGCGACACGGCTCGTTCCGACGCCAGCGAGCCAAAATCTGAACTAGCCGCCGCCCAAGCCCACCAGCGCCTAGAAAACCTGGAAGATGACCGAAATGAGCTTCTCGTCCCATTTTGCAAAACATTCCTTTCTACCCGCCATTTACCGGTGTGCAATGATCGTTGTGATTTCGTTTCTTCCATGACTCGCCTGAAAGTGCCTTATATTTATTGTATAAAAAATACTAGACTTTTTAGTGATCTCTATTCTATAAAAAACAACAGAGATTTACGGTCCCTGGGTTTGGAATAAATGACATCAGATGCCGAATGAAGCCAGCACACCCAAAGGTCTTATCACAATTTTCGGGCAAAAATTTGCGACCGCGGCTCCCGGTCACCAGGACCACCGGAGCGACCGCCGGCTACTCCAACAGGGAATTTTCGACATTATTTTTGTAGTCTGCAACTATAAATAGGGCTATATTGTCTAAACCGACCTAACATTTTGTTGAAAGATGCCGTTGAGCGGTACTGGCGAGGTAAGGAGGATCAGAAATGTGTCTAAAGGAGTATTTATTTTTCCTTTCTTAGAGGAGTTATAATGCTTTGATGTTTTCTTTAACTCTAGATTCATGAAAACAATCAATTTAACACTGAAGACAATGTGGAATTAGATCTAGTATATTGTTTCCATTCTACAGAAATAAGAGTCAATATAAAACGTTTAGAAAGGCTAAATCCTCGCTAGATTTTTGTTGTGGAAACGGTCTAAAGCTAAATGTATCCAAAGGCTGAATAATCAGCTCAGATTCGGTTTTTATTTGAGAAAAACGAATAATATAATCGATATCAAATGCTTAACAAGGCCGAAAATCATTCTACAAAAAAGACCAAAGATTAAAATATGATAGAAATAGACTAACTATACCAAAATTCTACTAAAAAACTCTACTACCTTAGAGAACTCTAAAATAAAGGTAAACACGAACCAACCCTCACGCTCCACCCCCCAGAAACGGCAATAAGGGCCTACAACGCGACGCCCATTCGTCAAGAAAATGTAGGGCCCAAATTTCGAAGCCTTATAACCAAAACTAAGGGAACTTAAAAAGTCGATTTCCAACTTGTAGAAGACACGGCGATCAATGATACCAAGAACAAGAAAACTGAATTCAAAAGTACGAAACGAAGGCGATTTTATTTCGTTTGAATTGGGGATTTGCCGGGCTTTGCAGGTCGTTTGTATTGGTGTGTAGCGAACCGCCCTGGGGAGATAGCCTATTGAAAACTTAAAATGCTTATAAAAACTGCTGCTTCATTGTTAAGACATGTCCAGTATACCAAAAATTCTCCTTTTCCGGGACAAAACGAACGACCGGTCAGATGCCTACATGCCAAATCGCTGAGAAAATACGAAAAAGTCGAGCCACCATCCTTGTCACAAACTGTAGTAAGAAAGTAAAAGGAAACGCCTGGTAGCGATTCTATCGCCAAATTATATTTTATTTCATTTATCTTTTACATTTGCCTATCCGATTACCCAACTAAAGATCCGAACCCAATTTGTTGCCGTTGTGGTACGTAGTGCCGTGTAACGCCCCGTAGCCTCCCGCCTCAAATTGCCGAAAATCTATGCATTTGAATGGGCGTGACCTTTATTTTCATAGCTCATCGCCTCGCTAGTCGTAGCAGCCGGCCTGGCATGTACGTGGTGCGCTTCTACCCAATTCAGCCGAGCCGCACTCTCGGGCGATACCTCGGACTTTGCCGCGCCTTACTTCTTGATGTAAGTCCAGCCTAAAACTGTTTGTCTGAACCAACAATATTTCAAAAAGTCTTAAAAACTACCAAAACCCTAGGTGGTTCCACACGAGCCTCACCATCTCCTGCTACCCGGTGTATCTGCTATCGGCTCGGATACGAAAGTTGGACATGAAAGAAGCGCATATGTTAGTTTTTCTAAGCTCACTAAGCTGCTGTTTAAGTAAGTACTTATTTGAATTCTATATTTTGAGCTAGCTTACTTACATAACCTACTTTAGTGAAGCTGGCCAAGTCTTTGGCCAAGCTGGCATTTGCTTCATCGCCATCGTCAAATACGTCTTGCCATTTCTGGTGCTTTGGACTGGGGCTAATTACTTGTATGCACGGTGCCTAGGTAAGTAAAAAACGCTCTAACTTCTTTCGGAAAAGCAGAAAGAATCTAAATAAATAAAACTGATATTTAGGCCATGTTTCTGCCTCAATCGCCACTTCAATCAGCTCCGGAAACGCGGCAATGGTCTACGTCTTGGCGATTTTCATCCTAAGCGAGAAATTTCACTTACAAAAGGTTAGAAAGACAAGAAACCAAAAAACCTAGCTAAAATATTTAGGCCTTCGCTGTAGTTCTTGGAGTTGGCGGCATCGTCCTGATCTCCGTCGACCCCAGCGGGAACGGGGATGGCGAATGGATCGGCTATGTGCTGGCCGTTGCCTCGGCATTCTTCTCTGCCCTCTACAAAGTTAGAAATTGGCCTCAAAACTTTTAGAAATCTAGGTAGTCTTCAAAAGGGTTATTGGCGACGCTACACTATCACAAGTAAGCCAGACAAGCTAAAAGCAACCAAAAGCCATCAGGTTTCCCTTTTCATGACTTGCCTGGGCTTTACGAACCTTGTCATCAATGTGATCCCGGCTTTTGTACTCGCCTACACTGTTGAAACGCTGCATTGGGCCCATGTGCCGTGGGGCTTCATCTTGGGCGGAGGATTCCTGGCGCTACGCAAGTTTCGGCGCTGTCCCCTAGTGGCCCCCCCCCAAAAAAAAAGCCCAAAAAACAAATTTTTTGGGGTTTTTTTTTTTTGGTAAAAAAAAAACCCCCACCCCCCTGTAAAAAAAAAAAAAAAAAGAAAAAAAAAAAAAAAAAAAAAAAAAAAAACAAAAAAAAAAAAAAAAAAAGGGGGAAAATAAAAATAATTTTTTTTTTTTTTTTTTTGTTTGGGTGTTTAAAAGGGGAGGAAAATGAAAAAAAAAAAAAAAAAAAAAAAAGAAAAAAAAAAGGTAAATAAAAACTAAAAATAAAAAAAAATAAAAACACCCCCCCGCGCCCCCGCGCCGCCACGGCGCGCGGGGGGAGGCCAAACCAGGGGGACAGGGGGGGGGGGGGGGGGCCGGGGCCCCCCGCCCCGCCAGGGGGGGGGGAAAAAAAAAGCGGAACCCGCCCCCCCCCCCCCCCCACCCCCCCCCCCCCCCCCCCCCCCCAATAAAAACCATCCTTGTTCAAATAATTAAAAAAAAAAAAAAAAAACAAATAAAAAAAAAACCCCCCAAAAAAGAAAAAAAACCAAAAAAAAAAACAAAAAAAATAAAAAAAATTTTTATTAAAAAGTATTTTAATAAGACCGGAAAGAAAAATAAACAAAAAAAACCAAAAAATACCAATAAAAAAGGGATATATAATTGATATTAATGTTAATTATTTTTTTAAGTTTCTAAAGATATCACTAAACAGTTCAATTTAGTGTTCGACTTCCTAATCAACTTCGGCATTGCATTGTTGGACCCGCTAGTTATTTCAGTCGGAATGCTTGTCGGCATCCCAGTAAACACAGGTAAACTACAACTTCGCACTATACAAAAGCCTTAGCCGTCGACATGGTTCGAGGAAAAGTTTCAACGAGCTCTTGGTACATCTACGTCGGGACAATACTTGTCGTCCTTTCATTCATGCTGATCGTCATCCCGTGGCAGTACAATCCTAGTAAGCTCACAAAGTCGGTGACAAGCCATCCCTAGGTTGCCTCTCAAAAACCGAAGAGGACGACGAAGAAGAAACGCCAAAAGCCTATGCCAACTCTATCACTGAAGACGAATGTAAATAAAATTTCCTTTGAGGTGCATTTGAACAATTACAAGTTGTAGTAACAAAACATTTATCAACAAAAAGATAGTGATAACAAAAGTTACTCTTGGGCTTCCATTTGTTCCTTGAGGTTGAGGAGCAGCTTCTTCTTGTCCTCGACGGCCTTCTTGCGTTGGTCGTAGGTGAGGCGCTTGGGTCCGAATCGCTTCTGGGGGCTGGGCTTCTTCTTGTCGGACTTGACGTTTTCGGGGTTGGCGCGGATGGCGTCGTGGGCCTTCTTGTAGATGCCCTCGATTCCGTCGGCGGTAATGCCGGCAGCGATGAAGCGGGAGAACTGGCGCTTGTAGGCATCCTCATCATCGTCCTTCAGTGTGCGCATGTAGTCGGCAACGTGGGCTCCGAAGATGCGTCCACGGTGGGCCTCAGCGTCGTACTTCTTGGCCTCCTCGTCGAAGCCGAAGAAGCGCGTCTCGGAGTGGGGCACATCGATGCCACCATCAGCGACTCCCTTCATGACGGCGAAGATCTTGGCACCAGTGGTGGTGCGGGCAAGGCCGATATCGAGGACAGCCTAAAAAAATCCATCATGGACGGCAGACAAAGTTAAAAACCCATCCAAGGAGGAGCAAATTGTTACCTTGAAGGGAGCACGGTCTCCGCTCTCTTCAACGTTGTAGTCCTCGCCGTTGACTTCCTTCTGGCCCTCGTAGGTCTTGTCGAGCTCGATCTTCTTCAAGTGACGGCGAGCGAGGAGCAGACCAGTGGCATAAGCGGCGGCGTAGTTGGTCAGGCCGTACTAAAAAAAAGAATATACAACAAAAGGACACCAATGTTTACCTTGATGCCATAACGGGGGAGCTCGTGGGCGTACGCGGAGGCGACGACGATGTCACCCTCGATGCGAGCGTAGGCGATCTAAAATGGAAATATAGTCGCGCAGTGCGGAAAGCCTAATAAGTTTACAACACCCAAGTTTCGCCAGTCCATCTGAACCAGCTACTAATCAGGCCCACCGCTGCTTAACTTGGCAGTTCAGATGGGATGCCGTGCTTTCAGCGGGGTAAGGTCGTAAACCGGGGATCAGGGCTGTCAATTACCTTTGACAAATCCGCCACGGGTTCACACCATGTTAGGAGGGGATGCGGGTCTAAAGAGAAAGATGCTACCAGTGGCCGTGTTTGCCCCCGGACCACTGGCGACCCAGTATCGCATCAGTTCAAAAGTTTTCAAATATCGGAGAAGCAAAGCAATCTCCGTATATTCCAGTTTTAGCAGCGATTTGGCATTTCTGCCCAAGAAAGGGTCATGCGGAGGGCACTCGCTGTGTTCTCAAACGCAGGCAAGGTATGCTGGGTGGCACGAGCCAACCACCCATAGACGCACCCGTGCCTACTCGAACACACGACTCGTGAGATTTGACCGCCGTGAAAGCAGCGGCAAGTGCGTGGGGGACCAAGGAAAACGGGGGTATACCTGAGCGATGATGTCCTTGTTGGTGAAGCGGACGATGAGCCTGTACTTGGGCGTGTTGTACTTGTTCTTGTCCTGGACGGTGAGGCGCTTGCGGGCGTAGTAGTCGGTCTTTCCCTCACGTCTCCTCTTCGGCTTGACTTGGTAGCGCTTGAAGTAGGCCTTGTTCTTGACAACCTTGACGAACACCATTTTGTACCCTGAAAAGGAAGGATTAGAAAATGGCTGGCACGAAATGTCGAGGAAAAGATTGAAGCGACACGGCAATAAAAATAATGCAGAAATTAGACGTCATATAAGGAAGTCAAAAGGAAGAATTTGGCAAATGGTTTCAAACTAACGATGGCCTACGCGCATTCGCCTGCCGCTCTCGCACCAAATCCTAATATTTTCATGAGCGCGCTGCGTCTAATTCACAAGTTTTTGGCAAAAAAGAAAATGAGCGACGGCGCCGGTAAAACGAAGAAGTTCGGAAAATCGAGAAAGCGGAAAATTCAAGTGGGAAGTGGGACCTGAGCCTTCTCAGCAGTTACGGTCGTCCAGGGTGGCGGGACCAGGGCCGGGGCGCGGTTTAGCGGTCGGCGGGGCGGCTTGGAGGCTACAAACTACAAGCCTGGCTGGTTCGAAACGAACTCTCCAAAAAGTAAACAAAAATTTGTGTAAAATTGATAATTTAATTTTTGAGATTATTATTTACGCGTAAGCTTCAAATTGCGTTAGAATTAAACTTTCTAGCAGAAATTTGAGGCCGCAAGTGCTGACTTGCTAGAAAATCGGCGCTGGAAAAGTCAACAACGATTTTGGCTTGGATTTAAAAAAACGAAGGATTGTGAAAAGACTTGTGAAAATTTGGCTTAAATTTTTTGGTACACCCGTTTACGCTCAAATTATAAAATACGAAGAATCAGGAACGGGCCGGTTTGAAAAGCGGCTTGAGTGCGTAACAAAATCTAGGTTTGAAATTGATTTAATTTTGTTGAAGATACTTATTTTTATTTTTGCGCCAGATAACTTTAAAGATTTTGGGAAGAAAGGCTGACCTGCTTGGACAGAGGCTTTGAAGAAATAAAAAAACTGTTGTTTTTTTGAAAGCAAAAACATACAATAAACAATTTGTTCTTTTCATTTCGTTCGTTCCATTCGAATGCTCCTGAATTTTGCTAATTTCTATCTTTTCAGGTATTTGATTTGATGCACAAGGTGTTGCGAGGGGCCTTCAACCTCGGCGCCACCTTCAGCTTCGTCTACCTCATCCTGGTGCTGTTCGGCGCGCCGATTGTCGTGGGTAAGGCCTTCTCAATGGAGCTTTGTAATTTACTGTTTTTCAGAAGTGGTTGTCACCAGCCTGTTGGCCCTCGAGCTGACGGCCATCATCGCGATCCCGCTGCATTTGGCATACGAGATCCGGGAGCCGCGCGACTTGTTCTGCGCCCTCTTCGTCAACCGGTGAGGATTTGATGGTGAAAAACTTTTCCTTATGGGCCCATATCTGCCTATTAATGTAAAACAACTATTTTTATGGTGATGTAGCGATATTTCGGGTTGTAAAAGTAGCCGTTTTAATCTTGTTTCTAATCGATTATCGACACTTTTTATTGGGGAAAACTAGGAAAACGAGAAAATTTGGGAATTCTATCGAAAGCTGGCCGTTTTGTAGGGAAACAGCTATGTGTTTTGTATTTTTTAGGGCTTGTAAAGTGTTTCGTTTGGAAAGTAAAAAAGAAACGTTTGACAACCCCTTCCTCGATTCTATTACAAGAAAATGATACTAGGTTTTGGGCAAAAATTGACCCTTTTTAGGTATAAAAATATCGATATCTTTTGTATTTTTTTGTTTAGATGTTGCAACTTACAAAAACTAGGATTTATCTCTATAATGCAACATTCTCATTTTCAGGCCTTCGACAAAGAAGGAGCTGCGAGCCGTCTACATTGCCTACGGTGCTGCGATTGGCGCTTGGTTCGGGGCATTTTTGATTCCGCTCGATTGGGACGTATGGTATCAAGTGAGTTACATTGTTTTCTACCATTTTATAATACTAATTGTATTTACATTTTTCTGACGCTAAATCCGTTCTTTATTACTAACTAACATGTGGAATTCCTCTTTGATTTCAGCGCTACCCCACGCCCGTGATGATCGGGGCGGCCATCGGGAGTGTGGCATCCCTAGCCTTATGCGAGATGGCCAGCATGAGGCAAAGTCGGCACAAGCACTTCAAAGAAGTACGTTCTTCATTTTATTTGTGGAAAATTACTTTTTTTAGTGATCGAAGCCTCGGCGAATGCATGGCTCAGCTCGGCGGATTTTATTTACGAGGACGTGCCTCGGATTAAGGTACTAGAAATAGTATTGAATTGAAGTATCCAATTTTTAGTGCATCTTCTTCTGCGAGTTTCACCTGACACGCGGCACGTTGATTCAACTGAAATGCGAAGACGAGAATTTTGTAAGTGGTATTTTCTTTAGCTATATTTTTCCATTTAGAAACTCGATGACGTCCTACCCACCCAGCGCTTCGGCTCCTACTCGGCGGCCTTTATTCCGAAGGACGAGCTGGTGAATCGGCAGGTCCGCGTCGGCATCCACGCCAATGGCCGGAAATACAAAGTGATGGGATATCCGGTTGCGCTGAGTAAGTAGCGATTGGAATTTGGGTGAATACAAGCTGCCTGAAAGAGACAACGATCTAGCGGTCCCGAGAAGCGTTCCTATTTTTATCATTTTGGTATCAAAAGAAAGCTACCGAGGCGATATTCCAATGAGCTGTTGAAGCTGCTTCACAATTTCTCCTTCCAAATTTCCGCATTTTTATGATTTAGTCCTCCTATAACCGCTGTAAAAGTCATAAAAATGCGGAAATTTTTTGACATTTTTACTCGAAAAACAAGCGAAATTTCGCCCTATTCGCAAGAAAAATAATTAATAAATCTAACAAGAAAATAAAAATTTCGAGAGTATGGGAAAATGGAATTTTTCACCTCATCGAAATCTCTCAACTGGTACCTTAACGGTAAAATTCGGACGTTCCTACGGACCGCTAGAGAAGTCTATTTTAGGACGCCTTGTAGAAAGCACATTAAGTATCCTCTTAATGCCAAAAATACCGATGCTAATGACTAAGCCTCCCACTTTAGAAAAGGAGGACAAAATTACATCGCCACCCAAGACAAAATATGGTATTTTTAATGTCCAGCCGCCGATGGCTACCTTTGTGCTTTACCTATGTTTGACATGTCTAATCCGGTAGTGTGGCATTTTTGGCAGGGAGTGGACTTGAACTAAATTCCGCTTATCTCTAATCCCGGGCCTTCAGAGAACCTGCGCTACATCTTCTGGCCTAAGAACCGTGAGCAAATCGTTAATAATTATTTTTATGAAATTATAATTTTTTTTGTAATTTTACTTTCTATATTTTTTGAATTGCTTGGGGTTTTTTAAGGCTTTCGCGGTTTACTAATTAGCGAATAAAGGTATCTTTTCCGCTTCCAGGCCTCCGTATCGCCACGTGGAACAAGTGCGAGGTGCCGAAGGAGTCGATCGAGATCTACAAGCGTGGCAAGTACCGCTTCTGCATCTGTTTCGTCGTCCCGCACGAGATCGAGGCCACCGAGAATGACTTTGTGTACGAGCCGGTGATCGAGAAGCTCACGGAGTACATTGTCGGACTCGAGCAGGTAAGGGATTTTCGGTTCTTTTGCATGCTTTTTCAATTTCCAAAAAAAATTGGACCGAAATTTCAAATTTTAAGGATTTTCCTACTTTTTCTACATATTTTGATCGAAAATCTTTAAATTCTGCGAAAAACGCGGCTAAAAGCGTTGTTTTAACGTTACTAAGCGCTTTTGACTTTTAGCAAAAATTAGCTTATCCCCCTGATAATGAAAAAGATCCGGATTTTCAGTATCTAAAATGTGTGTTTAGGAACGCCACTGGCTGTCGGGGCGCAAAAGTGACGAGGCGTTGCAACGGCTTTTCGAGTACACGCTGATCTCGCTGAACACTACTGGTAATCTAAAAAATCTGATAGTTTTTAACGATTTATTGTTTTAGGCGCCGTCTGCTACCAGGTCACCGACCATTGTTGCATCTACCTCAAGCTATCGCCACTCCAAATGGGCCACGAACCTCCAGAGGTATTTATTAAATTAATAAGCGTTCTGAAACAATAAATAAAATTTTATAATTTTGTATGATAATTGTTTTTTAGGTCTATCCACACACCGTCCCAATCCCGCAGCTCGAAATGTGGCGCTGGCGCCGTAACAAGACCCGGATGGACATTGTTGCTCAAATGGTATGTTTAATATTGATTATACCTTTTTTTGGAAAGTACTCTTAAGATATAATCAAACAATTTTTCTACGTCTTTTTTAGATCATCCCAAAAATCGATGGACTTCGATGCGTCAAGGAAATCTCCATAATGACCGGGCTGGACGTCGATTTGGTCATAAGGTATCAATTTTTTTAACTCATTTTAATGCCCCGTTTTTTTAGGTGCATTCGAAACCTGTGCTACTACGAGGCGGTCGCCCTGGTCCCATTCTTCCTCTACTCGAACAACTACGTGGCCACCGAGAAGCTGCACAACTTTTTCAACGACCCCGATGCCATCAAGGTTTGGAAATTTGGCTTTCAAAATGTAAATGTCTTTTTAGGAGTGCCTGGACTTTGTCCGCCGTCGCGTCAAGGGAAGGAGGAAGCGCCATCCGAAGCTTTTGGCGCGCCCGACTTTCCATGATGTGTTCCGGCTTTACTTGAACTTAAAGGTATGTAATTTTTTAACTCCATTAGCGTTTCAAAAAGTGGGTCTTTACAGGGGATCTATTTTTTAGAATACTTTGAAAATGGAACTTTTTTGAATTTTTGAATTTTAAAAGTGGTGGTTTTAGCAATTTTCCATGACGTTTTTTTCAGATCGGTCAGCGCCTCTCCGAGTTTGTGATCGTCAACGAGCCCAAGACGAAGATGGTCGACGTGCGGCGCTTCATCCAGTTCGGCATGGTGCGCGGCTTCCTGCGCAAGCTGTCCATCTACCCGCTGGTCATGCCCGAATATAAGCATATTCCGTACGTTTTGCATTACATTACCAAGCCAAAAAATGCAAAATAGCAAGACAAACGTTGGATGGTCGCTTTTGAATATTGAAAAAAATGTTGTCGTTTTCCGTCCTTCGGAGTTTCATTGGTCGGCATTTTGCGGCGTCGAAAAAAACGGGCAAAATTTAATTTTCTAGAAATTTCATTTTATCGGCATTTCGTTACGCTGAACGTTCAAAATACCCAATTTAGCATGAAGAAATCTCCCGGAAATCATAGGCCAAAAACTTCGCTATTCTACAATATGAAAAAGCGGTGGCGTGGACCCACCCGAGGGGGAAGCGGCCCCAAAGGGGAGAGGGAAGGAAAAGAAGAAACCCACCGGGAGGCACACGCCGCGCAAGGTGAGAGGGGCCGAAGGCCCACGCCCCCGGAACAGGAACCCGGAAATTATTATGAAATTTCGTAATCACGAAATTGCGAAATCACATAATGCCGACATTAATAAATTCCTACATTTGCAAAATTAGGCCCAGAGCTACAACTTTTCAATTTACACCCCCTTTTCTAGTGCTCTCTCCATCTTCAACGGCACCACCGCACTGGAGGACATTGCCGTCGAGTACGCCATCGAACCGACCGAGCTCCACCGGAAGCTGATCGAGAGCGGCAAGATGACGTTCATCACCAAATAGTGCCATGCCAAAAACACTTGTCTTTCTTTTCACCTTCCCCATTACGATGTTGTGATAGCAGTTTTAACCTTTTTCCTCTCGGGTACCCTACTAATCCATCCAAATTATTCGTGTTGTTTTTTGTTAATATCTATTTTTGCGCTCTCCTCCCTGACCCCCGCACTTGTCCCCCTCGCCGGGGCGGCCTCTTTTGATCTGATGTTGCACACCTTTTTCTCGGGGTAATAAATTTTGGTTTAACTGTTGGTACTTTACAAATAATGCACTACACTTGGTTGATGATTTGCTATCATAGAGGTTCTTTGGAGCTTTCGCGATATCGGGGGGGGGGATTTGTGGAGCTTTTGCGTTAGCGGGGGGTAGCTTTACCACAGGACCCAATTGTTAGAATATAAATCGTGAAGCTATTTCTGCGCTGTTTTTTTGCTACTCTTAAGCCTATAAACTACAAATTTCTGCTTAAAAATGCCAAAAATATCGATTTTTCACTTTATTTTACACGTTTAGCCATTTGTGTAACTTTTCTGGGGAGTTTTTACGGTCGAAAAATGTTATCGGAATTTTTTTATTAAATCAGGATTGTATCATAAATACTAAATACTTGTTATCAAATCATATGTTTGGATTTATAGGAAAGAAACTGCCGCCACCCCCGGTAATGCGAAAAAAACCCGATTTTAATTTTTAAATTTTTTAGATAGTTTTTATTTGAGGAATTGCTATTCAGCTAATACAATTTATGCATCGAGTCGGAATGAGCAGGGTCATGGGCCAATGGAATGCAATGAAATGAAAATAGAAAGATAGGCACGATTTGGTGATTATGCGTTGAGGTTGGCGTCTGGCTGCTTGTCGGGATGAGCATCGGCGAAAGCGTCAATCAGCCCGAGGGCTTTATCGAGACGAGTCAGAATCGGGAACTGGGTTGTGTCGACGGAGAATCTAAAATTTTACGTTATCAAAGGCTGAGTTTTGCAGGTCATAGCCGCTTCAAATTCGATAGTATAATTCTACCAAAAAAATTAGCTATGGAAAACGTGATATCCACCAACCTTCGAGCATTATACAAAATGCTTGGGATCCCGATATCGGCGATCGAGAGCTGGTCACCGACGGCGAATTTTCCGGCCGATTTTTCAAGGAGTCGCTCCAGGTCGCTGAGGCCGTCGACGAGCCAGTGGTTGGCCCACTAAATTGGTTATGATCTAATTGGCTAAATTGCAAATGATTGTTTCGTTATGCCAATAACCGATAAAACTAGGTAATATATTTTAAGCTCACCTTTGCGCCCTTGCCAGCTTCCTCAGCGTTCAGGTACTTGAGCACGCGCATATTTTGGATTGGCTGGATGCCGGCAGCGATCTAAATAGAAATTTAGGCTCCGAGCTTTTTATTGGGTTATACTTTTTTTTTTTTTTCGGGATATCATCGTGTTATTATCGATGTTATTGACAAAATACTTACTTGTAGCGCCACCGCGCGCGCCTGGCCGCGCTGGAACAGATCCTTGGGCAACAAGGGGAAACGATCGGGGTATCGCTCCTAAAAATAGTTGGAATTTTTTGGAACAAAGTTATTTAGCGTGACCGATAAGGAAATACATACGATTTATATAATTTTTTACACATTTTTTAGGCATAGAAGGTGCATGCAAATTATTGGTTTCTCAAAAACTTACGAAAAAATAAAATTTTTAAAACTCGAGATTTGTAAAATATACAGTATCTTTTTGTTGCAAAAACTACACTATAAAATATAGTATGAGGTTTAGCTGACCTCTAGGTACTCGATAATGGCGAGCGATTCGGTGATGGCGTGGCCCTGGTCGATGTAGGCGGGCACTTTCTTCACCGGGTTGGCCTTGACGAACTCGGGGTCTTCCTTAATTTCTTGCCTTCAGAAAATTGTGGTTTTCAAACCAACGCTTCCTTCGATAGCAAGTTGACGGTTTTGTACTCGTAGTCGATGTTTTTTAGGTTGAGTGCTGAAATTTTGAGCTCTAGTTTTTTTAAAGTATCCTTTTTCTTTGAATTTCATTCCAACTTTAAAGATTGAAGGTTTTTGCTCGCTTCAAATGTCTATTCTCAAGCTCAGCTTACCAATTCTGACCCTCCAGGAGCACGAGCTTCGCCAATAGCTGTAGAGAATCGGCTTGGACATGGTTCTGAAAGTAGGCATAATACGGAAAATCGAAAAACACATTTGAATTTTAAAGAAATTAAGTTAAGCAGAACTATGAATTTCGAAGCAAATAGAAGAGGAAGTAAAAATTTGGATAAAATTGACCAAAAAAATTTTTAAAGTTTCAAAAACTTGTTTTTGTTCCCCGGATAGCCCTATTTGAAGTGTGCGCTGTTTTCCTAAACGCGTCCCGGGATGAATCGATGTCTCTGGTGGGTCGTAAAGTGACGATTTGGGGGGCGGAAGATTGACCAAAAAAAGTTTTGCTGGCCCCGAGCCAGCGAAAGTTTTTTTAAACGGGTGGACCAAAGAACGGTCCGTGGTCACGTAATATCACGGAAAATAAGGAGAAGATGGTTAAGGTATCTAGCAAACAAGTAATTTGTCAATAGAAAAAGGTGCATTAGAGGATCCAGCCAAAAGACCGACAGCCAAAAACCCGAAAGGTCAAAAATACCGACAGCTATAATCACGTCAGCCAAAATATCGGCATTCCCGATCCCGACAGCCGAAATACCGACATATTCCTGACGCTAGTTTGAATGCCTTCCTTTTAAACAGCAATTTGGCATGCAGATGCCGGCTTGTCGGGATTTAGCCTGTCGGCATTTTGTTTGTCGGGATTTTGGCTGTCGCTATTAGGGCTGTCAGGATTTGCGATCGAGATTTTCGCATTTTCCCACGAATTTAGCTCCGAATCCGGAAAATTGCCAAAAACTGCAGGATCGACCCCATGGAATCTGGGAAAATGTGCGTAATCGCAATGATTTTAAGAGTTTAAATTCAATTAAAAAAATATATATTTCTTACGCTTCACCTAGCGCGCGATTATGACACTGAAAACTAGCTCTAATGACTCTGGTCAAGTAAAACAAAGTACAAGTACTCTGCTACAACTTCTCAAGAGGTTGGGATGGGTCAACGAGAAATAGGCATGACGTAATGTGAAGTAATACCGATTATAATCATGTAAAGAGCATCTAACGAGGAGCGAGTAAATTGAGAATTATTCAAAACCCCCCCCCCCAAAGACTAGGTGGAACCGGGCTTATTAAAACGTTTGAAAAGCGCTACAATTTCGGTAAATAGGTATAATAAGTGGTTCCGTACAAGTTGGTAGGAAAATCAGTGCCCGTTACCAATGCCAGTGGCACCATTAGAAGTCGAAAACCCCGCCCCCGTAGCCCTGGGCATTTTATAGCCTCCATAAATCATCAATACTCCAAAAAATAGACAATAAACACCAGCGAATCGACTGACCGAGTTGCCGGTTGTGAGAGAGCGTGGGGGCTCTGTTTGTCTGTATGCGTGTGTGTAGTTTTTCATAGCTTTGCGCCCCCGATTTGCCCATTTCCATCTATCTATCTATCTCATTGCTGTGTGCTCTTTTCAATATGAGCGACCGTTGTTTCGTCTCTCTCTCTCTCTCTCTCTCTCGCTTGAAATGTGGTTATCAGAGATTGATCGACGACCCCGGCCGTATCGAGGCCATCAGTCCGCGCCGCGCTCCGCACGCACCGTTTTCGCGGCGCCCCGGAAAAAAGCAGAAATGGAAAGAAAAAGGAACGCAAAATAAAAATCACATTTTTCGGGGTCAGGGAATTTTGAGGGCAAAGAACGGAGCGATCAACGGAGCATTAGAGCGAGGGAAGGCCCACGGATAAAAAGAACATTTGTCAAGCTTTTAGAGGCAAACCTTGATTAATCCGAGATTCTAAAATCGCTTCTCGAGTCGGGAAAACCCGGAATTTAAATCAAGGAAAGTTGACGCTGGCTACTACAAAAATACCGACAGTCGAAATTCCGACAGCCATAATCCCGACAAGCCAAAATATGCAAATGAGCCATTTAAACGAAGCGGCACTAAAACTAGCGCCAAGAATATGCCGAGATTTCTGCTGTCGGGTTTATGGCTGGATTTCGAGATATTCTTTAAAATGTTCTTATTATCAAAATTTTTGCCCTACAAAAATCCCAAAAAGCCATTTTGTGTGTACGACCTTGAAAATTGCGTAACGAAAATGAAAAACATATTTGAAGCAGATTTAAGCTTCTTAAAAAATTCAGTAGAGCCGAAGGCCAACGTCTCCGCATTACAACTCCTTACGGCGTGAGGGGTGTTTGGAACTTCCGGCGGGGGTAAGATTTCGCCGCGTTGCTAGGAGCTTGCCGTCCGACTGCCCGGGGAATCGAACCATGAAAATTCGGAGCTAATTGGAGAATTTGGACTCCTGGGGGAACGACAAAATTGTGTGAAAATCGCCTTGATTTCGGAGGGAAGTTGGTAAAGGGGTTTTTTTTTTTTTTTTTTTTTTTTTTTGGTATTTCAAAAACGTTGCCATCTCGTCACCAGTTCAGTTTTTCATAGGGCATTCCATTACGACTGGTAGTAGGGCTTTTCAGAGCAATTTTAATCATCTAAAAACGCTTTTCCAATGCGGGGGCGCAAAGCACGAAAATTGTTTGCATATCGGAAAGCCAAAATCGCAGAAAAACTTTTATTGGGGATGGGCGTCAATAAAGACCAAAAAAGGATCAAAGTTATGTATCCGGAAATAGCTGAATTTTAATTCTAAAACCATAGGCCTAAAGATACGCCTAAGACGCGTAAATAATAGCTTTTTCGAAAAAAGTAAACAAAGCGTGGGCTAGGAGCCCCACAGCAGCTACGGCGAATGAATCATCTGCCCGCCGCACTTCTCCTTTTTCTCCTTAACCTTGGGAGTTTCGCAGGGTTAAGCTTGTTTTTCCCAAGAGCCCCAGCGCCGAGCTGGGGAAATCTCACCCGTCTGCTGCTCGTCAGACGACGAGAAGAT